TCTGCGCACAGAGACGTAGACAGGAGCTACTTTTTGGTGAAAGAGAGACATTTATTTTCTTAATGAGGTAAAGCGCCCGTAAGCTTATGTGTTGAGACTGCTGTATAATACCCTATTAGGGATAATACCACGTTATTAAGCTTATTTTAAGGGCATTTTTTAAGCTACTTTTTAATCATAGTTTTATACTAAGCTTAGTTCTTTAGGCACAGAGATAGAGATGTGTGTTATTCCCAAACTATCACAGAATGTTTTAATTTTTTAATTTAATCTATCTTGTTTTGAGCGCCTCTTGTCTACTGTTCTGTATGTTTGCACCAACACTGACATTTCCCCACTGTGGGACAAATAAAAACATGTCCATTTGAGTACAAGTCAGTAAATGTAAAAAGTGTATTATGTCTTCTTATGTTTTATGTTTAGAAGGTTCTTTTAATAAGACAATAATGTAAACTGTACTGCACTGCTTAATGACCTGACATGTTGCGGCCGTCATCTTTTGCCTTCGTGGACACATGATCATGTGACGTGTCTGCTGATCAACAGAAACAAGGGGACTTTCACCTTGGCTCACACTTGGGACTCACTTGGGACTCACTTGGGTGCGTGATCTGTCTGACGGATCTGTTTAGATCCGTCAGACCCCGTCTAGACGGAGACGCTGCCGCAGTAAAACGCTATAGTTGGATGTCGGTTGCCACCTCCCATTTACATGGAGACTGTGTTCCATGGGGGTGAAAACTTAAGCGTTAAGATCCAGTCTACAGAGTAGGACAGCTCAGATATGCTGCACAGTGGGGCGCTCTTTTACACCTGTGTGAAGAAAAAGGTGTGAATTCTCCACCTGCTCTGACTTCCACTTCTCCTCACTTACATTTGGACATGCACAGTAGATGAGAACAAATTTAAACAATGGCGGCGGGTACACTAACCAGCTACTTGTGCTTTGAGCGCTACACGGAAGAGGATTCTTCTCCTTTGTCCGTCCAAACAAAACCACGCAAAGCTGTAGTTTCAGTTTACATGTTCACTGCTGCTGTTAAATGCAGAATGATGTTTGTGCATTCTTTCACGTCTTTGTGGTGGCCCGAGGAGGATGTTGTTGAAGTGAATATACTGGTGGGGGTTGCGTGTGTCGTGTTGTACACTGCGCAAGAGCCTGGTCATACTTTGCAACGCCTGCGCAGCGCCTCCATCTATACGGGGCCTCAGACTGACCGCACACGAGAACAACAGCTGATAGGAGACACCATCACGTGTCTCCTCTGAGAAAGGCGGAAGTCCACTGCTAAACCATGTCAGGTAATTAAGCAGTACCATAGCTTCTTTACTTTTTTGTCTTATTAAAAGAACTTTCTAAACAAGTACGAGTAAGGTTTTCGAAGATTCAAGCCCACTGTCTCATTGAGAAGGCTCGTCGCAGCTAATCTGACCTCGCCACCATCTGACCTTGCGCCCGTCCATCGGTTAGATGACTCTATTGTCTGTTTGTTCCCGCCTAATGGTGCTTTCAGACCACCAACGCTGAAACGCACATTCTCTAGTTTTCAGACGCAGGGGTCTTCGGACCAGAAGTCCTGGCGCGTGCCGGAATTGGCGGAAGTAGCCGGTGGGCTTTGATGCTAACAGAGTTTAGCTAGCGGCTTCTTGTGTAAAAATCTTCTCCAATAATGCAGCTTTGCAGCGTGTCTGTGTTCAGAGACCTTCCACGGACTTTATATAACAGTAGTATGTGTTCACAGAGGTGCGCAATAAGTTTATTTCTTTATTAAACGGTACTTCCGCATCGGCGAACACACTCGAAGCAGTTGCATAAAGTCGCGGGAGCATGAAAACTCACATGTTAACAAGTACTATGTCCCCCATTGTCAACCCTGGTTTAGTCCTGATGTAGCTCCTGTTTTGGCTGTTTACGAGTATTTTCAGTCTGCTCGCTCAGACCACTATTGTCCCTGTGACCACTTGGTACTGGCTCTCTGTCACCATTGACTTTGCACTGAAAGCCGACGCAATGCATGATCCGGTTTGAACGCGGCATTAGAAATGGAAATGCTGGGCGGGTGACCAAACTGATAACCCAGAAGGAATATGGAAGAAATGCACTGGAATATCAGAGTGAATCTCTGGGTAACTTTTTGTTGTCGTGTCAACTTTCTACTTTGGTGTAAATTTACACCACAGTATAGTGCTAAATTGAAGTTAATTAATTGCTTCACCTTATAAGAAAACACATTATCGAGATTGTAAGAAGAGCCCTACTAAATGTATTGTGCCTTGGGACTGAGAGCTGAATGACTAAAGATCGCTGTAATAGAAGACCAAAAGTCATGCACTGGTAAATAGCAATATCTGAAAGGTTTTGTGAGAGATATTGGACAGCATGAAATTTGTGGTTTTATGATTCATAGTCCGTATGTTCATAAAAACACAGATAAAGATACAAAGTAGACATTTTATAATTGGATTCGACCTGGGATCAAATGCCCCTTTATGTCCTTTTTGTGCATTAGAGGAATTGCAACCATCTGAATTCCAATTCAATTTAAATTCCTTCTTCAGTTTATATCAGTTACTTACATTTGTACTCTTTTGTTTTGGTAAATTGGATTGCACTTTTTGCTGCTACTGTGCTGTATACTACATGAGCTCTTGGGGGCATCCGGTTATTAATCAGACATTGCATGGGTAGGTGTGTTACTCTTGGCTTCCCTCTTACCACACTCCTGCCAACAAGTGATCAACCATAATCTTAGGCTGCTGAATAATGCACAGCAGGTACTATACTTGCATTATTTAGACTGTCTGCATAATTAATTTTGAATCGTTGGAAATTCTCCTCCAGCAAATTCTTGGCAAAGCATTTAAGTGATTGGTGCAAAGACCAAGGTGAAATTGAACGAATGGTCTTGGTCCAGTCCTCTGATACAGTGTCGTCTCTGTCATTCATGAGCAACACGACGTGAGCAATTATCAGATTGAGTCAGAGTGACAGAGTGACAATATGAAGCGTGGGGTTGATGAGACAAAAGTGGGACAGGAGCCTTGGGGATCTAATCCTCCATTGTTACAGGCCTGCCTCTCCCTCGGCTGTCCACCTCACACCCTCATCCCTCTTTGTCTGTGACACTGTGTGAGAATGAGACAGCACATCATATATTCAAACACGCAAACGCTACATTTAATTGAATTCAAAATCTCCATCTTGACTTAACCCACATGACCACCGAAAGTCTAATGATTTCCGACTGAATGAAAAACAGTCACAAATTCACAAGACTTTGTTTCTGAATGTACAGGTAGATCTGGTTGTATGTTCCCTCTGGGGGTAGGGACTCAAATACTCTTCAAATATTTCATCCATTTTGGTTCTATAGAAACAGTCTAGTTTTATTTCAGTCTTACCCCTATTTTACCCCTAAATCCTATTAGAATATAGCGAGTTTTATGGAAAATGAACTAGTTTTTGCTGATTTCAAACAAATCGAAACACATGTCGGTAGTCCTCCAGTTATCAGTTTGCTACAGCTGCTGGATTTCACTAATGAAACTGTATGAACGACTCATGTGATGCTAATTCTGATTTCTGATAGGAACCCAGAGCTTTTCTACAATGTTGACTTTGTGTCTGGGGACATATGAAAAAGGGTTAAAAGTTATGAATTTTCACCAAAAGAGATTTTTATGATTGGTCAGTTCCATTCTTTGTTTGTTAAGCGTTACCGTGGCTACAGGTATTTAAGGTCTGGTCTCAGCCTCTTCACCCAGAACTGTTTGGAGAGACCGGGCAACAGTGATTAATGAAATTCTGTCTTGTCTTCCATCATAGCAGTCAACTTCCATTCTGAGTCTTTTTCACTTGTTGGAAGGGGCTGGTGATGGTGATGACTGATCAGATAAAAGATGGATATGTAATGTAAAATATAAATTGTACATACCTTCCCATTACCTTCCCATTAAAGTATGGTAGTACTATAAGGGCAAATATTTAGATGTTTCTTTGACACCATATTATGTTTTCGACTGTGACATTGTACAAATCTTCTTGACAGAGATGATCCAAGTTATTAGGATGTAAGGCTTGGCTTGCACCTTAGGTTAGAATGATTGTATATGAATAAGAAAGTGACTAATCTTTCTTGCCTGGCCTGCCAGACACTCCTCCTTTCTGTTCAAAAGAAGAACCGTCTGGACACCTCTTCCTAGCCTATCATTTCACGATTTTACCCACATCGGTCCAATCACGCACCAAGAGGCGGGACTTCCTTTCACCTTTGAGTTGCTAATAACTCCTCGTATCTTTAAGTTTTTGTTACAAAATCGACAGCAGTCGTTTACATTTGCACTAGCTGACATGCCGCCATCCCTTGTTTTGTGTTTACTGAAACGGCTTGGGTGCCGCTAGTTGCTGCGTCATATCCTGTGTGCATCTAATTGGTTGATGCAGTCTGTCAACCACGCCCACCGGGAATTCGCTGAGATCAAGCTCGTTCCCAGACTATATGTCTTTGAAAAAGCATATCGTTTGGCAGGCCAGGCAATAATCTTTCTGTCTTAATCGTCCTCAGACGAGTTAATCTTATGCAAACATGACGCCCAAGGCACAACTCCCTCCTCCTGTTTGGGAGCCCTTTCAAAAGTCACGGCACCTATAGTGGCCTTTGAATCCACTCCTCCCTCCGGCTCCATTCATACCCCAAAGGACTTTGCCTCCTCTTTTTAACCTTTCCATATGCTCAGACTGTAATGCCTGTATTATAACCATATTTTTGGCAGCAGTAATTGTTTCTTTCTATATTTATATTGGACCAGGGAGCCACACATCAGACTATACACTAGTCTGATGTGTGACTCTTCTCTATGTGTCATTATGCCTGAAAAAGCTCAGCACATTGCACATTCTTTTAGATGCTTTCATCTCCAAATATGTGTCTTATAATTTTATACAAGTGGCCCGTCTGTGTGTTCCCAGAGCATCAGCAGAATAAGTGGCTGAGCTGTACCTGAAATCGCTGTAGGGGTGTATGATCCAGGAGCCCGCAGACTTCAGCCTCTCCTGCTCCATGGCCACAGCTTTGTGTGAGCCAAACATACGCAGGCTGAATTTGTTGACCCCTGGCTGCAGCATGGCCCCAAACTGCCTCTGAATGAAAGTGCTCTGGTTGGAGTTGCTGTAGTCCTCCCCATCCAGGCCCAGGCCCATGCCGAAGCCCCCCATCCCCAATGGGCCCATGGTCTCTGGGGTGCCCACAGTGGTGTTACAGGCTGTGGTGGTGGTGGTCTCTGGGCCAGTGGCCACCACCATGACCCCTGTACCGGTGGAAGAGGTGGAAGCCAGGGCTGCTCTGGATGAAGCAAAGCCCACAGACCGGGCAGGAGGATAGGAGGAGGAGGGGGGTGGAGGCAGCGGTGCTGGAGTGGTGGGGGTGCCCGCAAAGCGGAATGCCAAACCATCCCTGTTAGAGGAGCTCATGATGGACAAACGGCGTCCGCGTCCTCCTGAAGAGGTGCTGTCCTTGTCTCCCTCCAGAGAGGCCTGGGACAGGCGATAGCCGGGAGATGGGAGGCTTCCCTTACTACGCCGCTTTGACTCTCCATTCTTTCTTGGGAGGGTGTCCCCTGTGGACCCAGGAGTGGCAACTCCTCCAGCAACCCCATCCATGTCCAGACAGAGGGGGCTGAGCGTGACCCTGAATTGGGGACGCTATAGTCTGAAGCTAGACCACATGAAGAAGCAGTAAGAATGTTCAATAGAAGCAGTGACAAAAACGTGACCTTTGAGTCTGTACGCCGCAGAGACTTCTTCACAGTCCCCACTCATCATCACCCACACCCCTGGGTCGAGCCTCCACGTGAAGTCTTTGGCAGGTCCTTCTGTTGCTCAGAGCGTGTGGTTTGTCCTCTCAGTCTCTGTGGCGTTCCTCCTTCCTCGTCCTTGAAACGCTGCTCTTAAGCCGCGGCCCTCCCTCTCGCTTGTGCCGCTCATGGTGAACTCAGAGCCGGGGTGCTGAGCGTCACTCATGCGCTGTGGAGTCAGGTCTAGACTCGGACTCAGACGGAGCGCTCTGACATTATACAAGACAATGACAAGGACACTTGATCCGCTGTCAGGATGGTGGATTATCAACGGACAAAAAGGACGCGCATAAAGGGCGCACACGAGCGCTCGCTTTGCCCGGCGTTGGGATTCATAATGACACGCACTGGCTGAAACACGCGGAACACAGCGACAATGGGAACAGACGCTCGATCTAACCCATGTTTATCCAATCCGCCCCACGCCGTGCGCCACAAACAGAGGAAAAGGCGCGCCTCCTGAGTCACAGCGGGAGAACATTCAGATCCAGCGGTGGTGAACAGGTGCAGAGAAAAAACAAGTTGTGTGAGCCGCTGCGCGCTGATCTGTGCCTGTCTGAGGCTCCTCAATGACACTGTCTGCTCAGGACGCGTCCTTCGCACAGCGCGCACTCAGAAGCAGAGCAGGCTCAGGTCTGCTCTATCTAAAATCAAACTACTTGTTGATTGTGAGGAGGAGGCGGCTTCTCCGAGTTGGAGATCCCGCTGCGACGCGCTCTGCGCGCCTGCGTGACGGGGGCAGGACTCGTGGAGGTCACACGTCCTCTGATGTGCGCGTGGCGCATGCAAATGAAATATGAATAAATGTTCCTGTATGTTTATGATCCGGGGCTAATCGGTGTGTTGCCATGGTATCCGCATCCTCATCATTGCCCGTGCCTAGGCGCGTGCACCGGTGAGAGACGCGCGTCATCAGTCAGCGCGTCACCATGGTGTTGTGTTGATCAGTTCTATTCAAGATCACATACAGGACATTACGGCGTGCACACAATCATTGGTTTCAAAGTTTAATTAGTATGAATAATGAGGTTCGAAGCTCCTGATGGTCAACCGCCATTAGATTTTAACCCCATTACTGCCATAATAACTGTTCAACAATAAAACCAAGTATACTATTATATGTTTTTGGTGTGGTTACTTTATAACATTTATAAACTTAAGTTATATTACATTATAAATGTGCAGGTCATACGTTCAGGTCTATTGTTGCAGTTCAAAAGGACACAGAGCTTGCGGACACCAAATGGCACGAGAAAACTCCGGCATCACTGAGATAAGAATGGAGCCGATAAGAAGATCAGCTCTAACAATGGAGACTGCATATTCAATTAGGCTCGGAAATAATAAAGACGAGAGGAGAAGGACCTCTGCTTGTATGACGTTCACACCGGGGTTTATTTGGAAGAATCTGCTGTACAATACAATAGGTAGAATCTTTCTAACAAATTGAAGGCTTTGCCAAGAAAATATGCTTATACAAATATTTAGTTACCACTGATGTAAGTGATTACACATTTGTTGCATACTTTCACTTCACTAAAGTAATTTTAATATATCTTCACCTTGAGTACATTTGGTCTTTGCTATCGATACATTAAATGATCTACTAATTGATTCAAGTCTTTGTTAATAAGAACATAAGATCTTTCAGTTGAAATAATAGTTTTGTTCTAAGAAGATCATTCCACTGAAAGCAAGACGAAATGTTCTCATTTGACTCCTTGATATGATACTATCATATCAAACTACATAAGACGCCAGACAAGAACAAAAATATGATAGAAATAAGGATAAAACTATAATTGAATCAAGCTTCAAAATAAGAATCTAAGACTAGAAAAGTGGAGGTGCAACATGTTTTAAGAATTGGGGTAAAAAAGTTAGAACTGGAAGCGGGTTGCAATTTTACTCTTTATCAATGAATGAAGGACGTGACAGTATTACAATTGTTTTTTGTTGTTTTTTTTTCATTACACAAGGTCATGGATGAATAGACTTTGCTTTACAAGAATAATCCTGGATGTGAAGATAAGTTAACTGTACATCTAATACAAAAATAAACAATAAACAGTTCTCAATCAGGTCCTCACTCAGGGACATTGACCGATCGCATGATGTTGGTGTGTCCACTGCCCGGGATCCACCCAGTCACCACGATCACCATGTCTCCAACTTTGAAGAACCCTCTCGCCTTACCTGGAGAGAAAATATATAAGATATGTGTCATGGTTTAGGCTCATTTCCTGTTTTGTAATTTGTGAACCCCTGTATCTTCTTCAGTTACTTACCCTACCCTCCTGTATTTCACCTGTGTCTCCTTCGTCTTGAGTATTTAAACCCTGTGTCGTCTTTCAGTCCATATACACGTGATTGTTCCAAGTCTCTTGGTTTTTGTCTTACGTTTTCTATTGTTTCTGTGGATTTCGTTTCGTAATAGCTTTGATGAAATCACTTATTTTTGCAGTCCGGCATTTTGAGTTTGTTTCATTTTCCCACCTGACAATATGTCTCTCATTAAGAACTAGTATTGAATGAGAATAATTAGTATTTGTCTTTAAAAGAAATGTATGGATTTCAAGAAATGGCATTTGTTTTAAATTCTATTTGTTTCTGTTGATTGATTTTAGAAGTCCTGTATTTCTTATAAAAACTTAACCCTGGCGACTAAAAAGTTAAGTTATTGGACAATAAAAAAAAAAAAAGGGTTAGGGTTCAAACTGACTTAAGCAATCATTTTAATTAATGGATGGTTTCATGTTTTGGTTAAAGTGAGGCGATTATGCCCTGGGGCCTTGTTTATAAAACTGGAAGTCTACTTTTGGACAAGACAAAAACATCCACAAACTTGCTCCCTAATTGTTTTTCTTGGCAGGAGCTCTCCTGATGTTGCTGTATTGACGGACAACACTGACCTATGTCCATGCCGAAGTTGACGCGGTTGTCCACATCGTCGGCCCACACTGGAGCTGGCAGCGGGTGGAAGAGCACTGGAAACACCCCCCTCAACAGCTGCGACTGCCGGGCCACCTGAGGCATGGAGACACAAAGGACACATGTAGACCACAGGTAAAGCAGCGCATCCTCTTATTTATGTATTAAAGCTCTATTCTATCACACAGCAGTTTTCACATTCATGTATTTTTGGCCTCTGTCACATCTTTAGATCAGATTATTCAATGAAAGAAAGTATTTGCCCTCGCTCAATCTCACTCATACCCTTCAGCAATCATCCTTCAGTACTGTATGTAAAGATCAAATGTTTACTAGCATTACTACGTCGATGTGGCTTGTGTAACTGTATTCTAATTTGTGATTTTTGTGGTCAATTGACAACATATGATCATCAAACTCTTGGATATGTCATAGAGTAAAATACTCTAGATTTGACTCTAGATGTTCTTATCTCGAGTCAAATCCAACATTCAGGGATGAACCTGGACCAGTTTTAACACCAATGGTTCCACTTGGAGCTGGTTGCTTTCTTACAGGTCCCTAAGCCTCATTTTCAGTGACATTTGCCTCAACTGTGAAAGGGAAATTGTTTAAACCTAAGAGAACAGAATTATCACTTAAAGTTGGAGTGTCTAACATTCTAAGCACAAAAAATAACTATTATGTTATAGTCTATAATGTAAGAAAAGAAGTTCCTAGTTTCAAAACAGTTTGGTACCATGTATTATTGGCCCTCATCACATCTTTCGATTGGCATTTTCAGACAGAAAAGTGAAAGAGAACTACCCTCATTCAGCTGTCATCCCAAAGCCCCACATAGTGACCCCACCTTTAAATCCACCTTTAAATCCAACTCTTTCCCAGCTCTCACAAACCCTCTGACGATCCTTGCAGGGTCTTTGTGACTACCACCCATCACTGGATATCACACCACATTCATGCCCCAGCAAGTGCTGAGTTCAAATACATAACAGCTTCATGACTCTTTCGACCGATGGCCACGTCATGATAATCAGAAGGAGCAGGAACAGCTTTCATACCACCACCACACTTGTAAAAAAGACTTGGAACAGAATGTGTCACTAGTATATATATACTGTATATATATATATATATATATATATATATATATATATATATATATATATATATATATATATATATATATATATATATATATATATATATATATATATATATATATATATATACCAACAGGACAGGACACACCAACCTGTGCACAGCCTGGATTGATTACCAGAAAGCCTACGACTCAATGCCACACACATGGATCATGGAATGCTTGAAGTTGTACAATATCAACAGGGCTCTAAGGGACTTCGTTGCAAACTCGATGGGAATGTGGAAGACCACCCTTGAGGCAAATGGCAAGCCGCTCGCACAAGTGACCATCAAATGTGGTATCTACCAAGGAGATGCTCTCTCCCCACTACTGTTCTGCATAGGCCTCAACCCTCTAAGCCAAGTAATTGACCAGACTGGCTATGGATACCGCCTCAGGAACGGAGCAAAGATCAGTCACCTCCTCTACATGGATGACATCAAGCTGTACGCCAAGAGCGAGAGAGACATCGACTCTCTGATCCAAACAACCAGGATCTACAGCCATGACATCGGGATGTCATTCGGGCTCGAGAAATGTAGCAGGATGGTGACTCGGAGAGGCAAGGTAGTCCACACAGAAGGGATCTCACTCCCAGAGGGAACAATAGCAGACGTTGAGGACAGTTACAAGTATCTCGGTATACCACAGGCAAATGGCAACCTCGAACAGGTGACGAGGAAAGCGGCAACTGCCAAATACCTCCAGCGAGTAAGGCAGGTCCTAAGAAGCCGGCTCAATGGCAAGAACAAGGCCCGGGCAATTTAACAGCTACGCCCTGCCAGTGATCAGATACCCTGCAGGAATAATCAGGTGGCCAAAGGAAGAGATTCAGACCACGGATGTTAAAACTCGAAAGCTCCTTACCATGCATGGCGGGTTCCATCCCAAATCCAGCACCCTGAGACTGTACGTAAGCCGTAAAGAAGGAGGCCGAGGACTAGTGAGTGTGAGAGCCACTGTCCAGGACGAAACATCCAAACTCCATAACTACATCATGGAGAAGGCCAAAACGGATGACGTACTCAGTGAATGTCTCAGGCAGTGGCGAGATGAGGAGGTGCTGGAGGAGAGCCCATCATGGGAGAACAAGCCCCTACACGGCATGTACCACCGGAGCATATCAGAAGTGGCTGATCTCAAGAAGTCCTACCAATGGCTAGAAAGGGCTGGCCTACAGGACAGCACAGAGGCACTCATCATGGCTGCACAGGAACAGGCACTGAGCACCAGAGCGATAGAGGCCCAGATATACCACACCAGACAAGACCCAAGGTGTCGGTTGTGCAAAGAGGCACCTGAGACGATCCAACACATAACTGCAGGGTGCAAGATGCTGGCAGGGAAGGCCTACATGGAACGCCATAACCAAGTGGCTGGCATAGTGTACAGAAACATCTGTGGAGAGTATGGGCTGGAAACCCCAAGGTCTAAGTGGGAAACTCCTCCAAAGGTGGTGGAAAATGAGCGTGCGAAGATCCTGTGGGACTTCCAGATACAGACCGACCGAATGGTAATGGCAAACCAACCTGACATCGTGGTGGTAGACAAAGGGCAGAGGACAGCCGTGGTGGTGGACGTGGCAATTCCAAGCGATGGTAACATCCGGAAAAAAGAACATGAAAAGCTTGAGAAATACCAAGGTCTCAGAGAGGAGCTGGAGAGGGCCTGGAGGGTAAAGGTGACAGTAGTGCCCGTGGTGATCGGTGCACTCGGGGCAGTGACCCCGAAGCTAGATGAGTGGTTACAGCGGATCCCCGGAACAACCTCGGACATCTCGGTCCAGAAATGTGCAGTGCTAGGAACAGCAAAGATACTGCGCAGAACCCTCAAGCTCCCTGGCCTCTGGTAGAGGACCCGAGCTTAGAGAGGGATAACCGCCCGCGGAGGGCCAAAGGTGAGTGGACAATTTTTTTTTTTTATATATATATATATATATATATATATATTTTTTTTTTTTACCTATATTTAACCAGGAAAGTCCCAAGAACCTCTTTTTCAAGGGAGTCCTGGACAGATAGTGGGAGAAATACATACACTTGCATTAGGAGAGTACTGTCCATGATTATTTGAGCCAATTCATTAGTAAGATTTAAAGGTTTTTTTCCTCCATAAAAAATAAATAAATGGTTTGTACCAAAATAAAGAGAATTGTAAAATTAAAATGGTGTAAGAATTCTATTAAGACACTGCAATTATTAGAATGTTATTTTCTTGCATGTTGTAAGATAGACCCGGACACTGATTGGTGCTTTGAGCTGGGAGCGTCAATATGGTTTGATCTTTTTCACCTTTCTGTCTGAAAAATTGGATCTAAAATGCAAGCACGTGAAAACTAGTGATAGAAGCAAACTGTTTTGAGAGCAAGGAACATACAGTTGTTCCATTTTATGTGATTTGAAAGTAAGAGATGGTGTCTGTGCTGCGTTTGGCCCAGGGACCGCAGTTTGGACACCCCTGGTTCAGGCTCTTGGCTTTGAATAAATCTGATTGATTACAAACAAACAAGACACATTCCAGGACAAGCTGCTAAAACCTCTCCATGGTTAAAAAAGTGACATTGTGAATCATTAATCTCTGGTGCAAAACTCATTACAGCGTTAATTCAGTATAAAATGACACATTCCATGCGAGACAAACATCACAAGTAAATGATGTCTTTGGCAGAATATTAGCAATTAGTTCCACCAGGCTCAAGCATCCACGGTTTAGATGTGAAATCATGTTTATCTAATAGACAATCTTTTAAAAGCAGGCCTGTGCTGTTTCAACCAGCCCATCTCGGACATGTCCCCAGTGTTGCATGTTTGCACACATTTAAACTTTAATGTCTGTATCTTTCGTTTCCAGTAAAGAAAGTGGTGTTTTGTTGTGCAACATTTTCATGATCAATGAATGAAACATCTCCAATAGGAATATTATGTTTCAGCAATTTACCAGGAACATATTTCCAAACTATGATCACATACGTTTAAGCTTTGTTTCTGCGTCACTTGCTTCCACAGACACTCAGGGACTGTCCACAAGATAAATAATGCAGACGCTCTCTTATAGAAATAACAGGCTTTTCCTCCTGTAAAAACATCTTGGGAGAAATGTGTGAATGGAAAATATAGAAGGTTAGCATGAAGGCTGAGTGACCTATTTTAACTCAACTCAGCCAATATAGACATGCCTTTTTTTGAAGGTTTTTGTCATTTATTTGATTCTATTTCTATATGCTTCTAGTCACTGTTCAGACTCTCATATTCTTTCCTCTGCTATACTGATGTTGCTTTAAATTGAGCAAAAAGTTAATCAAATATAGATATAGATATGACATAGAAACACAAAATTAACAAAGGTCAAAACTGGTCTGCTCATAATAATCTATACTACTTCTATAGCTCATGACACTCAAAGGACACTTCATACGGACCATTCGTTCATATAGTCATATAAAAAGTGGTGGTAAACTATAGCTGCCCTGAGGAAGACTGACAGAAGGGCAGTCCACCAATTGTCATGCACACCAGACCAGACTCATACGAGGCATCTGGGTGAAGTGTCTTGCTTTTGAGGTCTGATGGGAGGAGGCTTTCGCATTTAGGTGGCACCTCTGTTAGCACAATAGTTGCAAACTAACAGTGGGACATTTACAACAACAACTTATTCTTGTATAACCCGAAATCACAACAGAAGTCATCTCAGAGGACTTAACAAAACCATTGAAATCACCAACACAGATCAGAGAATCAACAGCTAAGACACAAAATATACACATATGAATTGGTCCATAGGGAGTCCATGAATGTTGATAAATGTCCATACATGTTGTAGAATGTTAAACAGGTGGACAAAACCCTCCTGTTTCAGCTCGCCTTTCCCTAACTTTGTTATTCACTGTTTATTTTATGTGTTTTGCTAAACGTCTTTGAGTGTCCAAAAAACCGCTAAGTAAGTTTGATGTTGTTGTGTTAATATTATTGTTGTTATTATTAATTAACATTTATTAGCATTTCTGCACATTTATGAACATTTGTATTACTGCTCTTGTGTTCTAGGGCTACACAAAAATAAATGTAATTGTATTGACATGAGTAGGCTATTATAAATTCATATTTAAAAATGCCAAAATTAAAAATATTGTGTCCAGGGCAGACTTGGAGATTCTTATCCATTCTTTTGTTTCCAGTAGGCTGGATTACTGCAATGGCCTGCTCACAGGTATCTCCAAACATGCAGTAAGACAGTTGCAGTATATTCAAAATGCTGCAGCCCGAGTCCTGACTAGAACCAGGAAGTACGACCACATTAGTCCGGTCCTCAGGTCTCTGCACTGGCTTCCCGTGGCCCAGAGAATAGACTTTAAAGCAGCTCTCCTGGTGTACAAGTCTCTCCATGGCCTTGCACCAAAGTACATCCATGATATGCTAGTCCCATATGAACCAGCCCGGACTCTGAGGAGCGCAGGGACGGGACTCCTGTTAGTGCCCAGAGTCAGGACTAGACAGGGGGAGGCTGCTTTTCAGATTTATGCAGCTGGAGTCTGGAACGGTCTTCCTGAGGATGTGAGACTGGCTGCCTCTCTGTCAATGTTCAAATCCATGTTAAAGACTTTTCTTTTTTCCCGTGCATACAACTAGAGAATTTTATCTTTTTAACACACCTTGTTATTTATTGTTGTAACTTTTTGTGTTTTTAACTATTTTATTGTTTTTAATTACTTGTGTGATTTTTATGTTTTTAAATTACTTATGTGATTTTAATGCTTTTTAATTACATATGTGTTTTTAATTGTATTTTAATGGTGATGATTTGTGCATTGTGTGGTGTGGACTGTGAGGCGCTTTGTGTTGCCCTGTGCAGGAAAAGCGCTCTATAAATAAAGATTGATTGATTGATTGATTTACACTGTAGGAAGATGTATCTTGTGTATTAATGGCATCTGTATTTTGGTGGATTTTATTTCATCCACCAAACAAAGCGAAACCTGAAAAGAAACCTGTCATTTGCGCTTTAAGCAATTTTTAGTAGTATTGATAGAATTACTGAGAGCTGCACATTGTTAAATTGTAGAAACAGCAGCAAACAGACAAAAAGTTCCTCAAAAATGTGGGTGATGGCAACAATCTGGACACGCTCATTCAGAGGAGACGATGAGGCATATTCAGTGTTTACAGCTGGAGAGTAAATACATGAACATTAACTACACTACTCTGAGTTATCATATCCTTTCACTGCAGTTAGAAAAGGCTGGTAAGGACGACGTTATGCTTACTGCTGCTGCTGCAAAAACCACATCAAGATGATTCCTCAAAAAAAAAATCTGCTTCTTTGAGTTTTTAGAGAGCCATAACATGCAACATTAACTTATTGTTTTTCCCCTTTCGATTACACACACAAAGGTTATTATAGAGTGATTCCTGCACGTTTGAGTTATTAAAATCGTAAACCTTGAAACATCATTTCTCCCCCTGGCTCCTCCCACCATCACATTTACTTACATTTTGAGTCTGTGAGGTGACATGGATGATTTTTCAGTTTTTCTCACATCTCTGCATATGAGATTTCGAAGATTTCAAACGTGCTCAATCTGACCTTTCAAATATAAGCCACGGGAGTCAAGATTTTCACCACATAACAGCCAGGGAGGTGTGAAGACTGTAGGGATGTAATGTGTGGCTACTCTAGTTATTGGCATACTTGGAGCGTTCACAAGTATTTAGTAAAACATGTTGTTAATGCTAAAAGATTCTTTAAATAACAGATGAAAGCTGGTTCATGTCTCCATAGCGCTGACATAACCATCTGCTTATCTCCACGGAGACATTTCTGTGCCATACTGTGGACGATTTGCCAAAAGCACATGGCATTTTGACAGGTTCAGCTCTCAAATAGCAAATGGCAATACATTGATTCAGATTCTGATTCTGATTAACTTGACAATGAGAAATTAGAATGTAATATGTTTTGATAATTAATAAGAAATATAAAATTGGTAAAGTTCTCAAAAGGAAGATTTTATGCAGAAAATTCATATAATCTTGTAGACAAAATATGAAAAATGTATTTCCTATAGGGCCTTTTACCTGAGGGCTGCGTGTGACTGCGATGATGGGGCAGCGGGGACGGTACCGTGACAGCAGATGTGCCGACCTGCATTTGGAACAAGCAGAGTGCAAGTAGGCATAAAATAACTTAATACAATGTCCAAATCATATCACAGGGACAATTATTTTCCTTTTGACTCAGAGTAAACATTTAGTGTCAAATCTGTGTAGCCAAATATATTTTCTATCGAATCCATTCTAATGTTAACTCAAACAACAGTAATTAAAATGTGTTGCCAGGGATCTGAGGCAAAGTAATTCCACTGTGATGAGAATCTTTCATTTTGTGAAAATGCAGTTTGTTTCTAAAAGCTTTGACGTTTGCTGCCACTTCAAGCCAAAAGCAAACAAAGGCATATCGTATTGCTCATTTTGATATACAAAGACTAAATTAAGATAACATACAGATAAATGCCATAGTTAATAATAATAATTATAATGTGTGTTTACTAAAGTCAGCACCCCATATGTGATCTGGAGTGAAAGTGCAGATGGGGACTGGGTAGTTTTATTTTAACATGCAACTGGTAACTTGCTTGAAAATGTATGTAATGTATGGGCATGTATCTACAACTACAAAAGCGATTCGATTTTACTTTTACTTTGACATCAACCTGCTAAAAATAGCATCTCTTTTTGAAGAATACATATATGAATTGTACATACATATATGTATGTACAATACTTATTGTACACCTCAATATAATAGTAAGGTATGATTTATATTTTCACTTGATTTTTTTACTGTTTTTCCACTTTTCCTGTAATTTTGCATGCTTGGTTGATTGAATGGCGTACAATGACTTATAGAGGTTATAGTGGTGCTCATATCACTGTGCACAAACTGAAGAGGATAACAACAACAAAGACAACAGAACACAAGTCCTTTTAGAGCCTTGAGCGGCAGGAGTGGATATTAGCTCAAACACAAACATCTGTTCCTTTGTATAAATAATTACAAGATTTCTGCTCACAGGAGAAGAGCAAACAGGTAAATGATAATAGTTTGTTTCTTCCAAAGGTTAGTAATGAAATCTGCACTAGTGGCGTGTGATGTACAGCAGAAGCAGAGACTAAACTAGACCCATTAAGACGTTCTGAGAAGTACAGGATTCTGATCTTGTGTTTGTTTAGCAGCTAACGTTAATGCTCCTGGCCTTATAAACATGCACATGCACATACAGTACATCTTCATATACAAAACTGCACAATACAGTTTAGTTTATGATCTCACCTGCCAATCTCAAATTCTTAGCTGGCCACAAATGCAAAAACAATAATGCTTGTAGATGTCTTTGTGTACCTCCCAGTGGTGGTGAGCACAATGATGGCCCCAGCGCCGCACTTGAAGGACGACTCTACGGCCCCGATGGCAGTGACCTCTGTGGGGTCAGAGGATAGTGGGGTGAGCCGCCTCAGCTCCTCGAACAGCTGGTGATGGAAGATTGCCCCCTCTGCCTCCCTGCAGATCTGAGAGGGACACACTCTGTCACTCACTTCTATTATTGTTGCACTATGTTTTGCGGTTCAGCCTTTCAAAGATATTTCATAAAAAATATATCTAGAAATGCATTAAAAGTGTCAAAGGCTTTATAAAAAAAAAGAAAACAGCACCCTCCTTTATATATGGATGGTTATTTTTTTTTTTTTAAAGGATGTCTTTGCAAATCCAAATATGACCTCTAATAACTGACTAATCTATAGCGCAAGCGAAAACAGACAGACGTTACTTCTGATTGGCTCTTTGGTTTCTAGTTTGTTGCTATCCCTAAATTTGGCTCCACTCCTCCTATAGTCTATAGGTCTTGTTATAAAAAGATAAAAAAAAAAATAAAGATTAACAGACCGAGTGCATCATGGCCACTGCCTCCACTGGGTACTGTCCTTTGGCTGTTTCCCCCGACAACATGACGCAGTCCGCTCCGTCCAGCACCGCGTTGGCCACATCACTGCCCTCCGCTCGAGTGGGACGCGGGTGGGACACCATGCTCTCCAGCATCTGAAGCAGACACACCATTATCTATATATGTCTTATACATATTTATACAGGAAAGGCCCAAAAGAGCAGTGTGTAGTGTGTTTGATGCCCCTAATGTGATTTCTGCAACGCGCAATATTTTACTTTCTATTTTAAATGTCTCCCATTTTATGAATTAAAAAGTTTAGCAGTTGAGAGGCGTATACAAATGTAATTTTTTTCATAGCACCACGGTAGACAAAGGCCCCATTTAGAAGGAGACGCTGCCACAGAAAAGTGTTAGAGTTGGGTATTGGTTTGGCCTCTTGTTTGCATGGAGACGGTGTTTCAGGGGAGTGAAAACGCAAGCGTTGCGATTAGCCTCCAGAGTGGAACAGAACAGATATACTGCTCAGCGGGGTCCGTTTCACACCAGTGTGAAGAAAAAGATGTGATTTCTCTGCTGCTATGACCTCCGCTTCCCCGCACGTACATTTGGACATGTGCAGTAGCTGAGAACAAACGTAAATAACAATGGCGGCGGGTCCACTAACTAGCTAAGTGTGCTTCGAGCGCTACACGGAGGAGGATTCTTCTCCTTTGTTCGTCCAAACAAAACCACGCAAAGCTGTAGTTTATTTCCATGCTCGCAGCTGCTGTTAAATGCAGAACGAAGTTGGTGGATTCTTTCACGTCTTTATGGTGGCCTGAGGCGGATGTTGTTGAAGTAAATATACTGCTGAGGGTCGCGTGTGTCGTATGGGGTGCCGATTGTAAAAATTCTGTTAAAATTTTTTAGCTGAACATTTTTCTACATTTAGCTCACTTTCCTCACATTTAGCACATTTTCCTCACATTTAAGACATATCTATATCTAAATATTATATCTATATCTAAATGTTAAATGTTATATCTAAATATTATATCTATCTAAATGTTATATCTATATCTAAATGTTATATCTATATCTAAATGTTATATCTATATCTAAATGTTAAATCTAAATGTTAAATCTAAATGTTATATCTATATCTAAATGTTATATCTATATCTAAATGTTATATCTATATCTAAATATTATATCTATATCTAAATGTTAAATGTTATATCTAAATATTATATCTATATCTAAATGTTATATCTATATCTAAATGTTAAATCTAAATGTTAAATCTAAATGTTAAATCTAAATGTTAAATCTAAATGTTGAATCTAAATGTTAAATCTAAATGTGTCGCCAAGTGTAAAGCTAAATATATAGAAACCACGCCCACTGCAGTGGCTTCAAATCCAGTGGGCCCGCCTTCCGTGCCGTGTGGTGAGAACCCTACAGGATTCCACAGGAATCTCACGGGACTCCGCGTGGCTTAGTTTACAGTGAATACACTCTGGCTCCAGCAAATAAGCAAGAATCTTCACAAAAATGCTAATTTTGTGCCGTGGCCAAGGACGATGGCGCCGGAGACCCAACATGCCTTGAGCCGTGACGTCGGTCCACGTGTATTCCTATGTTCAAAACACGCGGCACTGCCCCCACTCACCACACGGCACGGAAGGCGGGCCCACTGGATTTGAAGCCACTGCAGTGGGCGTGGTTTCTATATATTTAGCTTTACACTTGGCGACACATTTAGATTTAACATTTAGATTTAACATTTAGATATAGATATAACATTTAGATATAGATATAATATTTAGATATAACATTTAACATTTAGATTTAACATTTAGATTTAACATTTAGATTTAACATTTAGATTTAACATTTAGATTTAACATTTAGATATAGATATAACATTTAGATATAGATATAACATTTAGATATAGATATAATATTTAGATATAGATATAATATTTAGATATAACATTTAACATTTAGATATAGATATAATATTTAGATATAGATATGTCTTAAATGTGAGGAAAATGTGCTAAATGTGAGGAAAGTGAGCTAAATGTAGAAAAATGTTCAGCTAAAAAATTTTAACAGAATTTTTACAATCGGCACCCCATAGTGTCGTGTTGTAAAGTTCATCTGCCCACTACAGGCCGGGCGTTAAAACTACATTGTTTTCACGCCTCATCTGAACGCTGCGCAAGAGCCTGGTCGTTTCTGTTAATTGCTTTACAGCGTCTGCGCAGCACTTCCATCTAAACGTGGCCAAAGTGTTGTGGTGAGAAGCCATTTGGAGATGAAATTACTGAGGCAAGTAATGGACCGTGATTAGAGAAAGGGGAACATGTCTAAAAGCATCAAACAGGTTGAGAACATAAAATAAGACAAATACCATAGGTTTTGGCTGTCCTTCTAGTTTTAATTGACAAAAAGAAGTACATCCATAGTTAAGTAAATTATATTGTACAGTGCAATGCCTGAAGGTAGTATATTATACTATTAGCAGCACTATAGGGATGGGAAATCATTTTGACCAGATCTTCGCCGCTGTGCGCATGTGCACATACTGACAGATATGTCTTACTTTACCAGAGAGACTACATTTTAGTAGTTTGTTAGGCATACTTACTTCTCACCCTTTATTAAAAAATTATTTGAAGTTGTATATGAATACGGTGTTCATGTTTCACATGACATTGCCTTATGATGTCTTATGATGACTTATGGCTAACGATAGCCGGGTTTAAGTCGAGTCTTGTTACAGTGTCCCCATTTCAGCATCGTAAACGTTGTTTCCCCATTGGTATTGTCTGCATTGTAAAGCCTTGTTAATGCTTAGTCAGTCCCGTTCTTGTTCTTCAGCTGACCTGCGTGGCGCATATGACAGGTTTTCCTGCCGAGTTGCAACGTCCAATCATCATCTTCTGAGCGATGAAGACCTTCTCTGCCGGAATCTCAATGCCCAGGTCGCCCCTAGCAACCATCACCCCGTCGCTCTCGGCCAAGATCTCCTCAAAGCTGATGGAGATCAGAGGGATAAGGAGAAGTAGGAAGCAGAAAATACGTAAAAAAGGTTTGACCTGTGGACTAAACCTGCTCCTTGTCATTCAGAATTTCTAACATATTGCTGGACTTTTTGTGAAGCCGGTGCCCTGTAGTTTATGCCTCTGCTGATTAATTCCAGGCAGGGATGTGCTACTTGCCAAGAAATTCTATATATTCATTTAAGCTTGACTACAAAACAGATATTCAAAAAACATGGAATACATGTAAATATATGTAGTAATATATATAATATACATATTTATCAATGTATGGGTAAATTCACTAATAACGTTTTATTTGATTGAATATACTGGGAGTGGAATATAACTTTGTTTTTCTGAAGTTTTACATTGCCAGGAGCTTTCACTTCTTGATGAATTGTCCTTTGAGATAAAAATTACACACAAGGAATCTGAAGGTTATACAGTTTTGGTTTGAGTTCATGGACGTTTTTCTTTTGCAGAGTATTTTTCAGTTTAGCTGAAATTCAATCTTCTTCAAACTTCAGTTTTGTGGTTTCAAAAATCAACACTTATGCAGTCGGATCTATACACAATTCTAATCATATGACCCTAAATCTACCATAACAAAGTGTCAGCCCTAAGATAAGGGTATTTACAATTTACATCAAATTTTGAACTGTGTAAACACACCTCACACTTTTGGAAGGGCCAGAATAAGAAAGTAATAATCAAAGTTACAAATTTACAAAATATTTATGTGATATAAAAAAGTAGCACAATTGAAAAACACTCCTTTTATTTATTTTTATTTTCCTCTTGGTTTGGACATAATGAGAGATTAAGATAAGTCTGGCAAATTGTCCCATTATTATTGGTTCCTCAAACAATAAAAGACTACCATTAAAAGTAACCTGATAATCTGTTGCCACATTTACATTGTGTCTATGTTCCAATATATACTGTAGCGTAGACCTATTAGTTGTGCTCATTATGGTCCTGCTTCAGCTAAAAAACTGTTTCTCTAAAATTTCCCTCAGTCCCCTCTGTCCCATGTGTCTGCAGAGGTACTGGAGCATAAATAATGGCTCTTCGCTGCCAGATAATCGTGTAAAATGTAATATTCATGATCCTATTTAAAATCCCATTTATATCAGCCCACCGTTTAAAAAGAGTATGTGAGAAATGTATAAATGATGTTTGAGTAGCCATAAATTTTGAGTTATGGTAGTTTGACTTTACATTATCCTTTAATTAGGGGTGCCCAAAGTGGGAACCCTGCATGGGCTTTTGTCCCGCCCAACGGATGTCGGTTGCTTATTGCACGCACACCATGGTTGTACGCCTACGCATTAAATGACAATTATTCACTTACATCTCTGTTAGTAGTCCCTTGGACACGTGTAGTATGTGACAGTATTATTTTTGCTGTCCAGTACTTGAGTGATGCATGGACGTGCGTTGATGGAAGATTGGACACACGTTCACTAATTATCAGCTGCGTTTAGTTAATTTGACGTCCAGGAAAAACGCAGGGCGGAAGTGGTGGGCCGTGTCAGCGAACACATTAGCAGCACTTATTTATAGTCACAGTAGAATGTCAGCTCTGGTTTAATCCTGGTTTAGCTCATGTTTTTGTGGTTTTCGAGTGTCTTCATCTTCCTGTTTTTGACCAGTGTGTGTCCCTGTGACCACTTTGCTACTCTCTAATTGGTTAGTTGTCATTATTATAATTATTGTCATTGTTATTATTGTTTTTGTTAACATTATTATTATTATTGTTATTATTCTAAGCTGGTCACTTACTTATGGACTCCCTGGCGACTCTCCACTTTGCTGATGACTTTGACGGCCTGGCCGTACGGACCAAGAGCCTTGCGTACGTCCCTCACATCGTGTGCCGAGCGGATGAAGCTGGCGAACACCATGTCGATGCCCTGTGACACGCCAAACCGCAGATCTGCCTCGTCACGTTCGCTCACAGCCTTCAGTGCAATCAGGTCACAGCCAGGGAGGTTCACCCCTTTCCGGCTACAGAGAAGACCCCCTGATTCCACCACTGAGTCCACCCAGTCGTCCCCTGGGCCAGACACATATGTTGTAGTTTTAGGCACAAAGGACTTCCATACAGTATATATTTGTGCTGACATGTAAACTGGGACTGACTAAACTAGAACACAAAGAAATAAACAGTGACCCAGTCTTAACACAACTGGTCTTAATAAATACAGTAAATTGGATTAAAACATGTTGTCCTCATGTTGTTACTTCGCCACAGTACTGTATGTGAGTTACATATAACAATGTTTTAACTCATGGATATCTATGTGATGAGGCCAAGGCAGCACCTGAATACTGAGTTTAGATGTATCACCTATTTCCAGCACTTTGAGAGCGATCAGGCCGTCGTCAATGTAAATGGTGCCATCTTTGTCCAGGACTTTGGGCAGACTGGGATAATCCACCCAGATCACTGCTCCGTCAGTTTTGTCTTTCTCACTTTCGGCTGTCACCACTCGCACGCGGCTGCCTTTTTTCAGCTCCACCTCCTCCTCCACCCTCTGCAAGATACATGCAACTGCTTCTTTGGACTGTATATTTTACAGTGTGACAAACTGATTATCTATGCTAAGAATATTCCATAAAACTATATTATATTTACTGTTTGCATAGTGGTATTGACATGTAGCATAATAAGAGATCTGGTGATGTAATATTGTTAAAATGTACAACTGAAAATTGAAAGTCCAATGTATGAATGATCAGATCACTAAATTGTATTGAATCAAGTTTCCCTGTAATTACATTATAGTAGATTAGACAAGCACATGCTATTTTCTAAGTGGAAGTTATATGTATGTATCATAATTCCTGTTCCACTCTCAACCAGAAAAGTACACGATGCACCAATAACTCAATTGTTTAACATGCATTTTCCCTCAAGGCCTTGTCTGTACACCTGAGCAACCCGATGTGCAAAATGAGTTGAGAAATGAAGCCTGTCTAAGTTTGATGGTGCGTTTTTTCCTGTGCCAGTGGGGGCTCTTCCAGCCGACTGCATGTGACGGTTAGATTAGTTTTTGAGAGTTGAAGCAGACTGTTTTTACCCCTTTGACTAATCCAGTGCGGATCTCTGGGCCCTTGGTGTCCAGCGCGATGGCCACGGGTCGATAATAGAGTGGGTCCGAGGTGATGGTGTCCACCGCCTCCCGGATGTTTTTGATGGTTTCTCCATGGTACTGAGGAGAGCGCAGGCAGACAGACAGAAGATCAATGCTGAGGCTCTATAGTCAAGTCAAGTACTTTGCTCTGAGTACATTAAATATGTCATGTATCTAATTTGTAAATAGTAAATACTGCAATCATGTGCAATACTGAATGTCACTTTATCTACTTATTATCCTACCAGATATGTATATAGATTACAGATCCATTCATATTGAAGCATTTATAGCTATAGCTAAGAAACATAGCAGCTACTTATATTGTATATTTTGTGTGCTCCCTGTGTGCTGTCCTGTATGTGCGCTGCAACACTGATATTTTGGTTTAAGAGGAAGAAAAGTGAAAAGGAGATCAAATAACAACCAGGACTCAATCTCTGACTAAAAGCTACCTGATTTTCAAGTGAAATTAGTAGTCTAACCTGCCAAATGGGCTTTATATAGTACATATAATGAAACCAATTTAAATGGCTCAAAACAAACAACGTCAATTGCTTGTATTCTGAAGCAGACAGAGCAGAGGGTAGATCAATGCAGTGGCTGGAGACAAGACAAGATTACACAGTCTCTAAATTGCTTTCCAGTTTTCTTTCAGACCTGAATAATACCAGGTCAAAAGCCTAATAAGCAATTTTGCCTGATGTCACTCAGAGAATATGTGCACTATCATAGTTTTGATCATCAAGTTTGAAATTAATATTCCTCTAAAACACAAGTAACATGTAAATCTTATTTTGTTTGGATTTTTCAGTTCTTGAAATCCTGGGACCAACCTTATGTGATCCGTGAGAGAAGTTTAGCCGAGCGATGTTCATTCCCGCTTTCACCATCTCCTGCAGTTTGGGGATTGATCTTGAGGCGGGACCTGAGGGCAATCATAAATGATTTACCGGAAATCTGCAAATATACCAGCTGCCAATTGTATGCAGATGACACAATCATTTATGTAGCTGCAGATTCCCCTAAACAGGCTTCAGACTTGTTGAACAGACAGCTTGTCAGCACATCTCAGTGGCTGCGGGACAACTGTCTGACCTTAAATTATACTAAAACTGTTGCCATGTGTTTCTCTCTAAAGAGAAATTCACCAAATGATCTAAACATTAATATTGACAAAAATAAAATCGAGCAGGTTGATGAGTTTAAGTATTTGGGGGTTATTATAGATTCTAAACTGAAGTTTGATGCCCATGTCAGAAAAATGTCTAAGACCATCAAGACAAATTTAAATTGTTTCCGTATAATTAGGTCTTGTGTATCAACTCAGGCGGCACGAGTATATCTACATGCTATGATTTTATCTCATATGTCGTATTGTTCAATCGTTTGGGGCCAGGCCTCACAATCTGTCCTAAAGCCTTTAACATCACTCTACAAGCAAACACTTAAAGTGTTTGATCAAAAACCAATGAAGTGGCATCACTGCACTATCATTCAAAAATATAAAATGATGACATTCGATAGCTTCGTCAGTTTCTCTTTTATAAAAAATATATTCAAGTGTCTTAATGGTCTTGCTCCGTCTGTAATGTGTCAGTTAGTACAAAAATACACTAATCAAGGAGTGAGCACCAGAGCTGGAGTCAGCGGGAACTGCAGAGTGAAGTTTTGTAAAACTGCTCTGGGTCAGTCTGCGTTCTCAGTAAAAGGGACACAGTTATGGAACTCTTTGCCACTGGAGCTAAAGTCCCAAATGGACCTGAGACTTTTCTCACAAAAGCTGAAGCTGTGGCTAAAGAACAAACAAAAGTGTGAGCACTGAACAGTTTGGCTGGACTTGGGATGGGAAGTGGTCAGATATGTCTTCTCCTCTTTCTTTTTATTGTTGTATTGTTTGATGCCTATTACTGATTTTTCATCTTTCTGTTCTGTTTTAAACCCCTTTGAAAAGCCTAACCAGGGACGGGGGCTGCAAATTAGCCTATGGCTAGACGCCTTATGTACATAACATCGGCCACTGAGCTGGCAATGTTTTCTTGTGCTGTCCCTGTCAAATAAACAAATAAAAAAAAACAAAAAAAAAAAAAGAAACAACAGGAGACTTTCTTTGAGAAATGTATGTAGAGATTATTATGAAGTCTGATTACAGATGAGACAACGGTACCAAGGTTTTATCTCTACTCAAAACAATGATCTTTCTACTCTGCTGAGCTTCCATCGTGTCCTCCAACACAAACTCTCATGGATATTGATAATGTAAAGATAACCTCTGGAACTTAAGTGGGCATCCATCCATCCATCCATTTTCTGCCCTTTAATCCATTTCTGGGTCAGGGGGGTGGCAATCAGAGATGCCACCCAAGTCTCACAGCACCAGCCCCTCACTGATCCTCTGCAGGTGGTGAGTCCACAGGAGGACGGCTGCTCTCTGAGTGTGAGCATAGCCTTGATCTTTCAGTGGGGGCTTTTGGGCAAAGTGGGGTTAAGTGTCTTGCCCAAGGACACAACGACAGCAGTCATCAGTGGGAGTCGATGGAGAAGGTGCAGAGGTGGGAATTGAACCCACGACCTTCTGGCCTTAAGGCCAATGCTCTACCAACTGAGCTACTGTCGCCCCCCAAGTGGGCGACAGTGGGCATAATCTGTCAAATCATAATTAACAGATAATTAGTTTGTTGGCCTCACTACAAAACACTGACGCTGTTTATTTTATTCATATTTAATTCAACTACAACTATAGTTTACAGATATACAGTAGTTGTTTGTTCTAAACCTATGTGTCTGCAAGTCTGGAAAGAAGAAAAGCTATTCATGTCATTCTCCAGTAAAACATCTGACACAGAGGCCCATTGGGACCAAATGATGTATGGTGAGTTCGTCAGTCAGCTCAATTGTCCTGAGGAGAAAAATCAATGCTTGTGTTTATTTTCTGTGAGCCTTCAGCAGAGGACTGTGGCTCACAGCTCTGCGGGAGCTTCTATCTGGTCCCAGACGCTGAGCTGTTGAGATTCACACAAGCATCCATTGACCTGAAGGGAGACAATCATTCCAACTCCCAACTTCCAATGTTTTTTCAATATATGTGTTATTAAAGAGGTCGCTATATTTAAAGCAAGAAAAGCAGTGTCCACAGTCTGCTACTGTAGCTACTAATCGGTCAGTGAACAGTAACCACTAGTGCGTACACTGCTGGAGCCACAAACGTCCCACTGTGGCATAGAGTATTACTAGAAGTCTCCCATCCAACTATTAACCCAACACACTTGCATGTGTGGATTTGTATATCTTTCATCTTTAGATGTATCTTCAACATAGATTGAGTAAGAATGTAAAAAAAAAGAAAAAGAAACACACTGTAAAGAAAATAAAATAATATTATTCTTATTTGAATGTCTTTTCAGTGTGGAGGGCCTCACCGATTGTGCAGATAATGTTGGTGTTGCGAGCCGTGATCGGCTCCTGGTCGATGTCCAGAAGACAGAGATGCTCCAGGAATGTGTCGGCCATACTGGCGTCCAGCTGCTGCCGCTGGATGAACGAGTCCGGAAGAGACATCACGTCGGAGTAGCGGCGAATACGTGCTACAGACAAACAAGGTCAGACTGGTGACAGTAGAGCAGGGCTCTTCAACTTGGTTTAAGACACTTGAGGGCCCAAGGCTTCTACATTTTGAGGCCACTATCAATAAAGAAATGATGAAGACATTGGTGTCATGCCTCTGGGGATCAAAGGGAACAGACTCAACCTCAAATAATACAATAATACAAATACATGTACATATAGGACTTTGCTTTGGTTTATAAGACTATGTGGCTGGTTTTTATAGTGACACTTACATATGTTAATAATTTAGGATTCCTTCCTACAAAGCACATACATCCTAGGACCTGAGGTGTGTTAATTGTGAGACTAGCCCTTCAGTGAAGGGCTGTAAAATGAGAGACAAAGTAAAAATAGCAGCGGCAGCACCACTGAAACATGTGGAACGAACTGAAATCATGTACATGTCACGCGCTGTTGTCAGTGATAATGGTTTGCCGTTGGTCTTCACCAGGTTTCCACACAATGTAGCTAGTATTTGGGCTCGTTTTTTCATGCAGATCTTCTCTAAAGCTTTTTTTGGGGCTGTCGCTGGGCAACACAGACTTCCATCTCCCTCAACAGATTTTCGATTGAGTTGAGGTCTGGAGACTGACAGGGCCACTTCCAGGACCTTGAAATGCTTCTTATGATGTGTGGGATTATTGTCTGAATCACCCAGCCAGTGGCCATCGACATCTGTTTTGTCTCGAGTCCCTGTGGGGAAGCTGGTCCGAGTGTCAAAATGAGACAGCAGACATAATATAAAGTGTAAATCAGAAGATTTATTGTGGACAAAAACAACAGAGTCTTGTCCCTTTGGTCTGTCCCTGATGAGGTTCATCTGTGAGCTTTTGAAAATAAATCATAGAATTTATTCTGCCAACACGATCTTGTCTTTAGTTTACAGTATATAAAGCATAAATTGGACCCTTTCATTTTCAATCTTCTATTTTGGTTCATGTTTGAAGGTTCAACCATTCATAAGGAATAATGAAATGTGGACATGTGTTTGTATTTTCTCATATAAAATGAATAAAAACACACCAAATCCTACAAAATGCACAGTTCTAATTGTTATACAACAACATTCCTTAACATGCACCAGATATCTGTAATCATCAGAAGGAATGAACGATTTAGGAAGTTATTGAGTTTTTTCACTATAAACAAAGATTACGATTAGATTATTTTTAATTGGATTCTCATCAAAGTGCACATTTTTTACATTTACAAAGCAGGAACATGAGTGTGGGAGATCTAAAAGGCAAGCAGCATAAAACATGTGAGAAGGTAAATTACTTCGCTCACTTCATCACTACAGACTCCTGTCTATGTTGTCCCCGTAGAGCCCACATTTGCCCACTTGGCATCTACTTACTCATATCATTACATCCCCCACATACAACTACTTGCTTCCGGTGTCTCAGTCCATTGGCCAAACCCTGGTCACACCATGACGCGTTGGTCGCGTGCCTTCTCATTATATTGTTGTATTTTTTCTATATGTGGGAATGGGGAGGCATGTTCACACTGGGCAAAATTGTCTGTGTTTGAGGAGTTTATGGCCCATTTACCTGTGTTTCAATAGAACCCTCTCAATTTAGACATGGTTTAGCCCAAGGGCGGGGCTAAGGATTTAAAAGGATTGTTCTCTCACTTTTGGGAGGGTGAGAGTGAGCTGGAGTCTGTGAGAGTGAGCTTTTTTGTTCTGGCAGTAAGTCCTGTTTTTTTGTTTGAGTGCTCGTTTCTGCCCTGTATTTATTTTTCACTGTTCACTGTTTTTGGATCTTGGATGTAAATAAAACCACCACAATATATGTTCTCCAATTGAGCCATGATTTTTTAAACAAGCCCTTTACACATTCTCAATCTTCCAATTTTATAACTCTATTCTTATTCTGTCTGTCGTTTCACTTTGTGCTGAATGTGTCTCTGTTTCTTAAGTGCTTCGAGTGCAGAGAGCAGGCACTATGTTTGTCACCATAAACATATATTTTGAACTTGAGTGGATTGTGCAGTATGTGAACTGAACTGAATCGATCACACACTCTGTTGAAGTCTCTATCGCTGCATCCAAACTCCCCGAATCTCACTAAAAGCCAAACAAAGCTATACCTGGCTGAGTGCTGGAAGCCGCCACAACCGTTTTAAGGGATGTCACAGTCAGGTAAGCCTTGCAATTTATTTCTCCACCAGAGGAGAGGAGAGAAAGAGGGCCAGGGCGGGTGCAGAGGCGAGTTTGAGGGAGACAAGGTCAGACGTGATGTCACAGCACCAAACCAAGGAGCAGGAGGGTGCAAAGGGTGGGACTTCAGCCGTACACTCACTCAGCCTGTTGTCAATGACCGCACAGCACACATAAGAGGAGTGGGCGGAACATGCACAAGGACTAATACGTTGAAGCTGTGACTCTGCTGCATGCCATTTCTGAACACACCTCACTTTATCACAGCTGGGCAAACACTGAATTGTATGTAATTATGGTAAATGGAGAGCTGAGACTTAAATGCACCCTCAGAGAAATGACTGGTGTTCCACTCACTGTATGGAACTATGAGGCAACTGAAATCAAGAATACAATCTTCAATTAATCAAAACATTTCATTTGTGTGCTGCCGGTAATGATTATGTAGCATAGTATAATTCTTAGATCATGTGGATTTTTATCAAGACTGTCAATGCCAATGGGACAAGCAGCTGTAGTCTTATATCAGGCACAGTAGCAATTTAATCTTGTCAAATATTGTTTTAGGTCAGTTTTAGTATGTAAGTAATATTTATTTATACAGCACGTAGACCAGGGTCGCACAAGGCCCTTCACAATTTGATTTGTAACTAAAGGCCAGATAAGTTTGTTTGCATTTATTTTCTGTGTAGTGCCTCTAGTGCTGTCTACTGATAGAAGAAATTATTATTATACAATGCACAAAAAGTACACATTGTCCAGGATTCGCTGTATCTATTGTTTGTGAGCCTGATGTTGCTGCTCACCCTGGAGTGGGATCTGACAGCTCTTTTCTTTTAGTGTGACCCAGATCTTCTGCTCCACTGGCCTCTTCATTACGGCAACACCTCATTGTGCGGCACAGACACAGGCACAGGCAGGTAACTCTATAAATAACCCCGCCACCAGGCCACTGACCCCCCGGTGCAGTTAGATTACAACGTCCACTCCAAGCCCCTTTTTAGAACGCGTCTAGGAAAGGTTAGTGGATGGGACAGGTGGTATTTCTGGAAAATACAACTCAAAAAGGATTAATCTGTGGCTAATCATTGACCTGTCACACTAAAGGTTGGTTTGGAAACTTGAATTCAGTCCAGAGCAGTGTGTTCATTAACATGCACTGTCCCACCCGAAGAAACAATAAAGTAAATTATTATTAGTAATTTTTTTTTACATTGAGGACTCCCCAAACGTCTCCCAAAGAAAGGTTTTTTTGTTTGTTTTAATCTTGCACAATATGCCATATGGTATTAAACCTATTCCCATAATTCTGCTTTTTGACATAGGCTATTCTGAAGTAGGTTCTGTTTTTGATCTCCCAGGAATAATACAGGTTAGTTGCCACCTGAGGAAAATGACGTACTGTTTCTTTAAATTAAATTGCTTTCCTGATGAGGACAACATCTTTACATTTTAGCATTGCCGAGGTGCTTCTTATCCTCCATGAACTTGTCTTTCTAAATATAGCAGCAGCAAATATTTTGGTTGCTCACTGTGGGTCATTGACTTGGGAACAGCACAGATCGTGGAACTTTAAAACACTTCCTGGAAGAACCACAAGGAACAAAGAGTCGCCCACTTTGGTTTCGTTCAACATCTGATGGTAAGTCAGGTCTTCACACTTAAGTTAGAAATTATGATGTATTTATAGTTTAAGAGGATACAAAACATAAATTAAAAACACGTGCAAACCTGGTATAACTTAATGACCTTTTCAAAATGGAAGGGCTGAAGAAATTGATGGTGGAACAAGAGCGATGTCGTGAGAACATGGCGAGTAGTGGAAGAAAGGTGTAGGGTCAGAGAGTGATTGGACGTATGTGTTGTGAGAGTCTGTCTGTCCGTCCGTCTTTTGTCTGTTCTTATTCTTGAGAGGGGTTTAAGCCAAATAAAAAAACATATTTCTGTGTACTTTTGGGATGTGGTTATTTTATATTGAAATGATACACAAGTTTGGAATGAATAGTTGATTGATTGCTATCGGTCATTTCCACTTCCTCCTGTGGCTTTATGCTAAATCAGATAGTAGTTTTGGTGTCATCACATGTGTGCCATAAAAGAGGACGTATGGAGGCTGCTGACTCCAGAGATAAGGCGCCGGTGAAGGGTGGAGTCTGTGAACCTTCCATTATTAGGTCAGCTGATCTCTGAAGAAGCCTCAAACTGGTTCACTCTTAGGAAGAACTATTACTTAATATATTTACTATTTAGTTACTACATGAACTACTATCGCTGTACTAATATTACACTGAATTATACTTGATGCTCAGATGTGCTAAATTGTCACACATATAACGCACAGAAGTGGCTGTAATCAGTACAATTTTGATCCAAGTCAAATATTGTAAATAAATGTGATTATAATATAGATTATTTGTGCCACAAAGGATTCCATACAATTAAAACAATGGGAAACACAGCACTGCTATCGTTAATTTGCAACTAAATTGGTGACAAAATAATAATACAGTCATGTAGCTTTACCTGTTACAATATCACAAAAAATGCTAGTTCTTCATTCCCCAAATATTCCATTATAATTGAACAGAGATAGACAGTAGTAGCACCTTACCCATCTGTTTGATAGACTCCAATTTGGGATCCATTTTGTCAAAGGGGTGAGTGCTTAATCTTGAGTTTTAAAAGTCTTTAAAAAGAAGTGTTCATGTGTCTCTGCCCTTTTCCCGTGTGATCGGGTCATTCACCTGTTGCCGTGGCGCCCGCACTGACCCAGCCCCCTGCACATCTCCACATCTCCTCCCACTCACACCAGCCCCACTCTCACACCACAGACAAAAAATGATTAACATGAGGCCAGGATTTTATTTCTACCTGAGCACTTTGATGTCAATCTTGTCAATCTCATAGAAACAGTCAAAAGTATTGGCAATATTTGAAAGACACTGTTTCACTTAATGTTGTTGACTTTTGTCATGTTACTGCACTTATGACCCACAAAATGCATTATTGTTACTGAGCTGTCTTGTTAATAATGCTTACAGTCATATGTGCATTTTCAGATTACATTACAAAGGCTTTTGTAATGTAAAACAGTTTGGCGTTTTCATATCTTTAGATAATTTTTCCTTGACAGAAAAATGAATAAACTAAACAGCCAAAACTGTCAAAATGTGACTCGCATGGATTATGTGTAAAAGATATGTAAAATAAGAATATTGTTGAAAAAGATGAAACTTCCATCTTTATCAAGGGTGAGTGATCTAAGACATAAGCAATGATTAGTATTAATGGAATAAAAAATGTATTGTTGTAGTATTTTTGGTACCAGACCAGCTCATACGCTGTTTATTTATTAGCGATCCTGCATATTTGGACTTGTATGAATCATTTAATAATATCTTTACCACGTTAGATACATAGACATATGGTTCAACTCCTTTTCCATCGGTATACACAACGTGTTTGCAACCCAATGTCTTTTGTTTGTTTTGGGCTTATATACAGTATGTATACTATACTATATATGCATACATCAGGTGAACTTTAAAGTATTTTTCTTGTTTTCTCGTTTTTCTTGTTTTTTCTTGTCTGTACTTTGCGCTGCAACACTGAAATTCCCTCATTCTCTGACAACTAAAGGTTCTCATAGCTTATCTAAAGCTGAATAATACGACATAACCAATCCAAGGAGTGCAAGAGAAGTACATTGGTCCGTTCTCGCTGTTTCAGAGATTTTTTGTGTGATTTTTTTGGGGATACTTCTCATGCGCTGCGTGTAAACAACAACATCACATCACACAACATGAATTACCTTTATTTATTTTTAAACTTTTGTGGCTTGTGTGTACCGCAGTGATGAGATCAGAGGGCTACTGCAGGCTTCTCATAGTCCTCCTCCTACTCTGGTGTACTCTGCAGTATATTTTACAGTATGTGCACGGCTTTTGACAGGTGCAGCAGCACTCAGACCTACAATGAACAAGTTTGATATCTTGGCGGCCGCACTTCAGGGGTCAGGAGTTTAGGTGGTTAGACAAATATGTAACGTGTAGGATGAGGAGTTTTACTGGCCTAAAACATAAAGCTACTACTTTGAGGGTTTTAAGAGCGTAACCCCTAAATGCGGGACCACTGTATTGTAAAGCAAGTACTTAGTGATTACCTCCAACATTGATTATACAGACACAGCACTTGGAAACAGTGTCATGCATTCCTCTATTACAATCAATTATCTTCATTGTGGACTTTGCTCTCCTTGATAAGATCCTATGATTACGCTGACAGTTTATGAAATGGTACCACCTAAAGCCATTAATACTGTCCCCATGGAATTACAGTGGCTGAAGTCAAGGTGACACGCAGATAGAGTGTAAATGGTTAGCCAAAGAACACACGGACTTCACCCTGAGACAAAAATGTCCTTTGCGGCCTCTTGCATGTATATGTAAAAATGTAGCAACGTAGAGCATTCAAAGGTCAGTGTTACATATTGGCTTAAAACTGCTGCCACACTTTACATTGTGACATTATAAAGCATTACTTCCATACACCCATTTACTTGCATGTACCCAAGTTATGAAAATATTGATTGGCTTTTAAAATTCAGTTATCTCACACAACTATTGTTTTTGCTTCGAGACAGTTTACATGTGAATAATAATAAGGGGGAATACAATTCAACACATGGATCACAATGGATTACTTCCATAATCAGACCAAATCTGACTAATAAACTAGTGGCGCTAAACTACTACAAACAGAAACTGTATTAGCCATGATGGTTTAAAGGTCATTTCACAGAGGTAGAAAGAAAGCAGACAGATAAAATGTGTTGTTTGGATTTTTGTAAAAGAGAAAAACTGAAACTGTAAATAAACTTGCTTAACATTGTCAACATTCTTGTCTTAGCCCAACTACAAGACAATGTAGACGGCTTAAAGACATTCTGCTGCCTCTGTCAACAACACAAGCACTCATACGCAAAGTGAACAGAAGTTTATGGAAATTACAAATGAAATGCAAATGAAAATATGCTTACAAAAGTACTCCTACTTCTAACTAACACTACTGATATTACACAAACAATAAATCGTAAATAGTTGAAGAGGCAGTGACGCACCTGTTAGATTCTTGGCCCAAAACAAACTCAGGGGAGGGTCCAGGCAGTGAGACAAACATGGGGTCTGACCAGTGCCATCTTGTGCATAAAAAGAGTCATAGTAGGAAGAAAACATTCTGTCATTTCATTTATTTATTTGTTGGTCAATGAACGAAAAACAATTCAAATATGTGGGAATGAGCAGTGATAGCTAATAATGACAATGTGAAAACCAGATGTGTTTAAATGTGTTAATAATGGAAAAATGGGTAAACATGTGTATAGCCTTGTGTTTTTTCTAATTTGTTTATGTTGTGATATCAGACAGAGGCAGTCTTGTTGCAGCCCGTGAAAAGGTGTTGAAAAGTGAAATGAAACAGCAGTCCCTCTCTCCTGTGATGTGATTTCTTGACATTGTGAAGCGTAATAACGTGGCCGGTGATCAGGAAGCGGCACTTGAATCAGAGCTTGTGGAGTGTGATTTTGGGAGGGATCCGCGGCTGGAGGATTAGCGTGTATGTGGTCTCCAAGTCATCTGAACACGGCACAGTCAAGTGGAAATTCAGCAGGATCTAGAACAAACGGGGTCGACAAATTAGTTGGATATCCTCCCGAAAAACTAATGGCAATGTATACAGTAATAGTAATGCAATGTGTTCATCCAAGCAGAAATAGTCCTGGAAAATAGTTGTAACCACAAGATGCTGTCTATATCATATTAGAAGACATTTTTTTTGCCTATAGCCCCTTCACTATTTGATGTTTTGGGCTGGGTCCTGATTTGAGTGAGGGTGGTGCCCATGTTTCTCTCCCCAGCTCAGAGGTCAGACAAAACATAAAACTAATGATTGAACCAATGTTTTGAAAATCAAATGAATGAGATTTAAATGTGTATTTGTAACGTGAATTTTAGAAATGTACAGAGAAAAAAAAAAGTTACCAGACAGCTCCCTTTGAATGGGGGTAACTACGGCAATACACAATATCACAATTATTATTTAGATTACAGATTACAGATTACAGATTACTTACTTTATAATATAGTACAGAGCCAGATGTTTAATTATATGAATTATTTAGAAATATAAAATATAAACACTATCTTTACTGACATTTACTGCATGTTATGAATCTGTGCAATATGGGACCACATGTGTCACTGTCCTTTTCCTTTTAGCCCAGAGCCTCATGCTGCTAACATGTACAGTAGTATCATCACTGTGATATTTTAACATTATTTACTTCAATATTCTTGCTGTAGAGAGTATTAAAGCTATCACTATAAAATTCAGAGTCACTTATACATATTAGTATATTTCTTTTCTTCATCGGTTAGTATTTCATATGTTTAAAAGATGAAGATTACAGAGACGCTGACATTTCCCAACTGTGGGACAGACATAGAATCTCTTAATCTTAATCTTAATCTCTAAAGTCAGTATCTCCGTAAAGATTTCCCAGCCAAAGCCCGCCCTGTTCCTTACGTGCATGAGGACCAGTTGCATCTCGTTCTCTGCGATGCGTCTCCCCACACACTGCCTGGAGCCGAATCCAAAAGCCAGGGAACGAAAGCCGCCGCCCTCCTCCCGACTGCCCCCCCAGCGACCCGGGTCGAAACGCAGGGGATCAGGGAACACCTCTGCACTCCGCCCCATGGGGTACAGACAGGCCTGGACCGCTGTCTAAGACATGAACATGTGCAATATGTTCATATCAAGTCATCTTTCAGACGTAAAAGCTCAATGTGAACTAACATACAAACACACAATAATGAAATAATATATACTGTATATACCAACAACCTGCACACAAACAGTATTCATTAAGAGCTGTCAAAGCCTTCGATTGAGATTTTACACAAATTATGACTTTTCTTAACCCTGGTAAATAGTGATATAAAAGATTTTAACATCAGCCAATGACAGTTATTTTTTAGAAATATGTATATAATATATAGAAACACAGGGAGTAATGCTGAGTTATATTGTCTACTGAGTAAATTAGATGCGCTTTGGCCGTCGTTTACTTAGTGGTCGCTGTGGTAACTAGCTCCTATGTCCAAACATTATACACTTTACTAATTTGGACAAAAAGGCTAGATTTAACGTCTTTTGAGGCTTGTTTCCATGGAGATCACAAGGTTTGATGCCATCTCATGGATAATGGAAGTCTTCCCAATCAAAACAACTCTTTAAAGAATGAGAGAAAACTGAAAGTACCGAGTAAAATGAGAGAAAGATTTCTCTGACATCTATTGCTGTGACCTTTGCTTAAAAACTTGCTTTCAACTGAAACCAAAATATTACTAACATTGACGTTGCAAAAGAGGTTGCTTTCTAAAACGGTAATTCATCACAAATTGCACAATAGTATTTTTTCTGTTTGCTTTTGGATCTTCTAGTTGTGTGTTCAAGGTAATGCTGTGTTTTGTGTTTGCTGTTAGAGTAATATATACAAGTTTCACAAAATAACTTTTCCCTACTAAAGAGATAATAATAGAAGCAGGCGATATTGATAAAAGATAAATTATGTGAGTCTTATACAGACAATTGGCAATTATCCGTTTTGGAGATATTGCTGTATTTACTATTTTGCTATCAATCGATCTGTGTCTATGTTCATCATGTTGAAACCGTTAATATAATACATCCATGGTTGAAACACACACAGTTCATCCTTAAAGCCAAATCATTAATGGATGTGTGTTTATTGATTTTCCCTTCTGTTTGAAAACAAAATGAGACGACAGACTCTGTTCAGACTCACCCCAGCTGGAATATGGTAGTTCTGGATGACAATGTCTCTGACGGGGTAGCGCTGCACAGTGATTCCCACGGGGTACAACCTGCCCACAGCGTATGAGTCATTCTGTGCATAGTACTGCTCAAGTTCTGATCAGGATCAATAGTCATTGGCCTGTGGTGTGTGTGCTCCTGCCCACAAGATTCTAACAGGCTCTCACACAGCTGCACACAGAGACACGTATCGATCTAAAGAGCCGCTCTTTCTTCACAACAATCATGGTGGTCAATGTCTAAGTGAGTCTACCTGCTACACACTGTAAAGCCGCTATTTATACATGACGTTTTTTCGATCTTTCTGTTTCTCGTTTGACAGCTCCATTTTGGAGTCTTTGGATCATTCAGAAACAGGGCTGGGATTCGATAACAGTTAGCAATACACTCAGTAACTGATATTGTAGTGTTTCATTGTTTTCACTTTTAATACTGACTTGGAATCTACCAGAAGGTTGTATGTTTAAGTACCTCAGTGTGATCGTGTATTGGCTTGGGTGCTGCTTGGCGGGGCCTGGTCTTGACATTAGTGTATCATCTTGTTGTATTTAATATGTTGTGACTGTGCTTATTGTTTGTGTGTTAATGATTGATGAAATAAAATAAAATACGCACACACGCACACTTACAAACACACACACACACGCACACTTACAAACACACACAAGGACAAAGCAATTGTATTTTTAGTTGGTTTAAAATGGTCACACTTAATTTCCGTTTTTCAAGCAAGTTCTGTCATTACTTACAGATCAACAGCTAGTTTAAAACACAAATGAACCGATTCATAATAAGTTGCTGAAATGTGGGGGGGGGAATGCTCTAATTCCCTCTTCTGGTACCGGTATCGAGTCAGTACTAGATCATATACGGAATCGGGACAGAAGCAGAAGTAAATATAACAAACTACCTTTTCATGCCTAAACTTAACCAGCCATTCCCATAAAATAACCCCAACCCAGCCTTAACCCTAACCTTAACCATCTTACCCAGACACCTAAAACTTAACCAGTCACCACTTATTAGTCTAAAACTAATTTGAAAGTAGGATTGTTACTTCCGGTTTCCGTCCCGATTCCGTATATGATCTAGTGCTGACCGTACCGGTATCGGGTATCACCAGATATTGAAGCCAAAGTATCGGGGTTGGTATCAGACTTGAAAAATCTGGATCAGTGCATCTCAGCCCTTGTTGAACACAATAGTTTCTAATGGGTCACATCCCTAAGAGTAAAGTGATGTTTGTTCCGTCCTGTACCTGAGAATCTCCTTGACGGTGCCTTTCAGGAGTGGCGCCCCCTGCAGAACCTTTTGAACATCGCCGGCAGCTACAGCCCACGCCTCTCTCACCTGTTGCCGCAGCTTCTCCTGAACGTCTGGGTTTCTGCCCAGTTCAAAGAGAGCGAACTGCAGAGGGACCGCCGTCTGTGGAGGGAGGAGGATAGAGGTGCAACACATCAGAAAGAGGCGTGGATGTTAACAGTGTCTTTCATTTACAGATGTTAAAATAACTGCACCCTCAGAATGTCCACTGAATGTCACTTTCTCTGCTTATGATCCTGCCCTATATGTATATAGCTTTGGACTATATGCATGTTGATATTTTGATAGTTCAATCTTGAAGCAGTTTGCAGCTGGCTTAGGAACACAGCAGCTACTTATTTTGTACATTTTGTGTGCTCCCTGTGTGCTCTTGCTGCTGTCCTCTATGTGCGCTGCAACAGGCATACGGACACGCAACGGGCTTAATAAGCATTGTATTACATTGAAAGGCTTAAATATACAACAATACACCATTATTTACCTGGAAGTGTTTTTTTTATGATAAACTTCCGTATGAATTCTGAATCTCCTTAAGTTGATGTCTTCTGTTCAAGATCTCTGCCCTGCTCTACTTGTGTTTCCATACAGTCCAACTTTTATTCAAAATGTGTTTTTTATAATGAAAACAAAAGCATTTTCTCAGTCAAACAAAGCAGATTTATTACGCTTTGAATAAATTTGCCGTATCACTTTTTTTTGGCCTTAGGTCTTTTTAATGGCACCTCTATCTTGAGATCCCTAACCCAACATTTCCTTTAGGAGCACTAGAGCAAATGTATAAAAAAACAAAAAACAATTTGATTATAAAATAAACCTAAATTCTTTCCTTCCGCTCATTTAGTGTTTAGTGTCTTGTGAACACCCCTCATGTATGTGTTAAATAATGTACATAACATACAACATCAACTTTTCACAGCTTTTGTTATTGTTGTTTCCCCTGTCATTTACACACTAACGTTTGCTTTAAAAGCGTTAAATACATCTATGACTTATTTATATTTTCTTCCCGAGAGGCCATCTTGGGCAATGGGTGTCAAATGATAATCATAAACACTGGTCCCTCGTTTATCGTATATAAATCTTTATAAAAATAACCCGCAATGTGCAAAATTTTAGGCCGTAAAACCCCTCTCCACACACTTTATACACTTTTCTACCCACCTGAACTCATAAATGCTGAAGTGTGATCGCAGAGATATGATACCTGTTCGTTGTAGGTTTGAGCGCTGCTGCAGCTATCAAAAGCCGTGCGTACACTGTAAAATATATAGTGTGTCCTCTGAGTGGCAGGGGCAGGTAGGGCTCTGAACTAATCACTGTGACCCGTTTAAACCTTTTTTAAACGGGTAACTGTAAAAAATGTAAAACATAAAATCAACCAAAATTGAAAAAACAGAGTGAGGGACCAGTGTAGAGCAGACTGAAGAGCTTTGTCTCTTTAAAATGAAATAAAATGATATTATACTGTTCTCATACCCGTGAATGAAACACAGAAATGCATGAACGTACTGTGTCCACGCCTCCCGCCATGAGCTCAGTCAGATTGGCTTTAATGAGATCCATAGAGAGCTGTCCCTTCTCCATGAGCTGACCCAACACACCTGGGTACGGCCCCTGAGCGGAGGCTATGGACCCCGGAGCTTTGCAGGACAAGCGCTGGTAACCCTTCTGGATCCGCGCCTCAGCTACAAACAACAAGACCAAAAGCTGTCACTGAGGCAGGATATTTGGTCTATGTTTCAGAGCATTTTCTATCCATTCTTTTATTTTATTTTAAGTAAGACTTTTTTTCCTTTTTGTTGAGAAAAAAACAAGACAGATCTGGAATATTGACCTGAATTCAAGTAATTATAAGGCTGACGAGATGTTGATTATTTGCAGTGCATCCATTTGAAATCACAGTACATTGAGATAATCTAAAAAAAAAAAACATTATATTTTCACACTGCCAACATCGAAACTCATAGATACCCCAGATACACATGATAGACTTAAACCATGTTTCTGAAAGTGCTCGCATGTATATTTTACGTCATGAGTTTGGAAAGAGCTACCGTGGCTGAATATGTGGTCCCATGCTTTGGCGTGCTGGGTCCACTGGGGGGCACCGATGCGGAGGAGCAGGCGAGGGGGCAGGAAGAGCAGAGGCAGAGTGGTGGTCAGCATCCTCTCCACAGCCCAGATGAACTTCTGTGACTCCAGCGATGGCGACGCAGAGAACAGGCCAATCCGCTCCCCGTAGATCACATGACAACTGGCTGTAGGGTGAAGGGGGCGACATGATCAGGATGGCATTATTATTTTTTACTTAGTCCTTATTTGGGAGAATGACACCTGATGCATCCACCGTTATCAGATTAGCAATCTACAGATCTGTTTCTGTTCGAGCAACAAATGAACAATACAGCAAAGCAAATGAGGACTCAGCAATGACAAAGAACATAGAATGGAGCAGGATTCACCTTTTAAAAACACTATGTTACAAAAACACATGAATCTACAAACAATGTGGTGTATTCTGCAAATGGAAGCATACACTACATTGTTTTATGATTCTGATTCTGAAACATTATTCTTGGTCGGTTGACAAGTGACCTATATCTACACATGAATACATAGATTACCAGATGTGTCATTGCTTTGAGAGCTTGTTTTGACTGTGCGCACTCCTCCAGAAGCATTTGTGAGATTTCATAACACTTTGAAGCAACTTTTGTTAAAGTTAAACTCATCATTCTATCAATGTGCAGAAGCCAGTACTTTTCCCTTGTTTTGTCTATCTGAAGGCCAAGCTACAAGCACACCGTGGAAGCTGCTGATTGGAGGTCTCCATGCCTCTGCTCTGTATAATACACTTGCATTCTATTGTATCTGTGATCGTGTGCTTTGTTCGTGCTGTCTCTACCATCGACAATAAAACATGTCTTCTGTCTGAATTTAAAACACGATCCCAGACTTTGTCATCTTCTTCACATCTCTCACCTCGTCTCTCAAACACATTGTTGACATGAGTTTGACTGGACTCAGATTCCTGCTTGTCTGTTCCTACTTTAGCTTTAACCACGACGTGCGACTGTTGTGCATTAGGATCACTAGGTTCAAAGTCATCAGCTTCTTCACATTCACACCGTCTTCACGCTTAGAATTGGCATGGTGCATAAGAGAGGCACAGAACACATTGTGAAACCTCCATTATATTAGTTATTAGTCGTGAAAAGTGTCTTACCAAGAGGGTTTGCCAGATTGGTCCAGCAAAAATGTGATAAAATGAACCCCTTGCCACCTTGAGGTCAATGTCTTTGATATTGATTATGACATGATTTTTAAAATGTTGTTGCTCCTTATTATAATTGTCTCCAAAAAGAATGAATAGAGGCCGTACAGTGAGACAGTGAAACTGCATGGAGACACACCACTCTGATTTTTTGATTAAGTTTTTGTAGTGAGGACATTTCTAAAGTCACACTTGAATGGTGCTAGAGTCAGAAGTGTTCACAGAATGCCTCACTTTGATGTCGTTGGTTGTGTCTATTTTAAAAGCAGGCGTTGTCCTTGACTCTGGGTCCTGGGTATGCTAATGACACGTGAGTCGCGGATCTACAAAGGTGGAATTGGCCTTAAAGGAAAGTGACACTCATGGTACACTGAGCACTAGTACCAAAAACGGTTTATTTGGTATATGGATAAGACTCGGCAGTTATTAACAATTTACCAGCTGAAAATCTAAATTCACAAACATGCCATCTAAAACATAAAACGAAAAACAAAAACAAAACATCTTAAAACAAAAACCGCTGCTATATTTTTGGCCTGGAATGTTCCACAGAATGGCACTAACAAACATCAAGCAAGTTTCTTCATTCCACAGATCTGGGACCTCTATTATAAAACGTAACACAGAATCTTTACACACAACACAATAATCTTGGAGTGTCTTTCATTTCAAGGTCACGTTGTTTTTTCATAATTCATAGTTTAGTAATATGAGAGGAAATGTAACAAGAACAGGTGTGACTTTCACAGCAGCTTTGTTAAAGTTGTTCTGCTTGACCCTCGGCTTCAAAAGGAAATAACTCTTAAATGTTAAATGAGGCGTGTTTTTCAAAGGTGAGACTCAGAGGGAAGCGACTGAGTGAGAGCGACATAAACCTGCTTCTGCAGTCGCAGCAGCAGTTCTACGTCACCAGGACGTCAGCAACGTGCACAGAATAACAACAGTAACAACTGTAGGAAGAGGCCGCTCATGTGGACATGGTCTTCAAGATCCAGACGGAGGCTGACGAGCACTGCCGTGCACAATAATGAGCTTGGATTTTTGATCTAGCTGATCATAGCATTCTACTTTTATACATTTCTGAGACATTTCCAAGATGAATGCATTTCATTTCTTTATTTTTAACATGATGTTTGAAATAGAGAAAAATATACATATTTGGAGACTGTCATTTTAACATTATGAGTGAGTTTGAATTTCAATATTAGTGAACATTTTATCTACATCCCTCTATCTACCTCTTTCTCACACTCAAACACACACACACTCACACACACACAAACACAAACACACACACACTCACACACACACACAAACACACACACACTCACACACACACACAAACACACACACACAAACACACACAAGACACTGACCTTCTAGGGCAAAGCGGAACAGGTCAGGGCTGGGGTCTATGGTCAGGCTGCATTTTCCGCCATGACTTCTTCCCTCACGCTCCACTCGTGCTTTCAGCATCCTGCAGAAATCTGTGGCCACTTCATCGAGCAGTGGCAGAAAGCGCCGGACGGCAGACGCCATCATCACCTCTTTGTTGAGCAGCAGGCGGTCAGCTCGCCACTCTTCACCGTTTCTGCACCAAAGGTGTATTTAAGAACACCGCTTGATTGTGTGGAAGGAAAAAATAAAGGCTTGGACATAGAAGAAGTTTTATCTTTAAAAAAAACTTAGTTTTTGAAGTAACACTTTCTGTGCGTCTACACTTGTAAACTCATGGGAGATCATACTGACTTGAGGAAGACCCCTTTGCTGTGGTTGCGGACCTCGCGGTGCGTTGCCCAGGCTGTTAGTGTCATCCTCTGTGGGTGCAGCCCCTCAGAGCGGAACAGCTCACTGACGTCTGCCGGCAGAAGGATGTTCACCGTGTTCTGAGTTCCCACATGTTCTCTGTGCAAGGGACATGTGTGAGACCTGCTCCAGCCTCAGTCTCTGCTCTAATGTGTGCTACCTGTAGATGGGTCCCAGCTCCTTGAAGCTCTTCTCCATGTGCTTGTGCAGGTGTCTGAAGCGATCCTCTCTCCAGAACTTGAGCAGGTTGAGCCAGCCGCTGCGTCCTGTGTGAGGAATCTCCTCAAAGCTGCGTACACGTCCATCACCTGTCCTCCGCACGCCCACCCTCTCCTTCCCCAAAGCACCTGGCCCCGCTGCTGCTTCCACCACCGTGGTGGCGGCCAGACAGAAGCTTCTGGAGTGCACCCGTCTACAGCCCAGTCCCCGCTTGCACCACACCATCACTGGAGTCAACATGCTCCTCATGCTCCCAGCCTCTGTTCTGGACCAGGACTGAGGTCTGGACCAGGACTGAGGTCTGGATCAGGACTTTGTCAGACTGCCTCTCGACAAGCCTCGTACATCCTTGAATGTGCTCCATCATGTGATGGACTGATAGGAGCCAATGATTTATGCATCTGAACTCAACGAGTTCAAGAGAAACACAGCAGCACCAAATGTTTATTTGAGCCAAAACACTGACAACTCCACAGCTCTAAAAAACAAGTCAAGGACGATGTGAGAGAGGTTCTATTAGACGTCCTCTGTGGGACACCTGGGTTTATAAAGGTCAATGAATATGAGACACAGTCGTAGAAACGTTACATTTATTGCATTTAGTGCATGTCACAACATCATCAAACAACACATACTGCACATAAACATAAAGACATAAAGCATGATTTGGATTATTTCACAAATAAAATGCAGGAAACATGACAGTGATCATAAAAAAATGAAAAGGCGAAACCAAAAACAGTTCATCCATACTCAATTGAATTGAAATGGACAAAACTATGAAACAAATGACAGAGTCACACACAAACTCTCGTGCGCAGACATGAACGATGGGGTCACATGACTCTGCAGACATCTGCGCTGCTGGCTCGGATCACGTCTGGGCCGAAGCTGAGGCCTTGGAAGGCGCTGAGCAGGTTGAAGCCTTCGTCCTTGGTCTGAGATTGAGGATAAATGATCTTGGAGAGTTTGTGAGGCAGCGCCACTTTGCCCCCGAGTGAGCGCAGGTGATACGAGTCTTGAGGGTCCTGTTCACAAATATATCTCATTAGCTTTGAGATTAGACCCTGGACACATTTCAGGCACTGGCACAAAGAGACAGAGTACTATAGGTCTAACTGCATTTTTGCAGTTATGGAATGAGTCCAGTCTGGAGCCGAATCACACACAACTACACAAAGCAGTCATATAAAATCCCCTCTCACCTCTGACAGTTTGTATTTACTCCTGAAGTGGGCTCTTAAAGCCGCTCTCTCTGCGTTCTTCTGTGCGTTCTTAACTTCCCTTAGTTTCCTGTGAACACAAATACTATTTCATCTAAGTTGTAACTACACCAAACAGGTGTCGTGAATGAACCATGGCTTATCTGTATCAACTATTATTCATTTATCCTCTCTACAGAACCATTTTAATCATCCCTTGTCCAATGGTTTTGTTCATCCTGGTTGTGTTCTCTTTTTTTGTTTTTTTGTTTGTTTGTTGTTAAACAAAACAACATGGGGAAAAGGGGGGGGGTTCCGTGTGTGTGTGTGTGTGTGTGTGTGCGTGTTGTTTATTATTTTCTTTTTTTGTGTGTGTGTGTGTGCATTGATTGATTATCCAAGCATATTGATGGGAATTGGTGGTATGGTGTAAGTTACCCGAGATGAGAAAGGCAAAATAACAATGACAACAACAAAAAAAGAAGAAAATAACAGCAATAGCGACAATGATGATGAGGATGAAGATAAAAATTATGACAATACTAGCGTCCTTAACAGTAGCATTACTATTGGCCCCCTCCGACAGCATTCCTCAATAGTTTGTCTGTGATTGTGTGGTGCATTAAAAACCTGCGTGAGGTGTCCACTCATATGGAGAGTCCATATGTATTATTCATTATACAATGTGTATTATTTAATAGAAATATTCTTATTTATTATTGTTGCTTCCTCACCATCACCATTCCCTATTGCTTATTCTATATAATCAAATGTGGTATAGCATGTATATATAAATACTAATTATATAATTTGTAATATTAACAGTTAAGCAGAAAATATACAAAAAAAACAATTGAGCAAAAAAATAAATAAAAATAACAATAATAATCCAGTCAGGCTACGTATAAAGCAATAATAATATTAATCATCATAATAATTATAATAAGAAAGCGACATTAACATTATAATAAAATAAAAAGAGTATGTGTTCTCTTTAAACATAAGCAAGACAACATTTGGTGAAGAGATGTAGAGACTTTCAACGATTGATGCGGGAACACAAACTTACAGGGATATAGTGTCATGTTATTGTCTAGCTTCATTATTGATCTTTGCAGTCGCACAAAACCGATAAACCAGATTGTATCAATATCCTGACGTTTAAATGTTGACTTGGAAACAGACACAGTATTTTATTTCAGTGTCCATGACCACAGACGAAACACAATATGATGTTGGCCTCTTGTTTGTGTCCACAGCCTGCAGCCATAGTCTCTGTCAGCAGCACTCACCTCTCCTTGTCGAGGTCGGCCTGGTAGGGGCATGGGGGCGTGGCTCTCACAGGGTCCTTCCTCCTCCTGCTGCCTCTGCTCCTCGCCCTGTGTCCACAGAAACAGGTGAGCAGTGGTTATACAGTATACAGTAATCACAACTTTTAATTCTTACACTAACTCAATACTTAACGGAGATCTACTATTGTATTGGTTTTTTTACCCCCCAGGAAGTGAACCATCATTCTCTGTTCAAACTGCAAATGTATCTATTTGCTTTTATGGATTTAGATGGATTTGAGTATATAGCCGTTGAATACAGCAGAATCGTCATCAGCAGTTTCATTGTACACATTTTTAGTAGTGGGGGGAGCTGGAGCACCCGGAGGAAACCTACACTGACACACAAACTAAACTTTCTACAAAGATGTTGTCAAGCCAGGGCCTTCTTGCTGTGAGAGCTCGAACCATTGTGTATCTGAGACACAATCCTTATAAAGTCTGTCAACATCAGTTTGATTTGTTTTGAAACAGAAATTTATCTCATTCAGGGCAAAAGAGGAATACTTATAATATATGTTTGAGTTTTCATGTTGAAGGAGAAGCCACTTGAAAGTGCCAAAATGTTGTTGTGTCCTTTGGTAAGACACCTCACCCATGTAGCCTAGTATCAGTCTGGGGTGTGCATTATTTGTTGGTGGTGGTCGGAGGGGCCGACGGCACAGACTGGTGGCCTCACTTCTTTCAGTCTGCCTCAGGGCAGCTGTGGCTACAGTAGTAGTTTATCACCACTGTGTTTGGAGATAATGAATATTGACAAGTGAAGTGTCTTTGAGTGTCCAAAAAAGCACTGCATCAAACAGCTGCATTAAGGAACAGTTGTAATTCTGTCATAAAGTTCTCCTAAAGTGACGGAGCGTGGCTGTTGCTCTCACCGATGTCCGGGGCAGAGGCTCTTCTTCTTCTGCTGCAGCACGCAGCTCGCCAGCTTCCTCATGGGCTTCCGGAAGGACTTTTTCACTTTCACCACTGTTTCCATCGTGCTATAATCACTGTTGTAATCTGTGCTGAGTCACTGCTGTTCAGAGGCAGCAGTGTGCGCTGCTCATGTTGTGATAAGCCCAGTGCAGACGTGTCCTTTAGGTCGAGGGCTGTGAAGGAGACACACGCTCAGACTGGTACCAACATCACACATCCTTATGCCATGTCTGTACAATTACATCACACAATGTAATGTTTCTTAGCATGCTTGTAAAACGCATGTAACCTTTCCCCAGCGGCCTACGTGGTAAGTTGTTCAGAAAAGGTTGTTTTAAAAATGTTTTCTTAATGAATTTTGATTACATTGTGTTTTATCCATGTTTCCTGTGACCTACAGTACAGGCCTCTCATATGGCTTTGTGTAAACTTGTAGGTTAATCAATTTTGCCAAGAGGACACCTGGCCTTTGTTTGAACTTGGTTTACTGTTTACATGTAAACAGGTTTACCTCACATACTAAATCAAAGGGTCTTTGTTGCCATTGTTCTTTTGTTCTGCTGGTTCCTTCATTCCTATATGCATCTGATGATGGTGTGCTCTTTCCCTATTAAACCTGCTCAGCCTGGGTCAGACTTCCTCTGGATGAGGCTGTGCTCTGTGCACAGTCCTGTGAAAGTCATTTCCTCTTAAAAGGACAACCAAGTCTAAAAGAATGTCTGAACTTATGTCTGTTTGTGTGCGATTTGTCCAGATTCAGAATCAGCAGTCACATAAATGTTGAAATATAGTTAATCTATATTGACGTCAAATCTGTGGCGAGGGAAGCTCACACACAGAATCATCGTATGTTATCGTCATTCGATTTAACACACACCTATTCAAATCATCTGTGTTTTAGTTCCTTTTTGAAGAGGAACTGTTACTGCAGTGAGGTTAAACTTTCTGGGCTGTCTGCACTAGGGCTGCGCAATCTCTTTTTTCAAATAATCTTGTGCACAGGCAGGAGGTGAAAGCTTTACATTAAATGATGCATATTTAGACAAAAATGGTGGAAGGTTGTATCTTTTTTTACCCCAAAAAATGTGAGTTTAGGAGAAAGATGATTCTAGTCTCTTGATTGTAAGGAACACGTACAAAAAGTTAAGTTTGCGATTTTCTTTTGTTCTTTGTTTGCAAATGGAGTACTCCTCCAACCACTGGGAACAGCTACATTCATTTATAAAACAAACTGATGTCTTACCCATACAAGTGTTCAGCACAGAGCTAGAAGCCTACAATCCAGCAGCAGCAGCAGCAGGTGGCAGATCAGCCAAACCCCACAGAGTTCTGGACGGTTCAGCAGCGGAGAGCAGTGGAGATGTCCTGTCGTCAGCCGTGTGGTGATCAAAATTAGCACTAGTTTGTTCACTCTGGTTAATAGATTACTTTCTGTTACCAACTCTGCTGCAAAGACGCCGCTCTCACACAAACCTGCTCTGCTCCTGGATTAGCAGCTCAGGGATTTAACAAGGGGAATCTCATTAGGCGTGAAATGGAACCAGCATGACTCACGTGTGGGTCATCCCGCCTCTAGTCATGGTCCAGGAACAGTATATTATGTCATTATTATCATACTCGCCATAGAATGTATCAATGAGCAGCTTCCTGTTCCGTGCCACAGTTTGAGGACACTTTCCATTCAAAAGATGTGTGTGTTATTATCGGTAATCACTAACCCAATCGGACATCCTATATGTACATACACTAATTTGTTTTGATTATTTCTTTGCATAGAACTACCCCCTTCACTATTGCACTGACAAGGCTCCACAAATCTAGGAGGTGTCTCCTGCTCGTTCTATGACATGTCATTTCATTATGACAAAAAACATTATCTTCATGGAGAGTCTGTAATCTTTATTACAGGGACGGTGCAGAGTGGTTAGTGCACAGTGGTTATCACTCTCGCTTCTCAGCAAGAAGCTCCTTGGATTCAAATCGTGGTTGGAACAGGGCCTTTCTGAGTGGAATTTGTATGTTCTCCCTTTTTCTGTGTAGGTTTCCTCCAGGTGCTCCGGTTTTCCTACCACTAAAAAAATAACATGGACTATATAAAATCCTCCAGCCCTGGTCCTGATCAAGCCAAGCATGAACATCAGAAGAAGGCCCCTGGGCGTTGCACTACAGCTATCACTGCTCCTCCTAACAACTAGTGTCAATGCAAGATGGGTCAAATGCAGAGGACAAGTGGGGAAAATAGATTATTGTCTTTACGTAGAGTCACTCAATGTACTATATGTTAATTTTGAGTAAAGTCAGCTGCTATCCTTCAGTTCTGTGCAACAGGAGATTTATTCTTGCAATAAGTTATTCTACGAGTATCCTGCGACTGTAGCAGCAGAGAGAAATGGTGAAGAGAAAATGAAATGATGATGAAAGGTGAGATAAGAGCAGTCTGGGAAAGATTACAACAAAAACAAGGATGGTGAACACATTCAATTAGAAACAGACTTTTATTCAAGAAAGGACAGATGTAGTCGTGGGATTTAACAATAATAATAATGCATCGGTTTTATATAGCGCTTTTTTGGACACTCAAAGACTCTTCACATGTCATTATTCTCTCATTCCATACACGGTGGTGATAAACTACTACTGTAGCCACAGCTGCCCTGGGGCACACTGACAGAAGCGAGGCAACCAGTATGCGCCATCGGCCCCTCCGACCACCACCAACCATGCGCACGCCAGACTCATTCTAGGCAATGGGCGTAGAGTCTTGCATAAGGACACAACGGCAGTTTGGCACTTTACAGCCGCAGCCGCCCCACTGTGGCTGGTGTTCCGAGAGGTTAAGTGTCTTGCCAAGGACACAACGACAGCAATCAGTGGGAGTCGATGGTGAAGATCGGGCTCGAACCCACAACCTTTTGGCTCAAAGGCCAATGCTCTACCAACTGAGCTACTGTTGCCCTTAACAGTCTGTGCTCCACCTGAAGCCTGAGTGACAGAGGAGCTCTAAAGTCTTAAAGAGATTAACAGCCTTTGATGAACACTCTGACTCACATATATTAAGCTTGTATTTAAGAGCCAGCACTGCACTTTTGCCCTGTTCAAACGATTTCAGAAAGAATGTACACAGAATCAGTCTTTGTGCTCTGGTGGCTATAATCCTCCTCGCTCTCGTGCAATCCAACCAAACAAGCCACTTAAAGGATTCTCTGCTCAGAGTGCGGCACGTGACACGTGTGGCTCAAGAAGACCCTTTATTAACACAAACACAGAAGCAATTAACAGTTATTCCTCAAAGTCAAAAAGGTCATTATTTTTGCAACAAAAATATTGACAAGAATGTTCATGGATGTGGCAAAAGAAATACATACTCACAATAATTGAGGTGAGAGATCTGAGGTGATGGTTCAGAGGCTTTAAACATTTGGTTCATTTGCAGCTTTAACGTGATCCAGAGGAGCCGGGGTCAGCAGGATACATGTGGGCTTTGGATATGTGCCAATCCCATGATAAACACACTAGGTTTCCATATTCTTTTCATAAATCTGTTGTGGTGCCATCTGCGTGGGAAAACCAGATCCCGTTAGACCTCTGAAGCTAAGCAGGGCAGGGCCTGGCTAGTACTGTGATGGGAGACCTCTGGGAACACCTGGTTTCACAGTAGAGTGGCTACGGCTGTAAAGTGACTAACTACTGTTATGTCCTTTGGCAAGACACTTCACCCACGTTACCTGGATTGAGTCTGGTTTGTGAGTGGGTGGTGGGGATTGGAGGTGCTGATGGCACATACTGGATGCCTCGCTACAATCAGTGTGTTGCTGGGCAGCTGTGGCTTCAGTAGTAGTTTATTGCCACAGTGTATGAAGTGAATGAATGAATGAGGAGTCTTTGGTCCAAAGCACGTATCCTGGAGTTGTGTCGGATCGACACCGGTTGTATTCAGACCTGAATCGACTCGGACCAGAGTTCGTTTGGAAGCGGACCAAGACCACCTAAAAAAGTGGATCTCGGTCCGGTTCTTTGGTCCGGACCAGGATTCATTTGTGTGTATTCACACCTGCATAAAAGTTTCGGATCAGAGTTTGAAACAAATCCTGGTCCGTTTAAAGTGGACCAAAAGTGCAGGTCTGAATACACCCTTAATGTAGACATTTGCTTCACCATTGGGAGTAGAGCCTTCAGCCGTTCTGCTCCCCAGTTCTGGAACACCCCCTGACCGCCGTAACACAGACTCACTCACATTCTTCAAATCCACCCTCAAAACTCATCTGTTTAGACAAGCTTACTCACTAACATCATAACCACACTCAGATTCAGATTCAGTTTATTTGCCATTTGCAGTAAAAAACAAAACACATTGGAATACATTAGCAAAAAGTCACCAGTGTGCACAGACAAATACAGACATAAAACAACATTAAAAGTACGGAAATAAAACAAATAAAACAGTAAACAAGTGTCACAGTGAAATCTGTGAAACTCGCCTCTGTCCATGATGCTTTTAACTGTATTTTAGCTTTAGTTTTTAAAATGCACTTTTTCACTTGTATGTAAGGCAACCTTGTGTCAATAAAGGCGCCTAAGAAATAAAATTTATTATGATAAACATTTTAGTCAATTTTGCTCTGTCACCTTCACATATTATTTATTGACTTGAATTACGAGAATATGTCTGTCGCGTGTGTTGTGAGCAGATTATGGAGATCTAGACCATATAAAGTGAAGCTAGGTTGCCGTAATGGAACAATGACGGATCTACAGAGTGATCAATCGTGTGCTGGTGATGGCTGCATGAGGAGGAGTTTTAAACTGCTTTGTGCCAAGGCTGATTCACTGTCCTTGTCCCAATCCCATTTGTATCATGGGTAAATGTCGTCGTCACCAGAGCGAGTGAAGGTCCACCAATAGCATACGGTTCAAATGCAAAACAAGAGTCCACAATGTCAGACAAACTCAATTTACTTACCAATGTTTATAAAAGACAAACCGAAGGACAATGTTTACATACTGTACATATATTACAGCGATGAGATCAGACTTATTAAGGGATCTTCTTATTTCCATTAGTATTGTCCCAAGGCTCCACAACCATAGATAATCATTCTCACAGAAATGTGACATTATGTGACTTGATTCAACTGAGTTGAATCAAAAACATGCATGTAATAGTTTTTCTCTGGAAAAGCCATGTTCCAGCTTCTTCTCCCTGGTAAAAGATATTGTTCGCTGAGACGCAGGACATCTCAATATACAAACTGCTTCTTCCCACAATCAGTTTGAACAAAGCACAAAATAACAAGTGCAAGAATATTAAACTGTTGATTGGTTTCACAGTGACACAGGGAACTTTTGCACATTTATTCTAATCTGGTTTTACTGCAAATGGCAAAAAACTGAATCTCAAGTTAAATTTGCTGTCTATGAAAAACCCCTGCAGCAGCCTCCTCCCTGGTTCCAAAAATAAAAAAAATAGATGCTGTCACAAACTTACAGACCAGTAAATTACAGACCATGTAGCAATTCCGCAGGTGTCCACAAGATGAAGGCACCTGGCACCTGGGAGCAGGAGGACACACCCAAACTCTGGAGAGGCTTTAAGTAGGCCTTTCTGTTTGTAGTCCATTGTTCCCCATTGTCTTTTCTTACAAATGTAAGTACTATTGTTTATGATTCTTGTTTATTGTTTACCAGTCTAATTTGATGCTTTATTGACTGAGACATATTTACCCTACAGAACCATGGCAACTACAAATAAATGTGGGGTATATCAAGCTTCAGCTGTTTCCTGGTGGTCTGTGTCTCCAGTTCAAACATTTATACTTAACAGATGCATTAACAATATATAAAACTTATAACATTGAAAATTTGTTTGGGCCTCAAATTCAGCCAATCTCATGAGTAATAACCACGAGATCTACATATAAAATATGTTTTATCCTGTGCTGTGTCTTCAAACTAATAGATTTCACTTTTGGACCCGAATGACCCACTTGGCGGCCCCAAAGTACAGAATAGTAGAGCAAAACACAGGGAGAATATGAAAACACAGTCTCACGTCCCATCTTTACTGCTCACCACTTCTATTATGTAAGGCTCACAGTCAGGATAATATTCTCTTACTCCAGCCATCTTCCCCTGTAGGATGCTCCTCGCACAGACACAGTTTGAGACGCAGACAGAGCCTCAGAGAGCTGCTGCCTCATCAGCTGAAGTCTCCGCTGTTCCTCCACACGCTGCTGCTGATCTTGAGCTGATGGGAGAAAAAGGGGTGACTGAGGATGGAGAGCAGTGTGCTGCGCTTCGACGGCTCGTACTCAAACATCTGCCCCAACAGGTCCAAGAACTGGTGGTGCTCGCTGTTCTGTGAGGATAAGTACTTCTGCAAGAAAAAGAAAAAGAGATATAACACACAAACATACAAAATGTACTTTTCACAGCTTTTGGGATCCACAACAACCCTCTCAGGGCTCTATTACATTTGAATGACAGAAGAAATTTGATATTTGGGGAAAATGATCATGTGGGTGGTAATATACAATTCTGACTTTTTTATAAAGAGAAACCTTCACAGGCATTGCATTCTGGGATGTTGCAGATTTGCAACATTGGCCCCCTAAATAAATAGAGCTGGCCTGGGGAAAACCCTGAGGATATTTAATCTACTAATTGGCATGTACTGTGTCTATATGTATTAATCTTGGTTTCAAATGATTGGAAGTTGGTGATGATACTGGCTTGAAATTGATGCCAACAAAATCTTTTTCGGTGAAACCAAGGAGACTGACATTGTGGAAGTGAGACAGCTCCGCCCCCGGTGAGCAGGTGGAAAATTGTGTTGCTAAAGCTCAACTAAGTCCAGCAGTGGTACTTCTGAGTAAAAAAAGAGTCCAAAATACGGATGTGGAGTAGTTAGGTAAAAAGAACTGAAGTTCTTTCAAATCTGCAACGCCTGACTGGAGAGGGATAAACAAACTTGTAAGTAAAATATTACAAGTGTACTCTAGGCCTCTCTTGGGCTGCTGCTTGTAAGGTAGATTGAAATGTCTCAACTTCCTCATATGAAAGGAAGCCATAAATCCATGTTCGTTAATAAATTCTATGCCCAAATTGTTTCTTGGACGAGCACAGGTGTAAAAGCAGGTTGGCTGTAACTCACCTGCAGTGGTTTACATTTGCTTTTCACATAACGTCCAGCCGCAGAGCCCTCATTCCACTCCAGTCGGCCACGGTGAAAAAATGTCTGCTTTCTGAAAACACAACTACAGCTTCAACTTCAACTTTTTGCAACAATGCCGTGGTCAGATGAGGGATGAACCGATGACCCTCGGTTTAGTGGCCGGATAAACACTTCAAGGCCTGTCTCCAATAGGTTGCGTTCATGTGATTCCAAAGAGCCTATAGTATAACAAGGTAGTGGAGGTCAACTGAAACATCTTGCCTTGTTACTACAGTAACCCATTTCTCAGTCATTTATTACCAAAAAACCATTATTATTGTTCCCGGAGCTCTGTAGACACAACTGCAAAAAAAAAAAAAAAGAGCCATTCTGCCAACTCTTACTACAAGGTCATCTGCAAATACAGATTTTTTTTCACATAAAAAAGTTGGATAATGCCCTTTTAATGCAGTCCCTCTCTTTGGCATAACCACCACCGTCAAGATCTGCTGGAGGAGGATATTTGGACCAATGGCAGGAGGCATTGTCTGTCCGTCAAGAATTTGAAATAATTTTGACCAACCAGGAAGCAGTGGAGGTCTAATCAGCGCTTGCTTTGGGAAAAAATCTCCAAGAAGTAAAAAGGAAATCAAAAAGTAAGTGCCAGAACAACAGTAACAGTAACAGGTCAGCTATGTGGAGGCTTACAGTAAGATATTTGAAAGCAATAAAACCCATGTATTGAATGCCAGATGAATGAAGTTAGAGCTCTAATGTGGAAAGTCCCAGGTAAAATCCTCCCCCCCTGCACAGTTCCATGGTCATGAATGAATCAGGAAATACCTGCTCCGCCGGATCATTCTCGAAGGCAGTGGGCCGTGGATCCGCTCCATCATGGCCAGATGCTCTTTGTTGTCATGGGTCTAAACATAAAAATACATGAATAATATTTATGATCCACCTTTTATTCCTGTTGGTGTTTGTGAATTGAAATTGGACCTGGAACAAAGTGAAGCCTGCGTAGTACTCAAACAGGATGCAGCCGATGCTCCAGACGTCACAGGGATGTCCCCAGCCCAGCTCTGGGAAGCAAGACAAGAAAAGACAAGAAGTTATCATTTTGTTCATTGGTCTGAAACAAAATTAGAACCCATTATCAAAAAATAGTCTAAACTGACCTCGTAATTAAAGGTGTAAAGGATTCATGTTAGCTTAGCAGTACCATCGCTTCCAAGTCTGTGAGCAATTGGCCTGCCATACTTGACAATAGCTAGCTTCTCTTAAAAAACTAGCAATTGGCAAAACTTGGCTTGCTTTACATGATAGTAATAATAATGCATCGGTATTATATAGTACTTTTTTGGACACTCAAAGACGCTTCGCATGTCATTATTCTTTCACTCCATACACAGCGGATGTGAAGCTCTTTAGGCAGCTGGTGTTATTGTAAATGTGCTGACATTGGCAAGTGATGACTACTTTTGGAACTTACTATAAAATAAGACATTGACTAAAACTATGACAAAAATATTTTAATCATAAAGTGAGAAGAAACAAAGACAACAGCACTGACCCAGGATGACCTCCGGGGCACGGTAGTGACGTGTGGAGATGATGGAGGAGTGGTGCTCGTGGTCAAAGGTGGCGCTCCCAAAGTCAACGAGCCGAACTGTGGTGTCATTTACTCTCTTCTCGTTGCATTTCTGAAAGACGCAGAAGAGAAAGAGAAAGTCCGGGCTCAGGTTTTGTCTGTTGTTACATGATTTCAAGTGACATCAATACAAGTGGTTAATACATGCAGGATTATTGAATTATTCAGTGTTCTCTCCATGCGAGTGTCTGAGGCAGCATCCATTTTCATAAAATACCTCCTTCCTTATCTTTATCAGTCCTTCATTCTTTTTATTGATCTAAGGTCCCGTTTAGACTGAGAAGTTGAGGAGACGTTGCAAAGCAAATGCAAAAACGATCAGACTCCTGGCCAGTAGTGGGCAGTGGAACAGCGTCTCCGTGTGAACCATAGACTGTATATATTAATGGACAGAGTCACGCCTATCTCCGCCGTTCTAACTAATGGGCCAAAAAATGTGCTCTACTGGAGCAATCCAAAATGGCCACGAGTAGTCCCGCCCACAAGAAAATTGGGAAAAAACGCATCTGCGCATGCGTCAGCCGGCGCAACTCCATTCATTTGAACGAGAGACTTAAAAAATTCACAGCAAGTAAACTAGAGTGGACCAAAAAAATGCACCCCCCTCAGCATTGACACACATGTGGAACGGAGCTTTGGGCCAAGAGCCAACTTTTGGTCCATCCTGTAAAGACGTTTTTGAGAGGTCTGTCAATGCTATATGTTAGCATTGGCTAATTCTACTTCTGGGTCCACCCCCATCGGCCCGGGGTGGTATTGCAAGCATGTCAGCGCACGTCATTTTGGCCACTTTTGAGCTGGGACCCTCCCCCACTGGTGTGAACACATAAGTGGCATTCAAAAGTCATCCCAGACTGAGCAACCCTGTCTCATAAAAGGGTAAACATATGGACACAGAAGGATAAGGAAGGAGGTATTTTATGAATTTGGACGCAGGCTATTAATAAAGTGAATGTCAGTTACGTTTCAAATTGTGAAAATGGAGAAACATATTTCAAAAAACAAGCAACAGTTAGACCCGCCCCCACAGCTTTCTGATTGGACGCAATTAATTAAATCCTTGACAAACAGCTGAGGACCCTTACCGTTGGTCTATTCTCCTTTAGCAAATATTACTGGTGATGGTTATGCCAAGGGGAAGGGCTGTTTTAAATATGTATTATGACAAATACTTAGAGTCTCAAAAACATTAATTATTTTCAAAATGAAATACATTTTAACACAGCCATCACCTTTATGCAAGTCAAAACCTGTTTGGCTCTTGGATGGGAGAACACTAGGAACATACAGTGGGAGGGAAGACACCACGCAAAGTGCTCACTGTGATATGGTGATCGGAGGGTGCGATGGTGCAGCCTTGCTTTCTGCGGTCTATAGTATGTTTATGGTCTGGTTTTGTAAATAAAAAAGTCTCCATTTGTCTCCAGGTGAGGAGAACATGTATAGTGCTGTGTCAAGCGTCTTTCCAGAGAAGAATGATATTAAAGTGATGTCTTATTATAGATATTCACTTGTCCATCCATACATTTTCTACCCCTTAATCCAGTTCTGGGTCGGGGGCCACCCAAGTCACAGAGCACCAGCCGCTCACTGATCCTCCTGCAGGTGGTGAGTCCACAGGAGGACGGCTGCTCTGTCAGTGACAACACAGCCTTGATCTTTCAGTGGGGGCTTCAGGGAAAGTTATTCACTTGTACTGATGAAAAACAGCCACAAAAAAGCCTTGATACAATACAAATAATATAATTTGATTTGATCTTATATAAATGATATGTGCTGAAGGGTTTATGAGAACTACACAGTAAAATCCCCTCACAACAATCACGACACACAAAAAGGTTACACAATATCAGAAAATGAAGAAGTGGAGGCGAGTTGTCTACACATGCGTCCTTCTGTGGAATAAATTACAGGATTGACCAGACGTGCCTGCTGCTTACATCATACTATTTCCTTCCCGTTTTGGAACATTACATGTGGAGCATAACCAATCACTGATGCAGACAATGTGCCTCCGCCTACCTTCTCTGCGTTGTAGACGACGGAGTAACGAGAGTCGACAAACAGGATGTTCTCTGGCTTCAGGTCTGTGTGGGTCAGCTGGTTGTCATGGAGAACTGAGCAGACACACAGATAAAGTGACACGTTTATTTAACCGGGATATAATATTGAGAAACAGTGGTCTCTCTCCAGACACAGATATTAGTGGGTTTTGTTTAAATACATAATACATAAATGCCATCGTGCATTGAACTATTTGTTGACTAATGTAAATGATGAAATGAAAAGAACTGGACGTCGAAAGAAATTGTCAAACTGATTACATTTGGTGTTATAATAATGGTACAAAAGAGGTTAAGAGGTAGGGACCTTTCATTTAACCTTTTTTGCAACTATTTTCTATATACCTTTATATCTGCTACCAAAGCAGAGTGAACCAGAGACAGTGGGAGGAAGGCTAAAAGAAACACTACAATTACCAAAAATGGTCCATTCAAACAAGAAGAGAAGGCAAATGTCATAAGTGGCTTCTTTCACTATTTCCAGTTGTAGATCTCTCACATGGGTAAAGGTTGGCGACGCTTTGGTCAAATGGATACTTGTTCTGAGTCATCTCCTCTTTCCAAAATCTGTGGCCTACTTCTCACTGCAGACAAACTGAGCCGGTGTTTTGACGCAGGTGCTGCTCTGAGATTTTCCCTCCACGTGGCACATCTTAAATCTGTATCATCTTCAGGTTACCGTCACCCTCAAAATATCTGTGCGATTAACTGGCTATTAAATGGCACGGTTTGAAATAATCTGCTTAACGTCAACGCTATGAGTAATTCACACGTAAGCAGCAACATGGTCATGGGTAAAACCAGAACCAGCAGAGCCAGCAGATTAAAGAGAATCAGTTCAAAAAGACACGTTGTAGTTGATTTGTCATCAATATATATTGCAGTTTATCATGTGTTTCCAGATAAAACTGGATGGTTGTGTTAAACAAGGCTCCTCCCATCAGAAGTGCTTCTCTGCTTCTCATTTGAAGAGGCCTGATCAGTGCAGCGGAGGGAGGCAGGTGTCAAAAGTCAAAATGGTGATAAACATAAGATCATGATTACTAAATAATCACAGAACAAGTTTCAAAAGAAGGTTTTCAGAATAGAGATGTTTTGATTCCAGAGCTGGCTGCTCTCCTTTGACCAAGGTTGAGGACACTGCTGTAAATCTTAGCCAGAGAAGCAACTGTCCAGCCATGAAACAGGAACAAACAATAGGTCCATAGTGACTGGTGAGCAGTGTCTCTGTCACTTCTCCTCCTCTAATCTTCCCTTTGAATAAAACTACAAACTGAAACTGTGGCTGAAATCAGAGCAAAGCTGTTCACATGTTTAATGAATTCTACATCTGAATGTGCACATATTTGCTAAAAGCCTCATATGTCTTGCTATAACACTGAAAGTGCACCTGGTCTGTCCAACTGTGGTGTTCATACCAAATAAATACATCAACCACAATAAATACATAGATACCATCAAACTTATTCATACCAAGTCAGGTGTTACCTTGGTCTATAATAACAAGAAAGCACAGTGTGCTTCAGATAAATCTCTGGGGGCTCTCTCAGCCCCAGACTGCTCAACCTGTCATGTGTGTTCAGTGTTTCCCACAGGTTTGAAGGCAATGTGTGGTGGTCGTCGGCGGGGGGGGGGGGGGGGTACAGTGGTACAGTGGTAGAGGACAATCTTGAGGTCATGAATCCAGTGAAATTAGTTGCACACCTTTTTACAGTAATAAGTTACAGCAGATCAAAAGTGACATGTTTTGACAATTTTTAGGCTATTTTGGACCAAAATGGCTGCTTTAAATCAATATTTCTACAGTAAAAGTTTCTGGTCTTTGGTACAGTGGTAGAAGGCAATGTTGAGGTCATGAATCCAGTGAAATCAGTTGCACACCTTTTTACAGTGAAAAGTTACAGTAGATCAAATGTGACATGTTTTGACCATTTTTAGGCTATTTTGGACCAAAATGGCTACTTTAAATCAATATTTCTCAATATTTCTACAGTAAAAGTGTCTGGTCTTTGGTACAGTGGTAGAGGACAATCATGACGTCATGAATCCAGTGAAATTAGTCGCACACCTTTTTACAGTAAAAAGTTACAGTAGATCAAAAGTGACATGTTTTGACTATTTTGGAGGTATTTTGGACCAAAATGGCTACTTTACCTCAATATTTCTCAATATTTCTACAGTAAAAGTTTCTGGTCTTTGGTACAGTGGCAGAGGGCAATAATAAGGTCATGAGTCAAGTGAAATTAGTCGCACACCTTATTCCAGTAAATAGTTACAATACTTGAAAATTGCACTAGCGGACCAAATTGTGTACTTTATACATGTAAACAATAGAGTGGCTATCCTCCTGAGGACTCACAACCTGCAGGAGGAATCGTAGGGGGCTGGTGCTATGTGTGCCGGGTGGCATCTCTATAAGGTTTTAATCACAAAAACGTGTCTCCCTGACCCCAGCGCGCTTTCTGTTCGATAAAAATGGGTGACTCCGAAAGGACGTTCCGCTGTTACCGTAAGTTCTCAACAAAACGCGCACCGTCTTTTCCCCGATGCGGGCCGCATGTTCATAGAGCTGAAAGATGCGGGCCACTTTACCGCGGTAAATTAATAGACACAGCTGCTTACAGCGATGATCGCTGATGGAGACGGAGACACGCGGTGTGCACGAAGGGGAGGGGCTGTGTGTGTGTAGGTCTCTGTATGTGGGAGAGACGCGTAGCTTGAGTGAGAGTTACGAAGGGCCGCCACATTTTAAACCCCCCTCCCCGCTGTCAAATTGACCGCTGCGGCGGCACTAGACGATGCATGTTTTAAATAGCGTAACAAAAAAAATATATATATAATAATACGAAACGCAATTTGTGGCGGGCGGTCTCTAATCTGTGGCGGTGCGCCACAGATTAGTCTATGTGTGGGAAACACTGGTGTTGTTGTTTTGTATGCCCTTATTAAACATACAAAACAACAACACACATATGAGAACAATAATAATAGACAGGTAAATACATGTAGTGTGCTTATAAAATTATTTCTTTTTGTAAATGGCAGCAGGGAGTCAGCAGCAGCAGAATTATGCAAATGTTTGAAAATATTACAATGTTTGAGATGAAAAATATTTTTTTTAAATTGAGACTTCTTGTGAGTGACTCTAAATGTGTCTAAAGTGTCTCTAAATTGAAAATATTGAGAGAATGAGGGCTTACAATAATAATAATAATACCATAATCTTCAGGGAGTCTGGTTGTGCATGATGTGGTGGAGGACTCACAGCTGACGGCCTGGACGATCTGCTGAGCCATGTGGCGGATCTGACTGAGCGGATATGGAATAAAGCTGTTGTTTTTCAGGAAGTCAAAGGTGCTCAGAGACAGGAGCTCGAACGAGATGCAGATGTGTCCAAAGTAATCGAACCATCCCAGCATCTGCACGCAGTGACTGGACATACAACAGCAAAGAGGCAAAGAGCATAGATGTGTTACTGCTGATGGCTACAGAAGCCAGTGCAGATGCAGGATGTCAAGTACAAGTTGATATCCATCTTTTAAGACTCACAGATGTGAAAATAGTAGGGCTGTCAAACAATTAAAAAATTGTATTGAGTTAATTACAACTTCAAAATGAATTAATCGTAATTAATCGCGATTAAACGATAAATCATGGTACCACTATGACATCAGCAGTTTTTAGCCTTATAAAACAAAACTATTGTTTGCAATCTCACAAGTGAAATATTTTCTTTATAATTACCGCGTATTTACCGGCTGTATTTGCTGCCGGTCATTTTCAAAAAATCAAAACAAATTCTACCTCCTCCTCTGGTGGTAGGACAAGGAGTTACAGATGCAAAGGGATTTTTTACCCTTCATAAATTCACTATGTACTTTCTATTTAAGATATTATGATTATTATTTTAATTATTTCTACTACATGAAATGGCAAAGAAAAAAGTCTCATTTCAGTATCATTTTGAATGGCCAAATGAATGCATAATATTTCTTCTTTAAAGCATGTTGGGTGTGTTCATTTATCAGAAAAGGCCTGAAATAAGGTAAATAGAACACACATCCAATTCCACACTTGAGCTCAGTTCATACCAATCGTAAATCTAAATATATAAAACATTGCAATCCATCCAAACATGTGATTGTACCGATATTTAAACATGTGTTATTTTCAGAGTGCAGTAACGGCGTGGTGAGAACAGAACTCACTGCTTGTTGAGTGGGTCCTTCTCTATGATTTTCTCCAGCACATTGATTTCGAGCTTTGCTGCTTCTCTGTATTTCTCCAGGTTCTTAATTATCTTCAGAGCGACAAAACGCCCATCGCTGCATTGAAAGAGTTACAATAGTCAATACTACTTTCCAAACGATTGATGCTTTCAGTAAGAGAACATTTACCTGTCGTGGTCTAAACAATGCACAACTTTCCCAAATGTTCCCTCACCTAAAGTGTTCAATATTTCATCTGGAAAAGAAAATGAGTGGATTTTAAACCAGGTAGTGGTCAATAGTTTGTTTTGTAAGTGTAAAACAAACAAATTTCCCCCCTGTGGGAAGAATAAAGGATCCCTTAATCCTAATCTATATTTAGTCAAAATATGGTTTAAAAAAAGTGTGTCCTCAGAAAAAAACAGCGCATTAAAGCATCTCAAGGAAAGCTTTAGCTGTTTCTTCATTTTAAAGTACAAGCACAAAAGGTGAAATATTATACTTGCTTTGAAGAGATTGTCAGTCAAGCTGCATATGGAGACAAGTATAGTAACTTGAGCACTATTCCTCTCCTCTCTTCTACTTAGCTGTAATCATTATGACTTCAGCTGTAGTCACTGTCCCGCTGTCTGTTTCATGGCATAATGATAGGGCCCCTGAACTCGGTCTTTTTCGGCATCTGCAACCTCCCTTCCTGCCTGGGAGCCGCCTCAGTCCTTGTTCTACAGCCTGAGTCCTAGATCTACAGCCTGAGTCCTGGATCTACAGCCTGAGTCCTAGATCTACAGCCTGAGTCCTGGATCTACAGCCTGAGTCCTGGATCTACAGCCTGTCCGTCTGTGGGAGTAGATCCTGTCAATATTCCCACATTTTTTTAAGTCGTTCCTTGGATTATCAATAGTTGGTCATCCTGCTCCCTATGGACTTTGTAAAGATCACCAAGACGACTGCTGTTGTGATTTAGGGCAGTACATAAATACATTTAAATCCAAACGTCTCTTTGAGCCCTTCTGCCAAAAGGTTTTGTTTTCAAACTTTGTGAATGCTATGACAAATCCTGAAATTCTTTTAAATTAAAACAATATTTAATACCTCCAAATTACTTTTTTCTCCATTCAGATTACCTTCATTGTTAAATTTACTCTCCCTCGATGGAATGCATTCTCCCATTCCCTTATACATGTTTTATTCGTAGGATGCCAAATCTTGATCTTACATGTTGTGTGTCTACAGTATGAGATTGATAGAGTATGTGTTAGTGTAGAACAGTGTGTAGTCATAAACACTCACATCTGTCCTGCAGGACGTCTCCTCTGTTGTAAATCAAATGTCCATTTTCTGCATTTCTCTTCTCGTCCGCCTCAGCGTCACTCGTGTCCTTCTGCAAGTCACCAACGACAGAAGAGAGAGGTCAGAGAGGCACAAGGTCAACATTGCATTTAGACATTACATCATCACAACATCATCAAAGTCATTTAAAAGCTCAGACTGTACAACGAACACTGCTCACTTTAGTACATGGTGTTCCCTCTCAGACTGTACAATGCATCAAGCATAGTGACTAGGGATGTCCGATATTGGCTTTTTGCCAATATGCCGATATTGTCCAACTCTCAATTTTCGATTCCGATATCAGCCGATACTGATGTCGATATGTGGGTTATTTTTCCTCAAAACTAATTTAGGTAACATCACATACAGTATCTCCTGTTGTGGAATTAGCAAATGCTTAATGTTATTGTGATGCCCCACTGGATGCATTCTTGTATGCAACAAGGCTTTCCAAATGTTAACATTGTCTAAACAAAATAAGAAAAAATACTTCAACTTAATTTGCAAAAAAGTGCCATGTTTATTTTATTTATTTTTTTACCATTGTCAAACAACAGTTTGGATTACACACTTCCTGAGATAACACAACAAATAGGGTAAATTTGACTTCAATGTGGCAACTATACTGCACAAATTTGAAAACATTTGTTTGAGCTACAAAAAAATACTTCAAAATATACTTCAGGAGCGCATGGGCAGGTTGTGACGCAAGCATTATTTTATTGGTTTTAAGGCAAAAAAAATCCGATAACGATATTACGGGCTTATTAACCGAGCGTGAGGTCTGTATGGAGAAATATCAGACCGCGGCCTTAATGTAAAGACAGATTGTCATGGTAACGGTCCGAGGAAAGATATCAAATGTGATACGCGATGTTCGGACCAATTGTCATGGTAACGGTCCGAGATGGGAAAATATCAGACCGGTAATCAGCCAATCAGAGCGCGCGTACGGTCCAAGTCATATAATAATAACCGATATTAATTTTTTATGCTAATATCGGGCCGATAATATTGGTGGGCCGATATTATCAGAAATCTCTAATAATAACTATGGGGGGCACAGTAAATATAGTTTTATACTTCATCTAAAGAATTTATGAGGCATACAGAGTCAGACTAAAGTTTTGTTAAGTTCTTACAATTTACAACTATTGGTCTTGAGGGCGACAGTAGCTCAGTTGGTCGAGCATTGGCCTTCAGGCCTGAACGTCGTGGGTTCAATTCCCACCTCTGCACCTTCTCCACCGACTCCCACTGATGACCGCTTTCGTTGCCCTTGGGCAAGACACTTAACCCCACTCTGCCCAAAGCCCCCACTGAAAGATCAAGGCTATGCTCACAGTCAGAGAGCAGCCGTCCTCCTGTGGACTCACCACCTGCAGAGGGTCAGTGAGGGGCTGGTGCTATGAGACTTGGGTGGCATCTCTGACTGCCACCCCCCTGACCCGGAAATGGATTAAAGGATAGAAAATGGATAGAAAATGGATGGAAAATGGATGGATGGATGGTCTTGTCTCTTTCACAAGAACGTTGAGGTCCGAGGATCTGAGACTGTGCTCAGGCTTCATAAACAAGCATGAGGATTTTAAAGTCCATTCGGATAGATCTTTTAATATAGCTCTGGCATAGATATAGATAGTAATAAGAGATGAGAATATGAGAGTTATGACAAGAGAAGCATTGAAAAAGCGGCAGCTGCTGTATATATTTAAGAGGAAGACCTGAGAAGAGGCCGTTACTATAATATGTTCTACTTGAGACACATGCAGGTCTTGGTACACAAAGATGCTGAAATACTACTACCAAGTCCTCAAAATCAAAGCAACAAAGGTAGACTAAAAACAGGGAGGCTGCAGGTGTGCTATAAACTAGTTCAACATCACTATTGATTCCACTCTATCCATGTCTCATTAAATAAAAGGCTTTTAAGTAATCCAAAGTGCTTTCTCTGACATCTGAATAATTAATACAGCAATCAAACTGTCAGGACTGTCGAATTTTAACTGGGATATTTTCACCTTTTACAGTTTACACATTAAACCATGCTGTAAAAGAACATTCATTGGCGTTGCTTTCTAGGCAAGTTAATGAGAAATGTCAAGTGAAAGAGCATGTGTGGAGGCTCTATTTCCGTGCACATTCTGAGCCTGTTATTAATATCAGAAACTCAGCGTGCACTTGGGAGACACTTTCCTGCAAAGTAGCCACAAAATGAAACAGCGAGGCGTGCACTGATTGGAAATGCACCCATCGGATTGAATAGAGAAAAATGTGTCAAGAAGTTTGAATCAGCTGTGAGGCGGTAAGGAGGGAAACGGCGTAGAAATATATACTTACAGAAATACAAATGCAAAGGCAATCCACGAAGGCTTTGTAGAGGGAGAGCAGCTCCGTCTTCCCCATTGTGAAGCAGAGAGGAGAGCCGCGGGCGAAGGATGGAGAGGATGGGGACTTCAGGACGAGAATAGGACAAGACAATGCAATGTCAACGTTTCTGGAAAAGAACACAAAGTCCTTGAAAAATGAATGAATTACACCCAAGAAAAGAACAAATCTATTATGGAAAAATACCTGTAGATGTCTTCAGTTTAGAGCGCACATTTGAAACAGATTTCCAAAAAGTAAGGAAGAAAGAATAGCCATACATTTCTTCAGTTAATTTAAAACACTGCATCTACAGGTGCATTTATATTTGAGAGAAGGCAGGATTTTTGCTCTTAAACAAGATTTCAGAAGAGGTCCAGACTTTGGTTATCTGTAAAAAATGTCTAGAAAATTCAGCAATTACAAATAAAAGTGCAAGATCATGGAAGTCTACAGCAGGAAGGCTCTTCACTGCATGTCAGACGAGCACAGGGTGTAAACAGGACTTGAAGGGGAAAGGATATACGGAACATAGACAGAAGCTAAGAATAAACTTTGGTCCCAGGCAGCCACCCCCCATGTGAAAGTCCTCGGCGGAGAATCGAGATGCGGAGAAACCAAAGAGGAGGTGGTAGAGGGCAGGGTCTGGTTTCAGGCCACTTACTTACCTCCTTAACCCCTCCATGGTATGTTTTCCCACACCTGTCCAGCCCTGCATTCTGCACATACAAGTCAATGTAGAGGGTCTGCTTTGATTACAGGAATAACCCACAACAACGGCGCTCATAAAGGGCTTTTATTTAGATGTTTATGAGGCTGTCTGCACTGGGTAACGTTGATGATGAATACATTTAAACGTAAGCTGTGGTGTGTCATCATGCATCATCAAAAATGTATAAACGGTCCTTAAATAAATTTGCATTTATCTTCATTTGAGTACTGTACAGTATGAAAATAAGATTTGCCAATAGAACAGGCAAGCCTTTTCAAATATTGAGGTAATATTTTAGACAAAACAGAAATCATGTGCTTTTCAACAATATAACATAAATATCAAACACTTTTTTCTTAAAACAATATTCTATACTTTTTGCGGTGTAATTTATAATGATAAAAATTGTCACATGGGAATATTTCATCAACCATAACTATTAAACCAGGAGTGTCCAAACATCAATCGTCTCATACAGGTGTATTGAAATTACACATTTTATCAGAATTATAAAGTTGTATCACTCACCAAAACAAAAGAAACTAATGTTTTGATGGAGATGTAATACATTTGTTGTAATATGGGTTTGTTCAGCTGGAAGCATGGGGCCACATAATGCCCAAGGGCCATAGTTTGAACAGTTCTGGTCTAAACACAGTCAAATACTTGTAAAATCCATTAAACAGTTCATGAACATGAGTAAGAAGACAAGAGAAACTTGTTGCACTAGAAGCATTATGAAATGTAAAAATGGCATTAAAATGTAAACATATTCAGAACAACACAACAATTCCGAAAGTGGTGCAGAGTGCATAAAAATGTGGATGCAAAAACAGCTGTGGAACTAAGTGCAGATGTAAGACTAGAAGGACCCTGAAGAGGCTTTCAGTAAGATGTCTCCGTACGGCTCCGTCTGCTGCGCCTGCAGCCTCCTGGAGGATAAGTCTTCTGCAAAACAAACACAAGAGGATTATAGAAATCAGATGCAGAAATACAAATAAGAAAATATGATACTGTTACTGGTATATATTCCAATGAACAATCATATTAAAATAGAATCACTCCAGATAATGGAATGTAAGCAAGAGCTACATTTAATAAACCGTAAATGTAAGCAATAAGTAGCCACACTTTATTCAACCATCTACAGCTGTACCCAAACTTCAGCTTTTATCCCGAAATGGCCCAAAAACAGTCCTTTGTCTTAATTAGGTCAATAATTTGGGTAGCTGCGTCTTAGTCAATATTATTGTGATAGTTAACAAACTATTTGCATTGAAATTCTGTCCTAAAAGTGCTAGAATGAGCAGGTATGGACCAGATAAGCTGAAGATTTAGAAATTGTTTTTTGGATTTAAGGCAAATACAGCTCTTTCAGTGTATTTGAGCTTCCGAAGCTATATATTTTTCTTGCTTAATATGCAAAAATAGTTGAGAATAATAATAATAGTTTTGAGAGCTTTTGTCAGTCCCTCTTTTAGTTTCCTGATGGATCGATATCTTTAGTCAAGAAAGAATGTCTTTGATCAATGGGCTGTATGCGCGGTGACGTCATTTCCTGTAAACGTCCGGTCTGTGCAAGTGCTATGGCCTTGTGGTGAGTTGTAGTGAAATTGTTTAGTAATTAGATTGATACATTCAACTGTGAGTCTGACCCAAAAGTGTGGACGTGCTTTCTCTCTGAGAAATAGCTTTGACTATAGCAACTCAGAGAGATTAGGTAACTTTACAAAAGCACAATGAAAGAGAACTGCTGTGTCCCAAAATACTACCCAGTTCCCACAAAGTTTGATTCCTGTTTGAGCATTATTTAGGAAACTTATGTAAACATCTGGTGAACTCAATCTCAGCCAGAGTCAAACTCAAGCCAATCCTCGCGCACCAGAAGTTGAGTTTTGTGATAACTAAAACTCGGAAGTGGTGCGTGCATAGAAATATAGAGAAAACACTAATATGAACTACTAAAGATGCAGGAACTTAAGACCTATTTTCTTTCTTTATAATCATATTCCCAGCCTTTTGATTCACCTTAGGCAAACGTAATCCTGTAAATGTTATAACCTTTCCTTACCCAGAACTTTTACAAAACGTCGGCTGACAGCTTTGCGACTCGCGCCTGGTGGTAGGAGGGACTGGAACGAAGTGAGGCCCTCTTCACGCTCAAGTAACTCCAGCAGGCTGAAAGTGGAGCAGGAGCATGAGACGCACACAGCAGTGTTCCAATGACCTCCAAGTGACAGTCAAGAGCAGCAACTATTACAACTGTTATAGAAAACAGGACAAATACTATGCATTATTAGTATTCTATTTGGCCCGTGGTGCACAGGGTTTGAAAACAGCATTTGAACAAAAGGGGAAGGGGGACGTGTATGTGCCGGTTTCAGCTTAAAATAACTCCAAGTATATCTTTAACGAGGGAGACATGTTTGAATTGGTCATTGATAAAGACTTCCATTGAAGACCAATTCAAAGATGGCGCCTGTGTTTGATTGTGATAAGATAGGGGAACCTTTAATCGTCCCACTTTGGGGAGATTTCAATGTTGCAACGCACATGCAGGACAGTAGTAAGAGCACACAGGAAGCACACACAATACACAACATAAGTAGCTGCAGCGGCCCTTTGAGGACTAGTTTGACATCCCTGGTCTACAACATTATCTGTTACAATTTCAGTTTCCTGCTCTTTACATTGGCTATACTAAATGGTTCAAAACCCCATCATATACAGGTATCTCCTTTAATGTTTTAATAAGAAGTGTTTCTGCTTTTAATAATAACCTATTAATATTTATTAGTTAATATTATTATAATCAACTGCATGATAATTATCTTTGTTCTGTCTTTGACCTCAGCAGACATGTACTTGGTGGTGGTGGAGTGTGCTTTGAATAGATTCAAACTAGAAAATCTAACAAACAGTCAATGTTATAATTTACAAGCAGCGCCATCCTCTCTGTGTGTTTTGTCGATTTAGCATTGGTTGCTTGGTAACACTGCTCTTTGTTTTGTCCCTATTGAATAAACAAACAAAATCTCTTCTTGTTCAAAAAAATCACTTTTTTGTGTGAACCAATGTCTCTAGTTTGTGTTATAATCAGTTCTTACTCAGGGTACTGCAGCTCAGGCTCAGACACTGCACCAGTCACCTCCTCTGGGATGTCCTGGAGGATGGACATGGACCTGGACACCACCGAACTGACAGCAACAAGACAGACAATCACTTTTTTATTTTACAGTGAAATTGCAATGACAGTGAATTGCCTTTTCTAATGAACTATCACAGAAATAACACAAAAAAATCAACAACACAATAAAGATCAATACATTTTGCATAGAAACTAGTTTCTGTGGAGGGATCATTGCCTTGTTCAAGATGCTCTCAAACTAGGATTTCACATATTTCCGGGCGTAAATCTGAATACACCAGAGACAGAGGAAGCTGCACCTACCCGTCTGTGTGCGGAGTGAACAGGGGCGACATCTCCCTGGAGGCTTCCATGTGCTCCGAGCCCTCCAGAGGCAGAGACGTCACAGCTGAATCAAAAAACATGCAGCATAGACATTCAAACAATCTGTGTTTTATTTAAGTATTTATGGTACTTATGTGTTCATTATGGGGGGCGACAGTAGCTCAGTTGGTAGAGCATTGGCCTTCAGGCCTGAAGGTCGTGGGTTCAATTCCCACCTCTACACCTTCTCCACCGACTCCCACTGATGACTGCTGTCGTTGTGTCCTTGGGCAAGACACTTAACCCCACTTTGCCCAAAAGCCCCCGCTGAAAGATCAAGGCTATGCTCACACTCAGAGAGCAGCCGTCCTCCTGTGGACTCACCACCTGCAGAGGGTCAGTGAGGGGCTGGTGCTATGAGACTTGGGTGGCATCTCTGACTGCCACCCCCCTGACCCAGAAATGGATTAAAGGGTAGAAAATGGATGGATGGATGGATGTTCATTATAGGCCAGGAGGGTTAGGGTTGTGCTATTTAGCTGGAAGGAAATAGCTAAGATTTTTAAATTAGTGGAATGTACACTGATCAGGAGTTGAGGGAAAGCATTAATCTACAGCTAAGAATACAGCTTTAATATTTCTGCAGGGTAACCCACAGCAGTACATGATGTTTCCACTTTCTAAACTTGGCATCTCAAAAAGACATTTCCCTACATTTTGCTTGTATTTGTTTCTGTAGTAGTCTATCAGGGCTCCACCTTTTGTCTGTTTCACATCACATTTTGGAAGAAACCTGAGGCGCATAAAAGTTTGTGTTTTTCTCTTTTCTCTTCACATTCCATATTTTCAAATTCATTTTTGTCTCATAATGGGACTAAAAACCCTCTGGTTTAAACAAACTGGATTTACAATAAATTGGCGACATTGTTCTGTTAAGAGTACAAAAATGAACATGCCCTTGGGAAAGACAGTCGTGTTTTTGGCCATGGTTTCTGCTAGATTAGCACAGAGTTGGCACTGTGCTCTCAAAAAAGATTTTTGACAAGTTACAGTTTGTGTTATACCTGAAATATTGAGTGGCTCAGCTTCCGCCTCGTCTCTTGGAATCTGCACACACCCGTTCAAGTTGTGAACTTATAAAATTGGCTTCAGAAATGTGCCACAAGTCAGAGCTGTGCGCACCTCTCTGTCGCTCTCCTCTGGCCCCACCATCTCGTCCCTCAGCTCCCCGCTATCTCCTCTCTCACTCTCTTGAGAGTCGGACGATCCTGGGCCTGCTCTGAGCCGAGGGTCTGATCCCAGGACCGGCCTGAGGACCGCAGCGTGTCGCCATAGTAACTGCAGCTCCCTGGCCAAGAGCACTGGGAGAAAAGTAGCAATTGGTTTATTTTTGAAAAGGTCACATGAGTCACAACCTTTACAGTAATTGACCATTTAAAGTAAAATGTGAGAAGAAAGTTAAGTTGATGTAAAACGTGCAACAATATTACAGCAATGTTTTGTGATCTTATCTGAGATGTATCGTAATTCTAGTAGCAAAAAACAATGGAAAACTTAAATTACTTTTACTCTAGTAATTGAGTGGTCAATTTCATACAATGAATAATATAATTAAAAATGCTAATAGATTACTCTGCCAGGGGTTTGCATGTCAGTCTGTGTGCAACAAAAACACACATTTAACTGCACCTCTTGGTGTGTGCATGTATACATGCATTATCAAGTCAAAGACATTACTGTCATCCTGGCATGACAGACAAAGTTTTGAATATATTTCAGAAACTAAATTCAACCACAAAATTTCAGTATTTTCTCAAATTACAATTACAATAGCAATGTCAAGAAAGGGCCAGTTTTTGCCCTGTATGTAGAACGTTATTAGTTCCAATATTTACTCAAACGTTTCAATACTAGTTTTACATTGATTATTTGTACTGTATATGATTTCCTATACTTTTGACAACCTATAACACAATGTCCAAATGTCCATAACAGCAGTGCAGGGATTAATAAGCACTGGTGTGTGAGTTGTGCGTCGGTACGGACAGGTGGTTGGGGCGTTGAGCAGCTCCGTAGCTGTGGGCCTGAGCGCGGAGGGGACGGGCAGCATGGGAACTGGGGCGGTTTGTGTTCGCAGGTCAGTAATCTGCTGCTGCTGCTCCTCCTGAGAGAGCTGTGTGTGCTGGTCCATGAAGATCAGCTGTCTCCTCCTCCTCCTCCTCCTCTGCACCTCCTCTGGGCTGGACTCAAACTACAGCCACACACACAGAAGGTACAAATACAGTAGGCCTGGCTGATGTGGTCAAAAATATATAAATGTAATTGTAGTTGTGGTTTAATTTGTGATGTGTTCTAGTGCTGAGTTGAGTAACTGAGTTGTGTGGCAATTCAAGTAGCAAAAGAACAATGTCACTTTATAAATAAAGACATCTGATGGAAGAGAAACGTCTATTTCTGTGAAATTTGTGGTTATTGTCTGAAGTAAACTATTCTTGAACGCACCTCTATCTCCGCCCCCCGCTTTTTCTTTCTCTCTGCAGCAGACGGAGGGGAGGGTAGGAGGGGCATAGACAGAGGGGTGAGCTCGACAGCAGGGGACGCTAAAGGCGTCTGTGGCAGGTGTGACCCGTCCTGGGGTAACAGAGGCTGGTCCTCCATGGACAGGCTGGCGACAGTAGGCTGTAATCTAGAGAATGTGGAGAAGGTGTATCCTGGGGACTTTTACCTAACACACATCTGCTGCACTATTAAATGGCCCTAATCTGTCAAAAGGCATTAGTAAACCATGCTCTTTTCCAATAATTCTTTAACTGATAACAGAAGTACAGCTGAGACGTTTGGATTTCAAAATCAGTTTTACAGGCGCTAAATCTTGTTATTGTTTTCATTTTGATGTCCCGCCCTCCACCGTTTCACAAATCAGAAGGTCCATGATCCAAGTTGCCAGAACTCACTGTGCCGAGCTAATCTCACTGGTAAAGTAACATGTGGTTGCAGAACTAAAAAAGGACTTGTTATGATTCTCAAATCATTAACAACAAAACAAGGAATAAAAAGAGCATTTTTATCTTTGTGAAAAGGGTGTTCAATATAGATTTGTTGTTGACAAAACTCTTTATTCAGATATTATGGTCGAAGCTGGATTCGTCTGTATATCTGGCAACCTGAGTCAGGGGGGGTGCGGTACCACATTTGGCCAGATTTTTACATACTGCTCCTTTAATGGTATTTGAGAATATGTACAGAGAAACAACCAACAACATCCAACTCTGAAAATAATTTAATTCCACCACTTTAGCTTCAAACTACTAAAACTATGAAAAACTGTTTTACATGCTTGCATTTATATTCTCCGCCATCTTTAATGAGTAAGAGTGTCCTTTCTTATTATTATCATTATTAGAGTTCATAAATGATAACATGTTTCCTGAAGACTGCATGTTGTGGTTTGATTTGTTCTTATTTTCACTTTTAAAAGACTTTTTCTGTTGGAAAAAACCAACATCTATTATTTATGTTATGTTATGTACCCCAGCTTTAAGAGACTTGAAAAATCTCTAAATTTCAAAACTTGACAGAGAATAATAGAATAAACAGAATAGATTAAGAGGTACAAAAATGAAAAGGTGTAAAAAGTCACTATGCAGCATTGAATAAGCACTTCAACCTCTACCTTAAGAAATCAAATAAGGATTAGTTACTAGCGAAGTTTGCAGGAGACAGAATATGAAAACCTCTTGAGACTGGCCCGATCGTTTGTGTTAAATCATTTACTCAGTGGTGGATTCAGTGGGCTCCTTGGTCCTGTCGGGCTGTGTCACTATGTCCTGTTCTCTCTGCACCTCGACTCCAGGCTGGTCCCCTGATGCAAAATGTCAAAGGAACAGAAACACTGCATAAAAACACATTACAGAAACATCATCTTTGAATAGAATTTTAGCACCGACCTCCAAGAAATTGATCAGTTTCTGCCAACAGAAGGTCGATGGTGCTGGGATGATCTGCTAGGTCCATTCCTTCGAACTAGAAAACAGAAAATACATTTTTGAAATAAAAATATAGCACGTAGAGTACTTTTATTTTTTGATTTTATATCCCTCCATTCATACAGCTGTAAATGTTCCTATGGTTCAGGTGAATATACCTCAGAGGAAGGCAGTGGCACTGGAGGCCGCTCCCTCAGAGTGATCGTGTCTGGAGATGCTGTGATGCCTGGAAAAAGGAACAATTATCTATGATCTACATCTGCCTTAAGAGAGGGGCCATCAGATAATCAAGAGGCCTCTGATCTAAAAACATCTAGAGTGGTTGGCTCACGTCCTTCTGCTGCCAATCAAAACACCACCATTATGAAACAGGATTCATCTGAAAGCGTCTTTGTCCATTACTAAAAGGTATTCAAGAAAAGTCTGCAAAGATATTGAGACTTTGATTTGACCAAACCTGGATCTGCGAGTCTCATAGAATACCAAAGAAAAGACAAAAAAGGATAAAGAAAAGGGTATTTTTGTATACATTTAAAGAGCAGCTGCTTTGCTTCATTGACATAGAATTACAAACTATTATGATTTACCTTTATTTAACCAGGAAAGTCCCACAAGCTGAATCCAAATTATATGTTCTTACTTTTAAATTTATATAATGCATTAAAAAACGTTAATGTGAGATAAAATAATGGCTGAAGTTCAGACCAGCGTGCAGAGTCTGGTCCAGCGGTGAGGAGCGCAGGGCCTCTGCTCGGTCTGCAGGTGAAAGAGTCAACGGGGATTGGTCCCTGAGGTGCCCCTGCACAATGTGAGATAAACATGACAAGGATTGCAAACAGGCAAACAAACAAACAAACATCTCCAGGTTCCAGGTTGTACTCCTACATGTTATGAAAGACACATTATACTATGTAGGTTTACAATCAGTAACACATCCTTCGCCCCTTTCAGTCATGGTACGACGAACTTCCGCTTTCAGGTTAAATTCACAGCTGTTTTCACACTTGGAAAAAAACAAACAGTATTGCCTCCAAATTAGTATTGGCTATTTCTGCAGTTATAAAATTTACACTTTTTATTTTTTATTTTATCATGACACATAAGAGCTCTCATTTACATAATGTACATGGAAATGATCATAAAATAGTTTGGGGGTATTGGGGGTTTATGCCAGATGCTCACAACATGTGTTATTATTGACAACTGTTTGTTTTTAGTTTTTTGTGTATATTCTAGTTGGATGTGCACCTGTAGCAGATCTCTGGGGCTGGGCAGGTCTTCCTGCATGTACATCTGTCCAAACAGAGGGTCAGGAGCACTCTCAGTCTCCTCCATTAGCATCAGCACGTCTTTATGCAGCGCCGCAGGTCTAAACACACATCGGTCATGAGTGAAACTGAAGAGACTTCAAAAATGCTTTTATAAACCCACACAAACTCACACACACACAAATACACACAAACACACACCTGTCAGGGTCATCCATGTCATTCTTCTGTGTAGTTTTCTGCTTTAATAACCAGTCTATTATGCACTGGGTCTCTTCTGGAAGGACATAGAGCATGACATTAGTTTGATTCTAGATTGAATGGAGATGGAGTTTCCATTGCTACGTAAAAATAAAGATGAAGGTAATGGTGGTGATTGGCTCCAAAGATGTTTGTTTACCAGAAGGTTGTATGAATGTATCAAATTCATGCAGAAAGGCCCAAACATTTCTGAATTCATTATGTAACTTTTAGTATTTATTTTCCATTTCTATAATTGCTTTAACTTGGAAGTATAGTTTTAGATGTCTTTTTCTCTGATATCTGGACAGTTGTAGAAATATTCAACCTCACAATATACTGGAGGACCGTGGTATTTTGTGTTGTACGAGAATATTGTGGATATCTGGTCCCATCCTGGGTCCATACCCAGTAGAATGGCGCACTGGCGGTGGTAGACCAGGATGATTCCATACTGCAGCTGGGAGGACAGGTACAGGGAGAAACGCGGGCGAGGAAGGCCAGATTGCGGAGGCTCCACATGCTCCAACAGATAGTCCATGATGTCATCACTGCAGGAGCACAATGTGATCAGGATATGACAGTCTTTTCTGGATAGGTCATATTGAGTTACAAAAAAAAAAAAAAAATCCATGTTTGTAATTGTCAACAGACCTGTACAAACTCAAGAATACTTGCTAAAGGACATCTACACTATAACGAAAAACAGCTGCATTTAAAATACGGTATAAATGTTCTTAATGAGCCACTAGCTGGACACACAGTGGGCCAGCTGTGGTCGAAGGGCACGATTGGCGGCCAAGCGTCCGTCAATACACCCCAAGACATTAGTAGCTCAGGGAGTGAATTAATAAGATTTGAAAGTAAAAAAAGAGGGCTACATAAAACCAATGCATTATTATTACTACTCACCAGGTCTTGGAAACATTGACTTTGAGAAATTCCCTGCGTCTGACTCTGATGCCCTTTGTGGCAACAAGCCTGAAACATCACATGAACTTCTGGTTAAATGAATCATTCAGATATAGATTAAGTTGAACAAGATGTCACTTTGCAATTCTACCACAATTATCTTTGCACTTGGAGCCCTGATGTCTGGTTGGTCTCACTCACAAAAATAACGCAGATTTTGGATAAGAATCCAGGATGGATGAGGGTCCTAAAATAATGTTTAAAAAAAAAACCTATAGCAAGTGTCCAAACTATTGCCTGAGGTTAAAATGCCGCCATTAAACCAGGAGTGAATAAACGTTGGGGTCCTTTTATTTCAGCAAACATTGTCCAGGGGCTTACAATATTTGTTCTAGGCTGGATTTGGGCTGTTCTGAGCTTTAAAATGAGGTATGTCTATAATGGTTCACATTTGACGGAGCTGCATTTGGCTGAATGAATTAATGTCTAGACACCAGATACATCAGCAAAATACAATCAAAAACAAAAGCCAGTGGAGTCGAGCCTGACAATGTCAACAACTGGATTCCAGATATGTGCTTTACAACAAGGTCATAACATGTCTATTTTCGCAGAGGTGAAGTGGGCTGTAAATGCCGGTCAATTATTATTTCCCTACATATATGTCCCTGCATATATGTCCCTACATATATGTTCCTAGATATATGTCCCTGCATATATGTCCGGGTCTGATCCCAGCGGCTGCGGTTAACTCGGTTGTACCCCATCCGACCAATCAGATAGCGGAGGAGGCAGGGGTTGTATGGAGCTATTATTGTTTTAATAATATTTGTGTGTGCAAAAACAGATTTGTGCGTGCTTAACCAGATTTGTGTGTGCGTAACTAGATTTGTGTGTACGTAACTAGATTTGTCTGTACGTAAAAAGATTTGTGCGTGCGTAACCAGATTTGTGTGTGTGTAAAAGATATTTTTGTGTGTGTAAATAGATTTGTATGTACTATCAAGATTTGTGTGTGCGTAAAAAGATTTCTGTGTGCGTAGAAAGATTTGTGTGCGTCACTATATACGTCACAGTTCATTCCGATCCAATTAAAACGGAGCTCAATGGAGCAAACACAGACCTTTGTACGATGGTATGCTAAGACCAAGGCAGACTGGGACATGTAGACTAAAACTAAGGACCGCAATTTGCCCGCGGGCCTTGGACATATATTACTCTTTGTTTTAGAATGGTAGTCACAGAAGGGCCTTAAACACTTGTACAGACAGTCTAGTACAAGTGTCTAGTACAGCCTTGATAATAAGTATTGTTCACTCATAAAAACCACGTCTGAAGAGTAACTTATAAACTTTAGTTACATCGTATCTGAGGTCGACTGCTCAAAACGCGCCATTTTTCGATCGTATAAAAAGGGTAATATATACAGTCTATGGGTGCTACACAATTATCCTTCAAATTAATCTAATGTAAATCTTGAAAGTTTATAATGCACTTTTCCTCCTTCGCAACTGCCAAATTGTAGAACAAAAATATCTTGCTTGAGCGAAAGTGACGATTAAAAATGTATTATCACACAAAAATACCTTTAAAAGTAGGAAGGATTCATTCGTTTCAACTCACCAAATAGTAGAAAAGCATCCAGTATGGCGCCTCAGTACTGCTGGATAATAAAACATTTTAAAACGTGTCTAAAAAACTTCTACTTTCTCTGTAGGTCGATAAAATGAGAGAAAATGGAAGTTGTCTAATGAAAGTGTTTACATGTTCTCTCGCACTGATTGGTCTGTTTCATCTGCGATCAGCTAATCACATTGTAGCTGCTGTTTGGTTGCCTGGGCTAAGTATAAACAAAAAGTATTGAGGCAAAAACACATTTACAGGCATGTCTTTATTCAAGAAAAATGACAAAATCAATTCCATATTAAAAGTTAAAATGACAAAACATGTTCGTATAAAATAAGGGCAACATAAATGTAAAATACAGCATGACCCATCAACACTAATACATTATAATGACAGGTTCCTATGGAGAGTGTTGCTGGCTACAGGAGTCTTCCTCTGCATTCTGGAGAGCCGCAACAGCACAGGAGCACTTTCCCCTCCACGCTGCCCACTTCATAGTTATAATCCCATGTGAGCTCTGTGCCCGCGCGGATACGCCTGAAGACAAATCATCAAACAATAGACATTAGATGAAGTGGAAATGTACTTTAAAACATGTATTTATTTAAGACAGATTTAAGATATATTGGCCTCAATTAGGTTCTCTATGATGTGAAACTTTGACATTTTGTAAGTATAAAAAGTTATTTTTTTTTTTTTTTTTAATTCCTTTTGGAAAAATGGCTTGCAATAAATGTAAATCTTGTTTGGTATTGATCAGCTATGTATTGAGTAAGGAGCACTATACCTACATATATATTTGAAGTATATTTTTAAACCATAGTATAAACACATGTTGGCAGTCTAAAGGCTGAAATAAAAAACACACTTTGGATAAAATTGACCACAGAGCTCGTAAACCTTTGTTGGGTCTTCAAACTCTTGATAAATGGATTCTTTAAAACTCTTTTCTGAACTCTTATGGAACATTCCAACAAAACATTCTTTGTGCAAAAAGTGCTTTGGACTGCTTGGAAATACTTGTGCGCCCTCCTAAGGACAACCCTGGCACTACATATCGGTGGTTGACAAGATGACGTCATTGCCACATTGACCGTCAAAAGGGATGTTGTTGCGGGAATATTATTTTCACCAGTTGAAACTCTAATCTCTACTTGCATCAGAGATAATCTGATACATATTATATTAATTAATATGATTCTTCAGGCAAACAGCTTCACTTACTTGCTGGCAAAGAATGCGACCCAGGGAAAACGCAGGTCATGCGTGTCCACAAACACATTCTGGACAAACAGGTTTGGACTGCAGCTATGCTGTAAGAGTCAAAGAGACGAGTTAGTTAGTCTTTATTGTCTCTGTCTCCTGGCTGTAGTTTGGAACTGGATGATAATAGAAACATGAAAGGGAGTATCTTAGACGTACATTGAGATAACGTCCGAGATTGCCTTCGAGCTTGGCGTCGATGATGTAACAGGATTCCTCTCCATCAAAGAAAGAGCGCGTGTTTCGGGGGCCGCTGTCTTTGCCGGATTTTTGTTTTCCGCCCTGAGCCCCCGATCCACCAGTGCCGGCCCCTCCCCCCTTCATCATCATCCCATGACTCGTTTTCATGGAAATAAAGCGAGTCGATTTAACAGCCACCTGCTTTTTAGTCACAGCTGAAAAACAGACACAAGGTTATTAAAACGTTCCTGTGTGACATACTGCAATCAGTGTGTGTGTCCTGTGTGTGTCCCGTGTGTGTCCCGTGTGTGTCCCGTGTGTGTCCCGTGTGTGTCCCGTGTGTGTCCCGTGTGTGTCCCGTGTGTGTCCTGTGTGTGTCCCGTGTGTGTCCCGTGTGCGAGTGGAAACAAATGGCACCATCTTATGTTTCCAACAGTCTGGGAGATAAGTTCCGCTTTAATCGTTGTTCATTAGAGAGAAGCTGGTGCACTGGCTTCTCCATATTCAATAACTGAGCAGCTCAATCCATCACCGAAGTATTTGTCATTATACAAAAAAATAGCGTTTCTTTGTCCTTGAAGTCAGATCATCGTATAACATTGTGGTAGTGGTCTCTATTGGCAAAATTGTAGTAAATGAATCAATTCTTACTGATTTTCTCCTTCTCCTTGTCATCGGAGCCGGAGCTGATGGTCTGAACATCGTCGCTGTCAGACAGAGTCATGACGTCTTGTTTTTTAGCCTCTGACTTTCCATCACTGCAAGAAACAGCTGTTATTTTACAGCTCAAGCAATGACCACATTTAGAAATGTTTGTACTTCAACAATCATATCACCTTTTAACGTCTCCGTCCTGTAAGAAATAAAGCACATCAATGTGATTACAAAATATTTCTTACAAAACTTTGTCCTGCTGACCCTATAGAAGCCAGTTTTCAGAATATCTCTGATTCTGCCCCAGCAGTCGATAAAGCAAAAGAAAATGGATGGGGGCGTCAGAGGCTCATTTGGTAGAGCACTGGCCTTTGAGCCTGAAGGTTGTGGGTTCGAGCCCACCATAAGACCTACTCCATGACCCATTGATCGCTGCTGTCATTGTGTCCTTGGGCAAGACATTTAACCCCACTTTGCCTGAAGATCCCACTGAAAGATCTCGGCTCCTGTGGACTCACCACCTGCGGGAGGATCAGTGAGGGGCTGGTGCTCTGTGTACTGGGTGCAGCTCTGACTGCCACCTCCCCGATCCAAAATGGATTAAGGGGAAGAAAATGGATTGATGGACTTAACAGAACTCTATCTGCAAATGAATGTACAGACCTGTCCAGCTGTTCGCTCATGGGAGTGATCAATACATTTTCTCTTTGAGTTTTTCCTCTAAGGACAGAGACAATGAAATATTTATAAATATGATAGATAAATAGCTATGAACATTGGATAATCCAATTGTATGGACAAATGACGAGCCCCCGCTCACTCACTCGCTTTTGTGGACATTGTGTTCTTAGAACTGTCTACAATGAGGGTACATGATACTAAAGAGTAACGTTTGAAAATATTGATGATAAAAAATTATAATAAAGAATAAATGACAATTGTGATGTTGATTACCTAATCTTTTGACATGAAATATGATTTTCCAATCTATTGGAAAATAAACAAGTCTGTGACGCCCTTCAAGACCACTGCCATTGTGATTTTGAGTGATGCAAAAATAGTTTGATCTATTTTGTTGCTGTATAGAAAGTGTCACAAACTGGCATCAAAGGGGTAAATACAAAGAAATGAAAAACTTATTTTATTAAATAGTTAAAAGTGCAAACTCTATGAAGAATGCGTCTAAGGCCTTTACCTTCTTGGGCGGTTGGTTGGAAAGCCATGAGGCCACTTTGCTCTTTCCAGTCTCCTCGGGCATCAGGTGGGGCTTGTTCGGCACTCCTTTGTTCTTCTTCGCCCCGTCTTTACCGTCCTGACTCCCTGGATTATGAACACGGCATTGAGAAACAAGTGCTGTTGTTTAAAGGGCTGAACGTTTTCGAAAACATTTTTGTGATGAACATTACAAGTCAATTGAGATGTGAATTTTAATTGTATGATTCTCTTAAAAGTGCACAATTTGTGTACTCAAAGCATTGGCAACTACACAGAAGTCCTAAAAGGCAAGGTATAAAAAATGTCTTCCCAAAAAACAGAATGAAGTAGCGGGTAACAGTGTGTTGCTGTATTTCTGGATTGCTCCCCAGGGAAAATCAGGTCTAAACTACAGAGAGAGACACTATTTTGTTTTCAAAGAATGAATTGCAGACATTATATGAGATGATGTGGTAAAAAGTGAATGGTAAGATAGATTATAGATAGATCACAGATACAGCCTTACCATCTTTGCCTTTGGCTTGCCGCGTGGTGTAGCTCCTCCAGACTGAGCTAGAGTTGAAGTAGTTGTCTTTCACAAACGTGCCGTCTGAACTGTCGCTGTCGTCGTCGCTCTTTGAATCCTTATCGTTTCCGTCGCTGCTGGATTCCGACGAACTCGAAGCTTTGCCTTGAGAAAAAGAGTCGGACTCATTCACTGGAATATCTTTAGGGCCATAACGAAGAATCAAACCATCCACCTTCAATCCTCCTCTAGTGTGTAATGGAAAATTACTATCAATTATATCAATAACATAAGAAATGGTAAAAAGTACTCAACTTAAACTTAACAGAGTCTTTCATAACAAGTGTCGACCACAAAACCAAGGAAGTAACAAAGCAGTACACACAAACAGAAGATTTGCTTTTTCAGCAGGACAATCAACGCCAATAGTGTAATCAGCATTCCACATAAGCAATTACTACATTACGTACTGCTCAAAGGTTGGAGTTCTAAGTATCAACAGAGCGTCTCAATTTCAACAAGGCTTTTCAGTAGGAGGAAGACAGGAAAGAAAGAAGTGCTCAAAATGTGCAATCTAAATTCAGGTAAACAAGTTCAGAATCAGAATCATTTTTATTGCCACGTAAGTAACAGGAGGTCACAGACTAGGAAATTGCTTTGGCTCAGTGCAACAGTCAAAAAGAGATAATAAAAATAACACTTCTAAGGAATAAATTTAAATTTAAAATAGAGTTACAGTTACTATTTACAATATACAAGTGCACATGGTGCACACAATGTAAGGTGACAGCAGTACAGTGAAGTAAAGTGACGTATGATGGGCAGTAAAGTGACTTCATAAAGGGCGGGGGGACAGGTTAAGAAGTGTTCAAGAGTCCAACAGCAGAGGGGAAGAAACTGTTCTTGTGGCGGGAGGTTCTAGTCCTGATGGACCGCAGTCTCCTGCCTGAGGGGAGTGGTTGGAATAGTCCATGTGCAGGGTGAGAGGGGTCGGCTGTGATACGACCAGCCCGGCCTCGAGCTTGGGCGACGTACAGGTCCTGCAGCGATGGAAGGCTGCGGCCGATCACTTCCTCTGCAGAGCGCACAATGCGCTGTAGTCTCTGTTTGTCCCTGACTGTGGCTCCAGCGAACCACACGGTGACGGAGGAGGTGAGGATGGACTCGATGATGGCCGTGTAGAACTGCACCAACATCTGTGCAGGCAGCTTGGCTTTCCTGAGCTGCCGCAGGAAATACATCCTCTGCTGGGCCTTCTTGATGAGGGAGCTGATGGTCGGCTCCCACTTGAGGTCCTGGGTGATGGTGGTGCCCAGGAAACGGAAGGACTCCACAGAGGTGATGGGGGAGTCCATCACGGAGGGTGGGGGCGGGGGGACAGTGCTCTTCCTGAAGTCCACAATCATCTCCACTGTCTTCTGGGCGTTCAGCTCCAGGTTGTTACCACTGCACCAGGACACCAGCCGGTCCACCTCCCTCCTGTAGGCGGACTCATCGTTGTTGGAGATGAGTCCAATGAGGGTGGTGTCGTCCGCGAACTTGATCAGCTTCACGGAGTCGTGGCTGGAGGTGCAGTGGTTGGTGTACAGGGAGAAGAGCAGGGGAGAAAGAACACAGCCCTGTGGGGCTCCTGTATTTATAATCCGAGAGTCCGAGACATTCTTCCCCAGACGCACTCGCTGCTTCCTGTCCGTCAGGAAGTCAGTGATCCACCTGCAGGTGGAATCGGGCACGTTGAGCTGGGAGAGCTTGTCCTGGAGCAGGGATGGCAGGATTGTGTTGAAGGCAGAGCTGAAGTCCACGAACAGGACCCTGGCGTAGGTCCCCGGGGAGTCCAGGTGCTGTAGGATGTGGTGGAGGGCCAGGTTAATGGCGTCGTCTACAGATCTGTTGGCTCTGTAGGCGAACTGCAGGGGGTCCAGGAGGGGGGAGGTGAGGGACTTGAGATGGGAGAGAACCAGGCGTTCAAATGACTTCATGACGACAGACGTAAGTGCTACAGGTCTGTAGTCATTGAGTCCTGTGATCCTGGGCTTCTTCGGGACGGGGACAATGATGGAGGATTTGAAGCAGGCCGGGACATGGCAGGACTGCAGAGAGGTGTTGAAAATGTCCGTGAACACAGGAGTAAGCTCACTGGCGCAGTGTCTCAGAGTGGCCGGAGACACGTGGTCCGGGCCAGGAGCTTTGCGGGGGTGCAGCCTCAAGAAGAGTTGTTTAATCTCTTTAGCGGCTATTGTTAGGCTGGGGGCAGGGCTGATGGGTGGGTCGTTAGAGTAGTGGGGGGTGGGGGAGGGAGAGGTGTCAGGAGCAGCATCAAAGCGACTGAAAAATAAGTTCAGTTCGTCAGCTAGCTTGTGGTCGTCAGCACAGGGGGGGGCTTTGGGTTTGTCCAGGACATCAGGAAATCACTCAAGATGGACAAGGATGGATGATTTTATTGATGAAGTGACAAAATTGAAACACTTTTGACATCCATTTAACAAGGAAAAGCGTTGGACCAAAACGTGAGCAACATTAAACATCTGCTGTTTAAACGCTGTGAGTACAGGTTTGTGTGGCAATGTGTGCTACCGCTCCATCGTCTGACTTCATCTTATCATCAATATATATGGGCATTTTCATGTAAAATCATTGTGAATCTACTCAAGAGGGTAGGGGAAGGTCTACAGGGAACGCCATTTAGTATACAGGAAGATCTGTGCGAGAATGGTCTGGAAACAATTGTATGGAATTACTTTGAAATAATATGTACTGACTTCAAAGTGTCCTGAATCATATGTAAACAATCCTAAATCCCATACACAGGCTTACACACACAAGCTTAATTCATCATTGAGGCTATTTTAGAGCTAGTTTAGTCCGTATGTAGACTTTCTATGGTTCTACTCTTGGACAACTTAACAGGTGAACATATGACAGGTTACTCTGTTCCTAGTCAACTACATTTTAGTGAGATGTGAGGTATTTAACTAGTAATATAGAAAGAATTTGAGGAATATATTCAATGAAGGGGTACCTTTTTTGGAGGATCGTCGAGCAGTGTTAGAGATAGCTGAGGGCTGGAGCTTCATGCGGGACACATCCACTCCGCTCCCTTCACTGTCGGAGCAGTGCGCCTCACTTTCATAGCCCTCTTTGAAGTTTTCCACACTTTCGATATGATCCAGGTTAGCAAAGTACTCGTCCCCCATCTCCAGACCCTCCTTGTCAGCAAAATCATCAGTCAGTATTTTACCTTTGAAAGCAAAAGACAAACAAGGTTACCTAATGCATGCACTGTTGGTTTGACGATTAACAATGGTAATGTTTAAATTGTCAAGAGAAAGTGGCATGAACTTCTCGCTTTGATCCAACAACTAAAAGCAGTTTCTGATCCACAATGTGTCCTAAACATATTTGGGTGTGGCTTTAATTTTGCAAGATAAACAACAGTTGTGTAAAATAGAATCAGAATTATTTTCATTGCCATTGAAAGTAAAAGGAAGGATTTTTTGGCAGATCAGTAAAGGTGCTCTTTATTAATCCCCATTTATGCATTTTATCCTCTGCATTTGACCCATCCTGATGCCACTAAGGTCTTACACATCAGTGGTCGAACAGCGTCCAGGAACCCATCTCCAGATGTTGACGCTCGGCTTGGTCAGGACTACCAGAGATGGAGGATTACCTATTGTACATGTTTTTAGTGGTAGGGGAAACCGGAGCACCTGGAGGAAACCTACACAGGCAAGGGGGAAAGCATGCAAACTCCACTCAGAAAGGTCCTGTTCCGACCGGGATTCGAACCCAGGACCTTCCTTCTTGCTCAGAAGCGAGAGTGCTATCCACTCAGCCCAAGTTACAATTTGAAATTCTCACCTGCATAAATACAAACAAATGATCCTTTGGCCACATCGTCCAGGCAGCGGATTCCCCAGCCTTTGTTCTGTGTTTTGAAAAGCTGCAGACGCACTTGAAGGCCGTGCTGCACCAGTCGGTTTGTACACATTTGGTGCGAACACTTACACATCTTATTACACTCATAAATCCTGAAGAAGAAACAAAACAGTATGATTTGAAAGAGTGTTTTTCTTGAGTTTAAACTTGTCTACACTGAAAACTTGGTCCAGGTGATAACTGACAATTAATATAATAAGTTATGTCTATGTAGGCATGTAGGATTTATGCTGTTCCTACATTGACAAAGGATAATGCAATTAAGTTGCACGGGAAACATCACAGTGAGAAGAGAAGTTTAAGATAGAAGTGGGATTCAAATTCAGTTTTAATAGTTTTACATCTAACAGAACTGTCTAATTGATGGCACAAATCCAGAGGCAAGTGTAAAGAGTTTGAAAAACTTTCATTTAGACACAAGGGGACAATCTATGCTGATTTGAGCCAGTTGTTTTTGATAATGGTGAGTCAGTAGCTAAAACATTTGAATGATTAAACCTTGTTAGAACATGGTAAATTATCAGATATGTGTCTAGTTTAATATACAACTTTCACATCTTACCCAGTGGGGAGACATTCCTCCAGTCGTTTGTTCAAATAGCCAGCGCTCTGATTGACCTGTGCCCCCGGAGTACACGCGGTGGCCTGCAGTGTCAGCTGGTGGCACGAGCATTTGGATCTGAAATCAAAATAAGAGGCATTCATTATTATAGTAGAACAAAAATAGAGAAAGTGTAAGAAAAAGTGAAGTATTTACTTGTCTCGACATCCATCAGTGCATTCACAACCAACCAGGAAATCTGAATCTGTGTTGATAAAGACGGCATCTTCAGGAATTCTCTCTTTACCTATAAAAGAGAAGGATCAGCAAAGCACTTTGTGACTTTGTGTAAAGGGCTCTAGACATAGAAGTCGGTTGATGTCACACTATCAATAACTTTAGTGTCCCATTATGTAAATAGATAACAATGTGACAATTAAAAAAGAAACATTACCAGGAATTAATATTTTTAATATATTCAATTATACAACTCAATTCAAAGTAGGTACGAAAGTACAGTAGTATAAGCCACTACTTTTTTCAAAATTTTTGAACCCTGCAGCTTTCATAGTCAGCCAATGTAGTATTTTTATTTTGTTAGAGCTCCTCCTGGAGTGCAAGAAGGAATTTGGACACAGCTCTATCAGCTGTTTCTCTCCAGAGCGGATAAGTTGCACACATTCCTGCTTCCCGGAGTGTTTATGTGAACAGCAGATTCGGGCTGTTTATGGTCTTATTATTCTGACTCCATAAAGTACTGGCAGGGATGTTATTGACAAAATATATTGGAATTATAATCACGCGTCAACAGTGTATTAAAACACCTAGTCATAAAATTAAGTGTCCAATTAAAACAGTCAATTGCCTTCTTTTGGTCAGTCAGCTGTTGGATAATGCAATACAATATGAAACCTGTGGCTTATATTCAAGTGCGGCCTGTATGAGAACTAAATGTACCTAAACTTTAGCTGGTGTGGTTTGTATACCGGCATGAATCTCTATAATAATATCTGGATGGGGTATTACTAGGTTATAGCTGTCCCACCCATGCGCACAGGCGGCGCCCGTGGTACTGCAGACTAAATTCAGGTTTACATTGAGTTCGACAGCTGGTCCTCAGCTGACAAAGAACCTACAGCTTTCATAGAGGTCAGATTTTGAGGGTATTGTAGTGTTTCTTGTCATACTGAATTTTTTTTTCTTGTTAAATCCTTCGGTTTTTGATAAATGCACACTTTAATGCGACAAACTCTGCTCGTTCGTCTCCCGCTCTAGCTCCGCTCTGATCAGCAGCTACTGTTTGGTCAGAACTCGGCCGAGCCCCTCTGTGCAGGTGCATGAGAGCCACACATAGGTATTTGGTGTCGATACCAATAAAGCATCATGGGAGCTCGTCCACTGCGCAGAACCGGGAGCTTATCTTTCAGTCCTTAACAAGGTCCCATGCTCTACTGAGCACAAGCCATTGATTTGAATAGGGTACCATCTTGGATCACTGGGGCTTGTATACATGTTATTCATTATAATAATCATTATTTACATAGCGCGCACAATGAGCACTCACTGTAGGCGACTTTAGGAGGCGGCGTGGAGTCAATCTCATTTACACAGGACAAGGGCACGTCCTCCCGGCCCCGTGTGATGTCTGGGATGTAGTAAAAGGGTTTCTGTGGGTTGAACGGCCTGTCCACCAGAACGTACGGGTCCAGACAGAACATCTCCAGAAATATGAAGTCGCAGTTTGTAAAGAAAAGATACTTCTCGATCTCCGCCATGGTCCTCAGACAAAGGCCACACGGAGCTTTGTAAATCACATGGAACGACATCTGCAAAAACAAGAGGCCGATCATTCACAGATTCAACAATACATACTTTTTTATAATATATATATAGAAAATGGATGGATGCATTGTGGTAGAATCTATGGACTCCCGCAAGTTTTAGTAGCTTTAGTAACTGTTTTTTGTCAAAATAGATTTGTAAGTTATGGAAGCTAACAGTTAAGGTGAGCATGCTAACATGATTGAATGTTTGCATCCTCAGATTTTATTGTTTTATTTACCAAGCTTTGTCCATCCCGAGTCAGCAGTGCGTTAAAACACCTCATCATTAAATCACGTTGTGACCAGATACAACAGTCGTCTTTCAGCTTTGTATTTCTCTAGCTGTTGGTTAAGTGTTACATTACAACATGCAAACCAGCTTATGTTCAAGTGCAGACTATGTGTCGAGAAAATGTACTTTCTTTTCAAATTTAGCTGCTGTGGTTTATACATACATTTTAATCATCTTACTCTATCTTTTAAGTTTTTACATTTTACACATGACAACTACTATAAAATGTTCTGGTAAAGTAAGAAATGACTATTATTTATACATCTAAAAATGACATCTTGCCTTTTTAAATCACTACTGGTATCTTGAGCCTATTCAATGACACCGTTACCAATGCACTCATAATGATGTTAATAATCCAGACAGAAACACAAACGTGCCTTCCGATTGACTTTGCGTCGTCCCGTCATGCGCCTGAAGTCATAGAGCAGCGGGACGAGGAGCGGGTTCTTCCCCCTGTAAAAGTCCACTTTTGTGGGTCTGATGCGGTTGAGGCAGGACGGCTGGCAGACGTGTGCAAAGTAGAAGATGCGATCAGAAGGCGCGCGGTACGAAGGCTGCTGAGGGACGGCTGTGACCACGTGACTTATGGGCGGAGGGCCGGGTACGATGGGCTGGAGGCGCTGGAACGTGGTGGGGGGGCCGAGCAACCTCACGCTGGGGAGCAGGAAGAGAACAAAAAACAGTTTACTAAAGTGGGAGTCAAGGTTGCATAGTATTGATGTGTTGATTCAAGCACATGGGGTATTTGTTATTATGTAAAGGACAGATTTATAGTTTGTATTTGTATACATTTAAGCCCTTAACATAACTTGAGTTTATTTACTCCAGAACTTCATGTTTTAAAACAATAAATTATCTTTTAAATCTACAGATCTCCATCTACTGGCGGGAAAAGGACTGACGTCCTGAGTACACATTTGAATTCTTTAACAGACAAACGGTGGGCCTGGAACGATCCTGAAACTTTATAGAATACAAACTATAAATACAAGTTTTATTTTATTAGAGCTTCCCCTGGTGATGCTTATCCAGAAAAGCGTATTGTGACCAGTTCAAACATTTGTCTGTCGTTGCCGAACAGTCTAATGGATGTTGGTGAAGTGTAACATCCTGAAAACCTGCGTCTTAAATTTAGGCGCAGCCTATATGTGGACCAATCTCTTTCTCTAAAAATGTTGCTGGTGCAGTTTATATATAGGTGCGCTTAATAGTCCAGCCAGTACTGTACTTACTTTCTGCTTTGACTTACCCCGTTATGGTGCTGGGAGTGCTGTTGAGAGACTGCAAAATCCTAGAAGCATGAGTGCCTCCAACCCCGGGGATAAACGGAGAAGTGCTTTTCTTTGCCATTTGATGCTTCGAACTTTAGGAACAAGATGAAAACATTAAGGAAGTATCAGAATTCAGAAATCCCCATTTTACAATTAGCTAGTACACTTTACAACACCAGCTTTCATCTTCTTTGACTCGTATAAATAAACTTACTCCACACGCAGAGGTTGTGCAGGCTGAGGGATGTGTATTTGTGTCGGGATGACCTGCGCCTGGGTCTGGGTCTGGATCTGGGGCTGGGGCTGGTGCAGGGACGGGAGGTTTAACGTGGGCGGGGGAGCTTTGCTTGGAGACGCTGCTCCCTCACTAGTGTACTGAACCACAGGGCCCTTAGTCCTCAGAGCACCTACAGATAGAGTCCAAAAGAAAGTAAGTTAAGCGTATTAATAAAGAAAGGTGAAAAACTACAGCAGTAAAAATTTAAGACAGAATGTGAAAGCTGCAGGAGTGTCAGTATATGAAACTAAGGGGGCAATAGGAGTCTGGTTTGTGGATCTGAAAGCCCACGACTTTGTTCAGTGAAATGACAGTATCATAAATAATGGGGAATAGTTGGTGTAGCATTAGTGGGGTTGTAAACACGAGTTGTGGTTACCCATATTAGGCCGAGATCGCTGAAGGCCGGCCAGCTTCTTCTCCTGCGTGTTGGCTGAGGTCATTCTCAGATTAAACATGGGCTCTAATCTAGTGGAACCTCTGTAGATCCACTCACTCCTCTTATCATCCTGTCAAATAAGGGAATTAATAATTAATCGTTTATTTTTTTTGTTGGCTCACAGCTGCGAAAACCTAAAACAAAACCTCTCTTGAAAATAGACAGTGAGACGTAAGTATCAAAATAATAACAAACAAAAGTTTGTCATATGTCACTTTGCAGGTAATGAGTCTATATCATATATTGGTTTCATATTTAAAGTTGAAATACAGAAATAAATAAACTTTTGAACAATATTCTAATTTTTCGAGTTTCATCTGTAAATTGAATTGAGAGAGAGACTTTTAGTATTGATTCAAATTGAGGTATTGATTTTTTGTCCACAATATGAGAACTGTGACAGACATTTGTTAATGATACTCATTGCAGTTCTAACAATATACACCTCAATATATATTGTTTAAGAGATGCAAGTAAAATAGTATACAATAAAATCAGATTAAATAAAAAGGTTTGACCGTTACTTACCAGGAACAATATTTTAACTAAGCTTCCATCCACCTCCTCCACTCTGCTCTTCCACCAGGTGCCCTCCCACTCGGTCTTGATGATCTGGCCCACCTTGAGCAGCACCATGGGCCTGCTGGGGTACGCTGTGATGTACTCTTCAATGAAGTCACGACATGAGCCGTCCTCAATGTCCTCCCACGTACGGTTCACTACAACCACAACAAAACATTCTCTTATCTCCTTCATTTGTATTTCATTTGGAAACGAATGCATATTATGACCATGCAAGTACTTTTCATCTCAAATATATTTTAAAAACAGTCCCTCCACCCTTGGAATAAGTGTCACCAGTAATGTTTGCTGGACGATAATAGTCAAATCATTGTGTCCAATCAGGAAGCTGTGGGGGCGGGTCTAACGAATATGCGCTTTCATATAAAAACACCTCTCACCATCTTCAACGTTTTAAAAATAATTGAACTTCACTTTGAGGACAGGACATATTTAGTAGGAATAAATTACAAATTCAAGAATTAATGAAAAATTTTGCAGATTACTGCAGCATAGTAACTTCTCATATGCACAACTACGAATTTAATAATCCATCATCATAATGTCTGTAGACGGTACTTACTTCTTTGATAATAGAATAACTAAAATATATCATGTGTGACTGAAATGTACAAATCAAAATTACCATTTTGCCTATTTATTGATAGGCAAAATCAGTGTTAGATATGAAATTATTTGTGAACAAACGAGCAGCCACCATGACGTCTATGGTGGAGTGAATGAATAATATAAAGAGCAAAAACACTATATAAATCAGACACATTATTATTATTATTAATTTGACAAAATCATTGTGACTTACATGGGCGACATACTGGAAACAGATCTTGCAATTTCACATACGAGGCATAACCGTCGTCAAAGAATACCAGGTACCTAAACAAAAATATGTTAATCAGATGTATTCTGCCTCGTCTACAGTTCTATAAAGCACATACATACTGGCCCTGACTTTCGGATATTGTTTCTACATTCTGTAGTAGTAGTAGTAGTAGTTTATTTGTTCAGTCACTTTTTCACAACTCAGACAATACAGATCATTTGAAAAAAATAAAGTAAAAAGTAAAGTTGACTGAAAGGGTTTTAGGGATAATTTATAAAGGTGGTTTTTCTTTTTACATGCGTTTATGATGCCTTTGGAAATCCACGTTTTTTCTTTCTTGCCTGATTCTTTGCTGATACACTTTTTTGGAGTCTGGTTGCAGCAACGGCATAGATTGGTAGCCTCAAAAACCGCATCAGATCGCCCCAGAGCAGCTGTAGCTACAATACTAACAAGCAGCATGTGTGTAACCATTAATAATTCAATATAAATACTATTATATACCAATGCATTCATATTTTCTTTTGTACATATTGTTCATGTTGTGTGTATTTTATCTCTAATATGTTTGTGTAGGTCTTTTTGGTTTGACAAGATGCAAACCAAAACAGAAAAAAAGTACATACCTCATAGAATTTTTTGTGCTTGGCATTTCAGCAACAATGCCCGCATAAAGCCACTCCGAGTTCCCATCCTTATACTTGGCAACAACACGAGCTCCAACATACAAGTTTTCCAGAATGGGGTTGAAGGTGAATGCGATGTGATTCCCAGAGAGAAGACTTTTGCCTTTATCAAACTTGACTTTAAACTTTTCCACACCATCCCCTAAGAAAACAAAGAAGAACAATACTTTTCAACATAGACATGTTTAGTGAATATATTATTGGCCATTTTATTAACTAAGGTAAAGTAATAAGGCAAATTATTAGGCTGCCAACTTTGACTTGTTTCACAAATGCATATTGTTACAAACAAAATGCATTTAGTGCAGAAGTAACTTTTGTGAACAAATCAGACCGTCTAGAACTTAATAGAAAACATTTCAGTGAGGGCTGGTACTCTCACTCTCACTATGCTCCTTCATCCCTGAGAGAACAGCTTCACACACCTGCAGACGGCTGGACTGCCACCAGCGTGCCATTGTGCCAGATCTTGGTGCGTTTCTTCCCCAGGACGACCATCCCAATCTTCAGCTCGTACTCTTTGATGTTGGAGTAGTTTGGCTGCGTTACTGACTGTGATGGTATCTGCGACACGATCACTGGAGGAGCGTTCGGGTGAACCTGACCTGGGGAAAAACAGTTGCCATACAAAGAATAATCCATATTTCATAAAAAAACAAAAAACGAATTGTATACATAATGAGTAGGGATGCAATAATACATTGGATCCTGTGAGAGCTGATCATCAAAAGTAGGTTGATATTGTTTTTCTATTGAAGATTATCAACAAAAATTGTTCCCTTAAACAGTTATTGGCTCTGTTCACCTGCTTTTGCAAAGGGATCAATACAATACATCTGCAGGCATAGAGCTGCACTCTTAGGACCACACTGAGATGACCCTTTATACTGGAGAAAAATATTGTGCTACTATATAAAGTTTTATGAGATATATGTAAGCATGTATTACTAATGTAAATAGATAGTTTTTTTTACCTGCTGGCCGGCCGGGTGGTGGACCCAATGTTGACTTGTTGATAAACTGAACTAAATCTTGAACTTGTTGATTAGCTTTCTGCAGAGCTGCTCCTGAGGAATCTTTCTTCTGATAATAATGAAATAACACATGCAATTACAACACTCATATTATTTTGTCAGTTTTTAGGTAATGTAAATAATAGGGCAATATTACATAGGGAAAATTAGTGAAAACTCAAACTAAAGTGTATTCTTACCGGAGAAGTAAATGGGGACTTGGGGGGAACCACTAAAACAAAGATGTGAAACAAAATATCAACAATAGGACACAAAGATAAACAGTTTCTGAAAAAAATGAATTGCTCACAGCATCCCACAGCAATGACGTCATCATCATCGTCATCGTCAATCTCGATGATCTCTGAGGATAGAGGCTCTCCTAACAAACCCTCATCCTCAGAGCTGCTCTCCACATAAACCAGGCCATTCTTTTCATATGTCTCCTTCACAAGCTTCTGACATGTGCGCAAAGATCTAAAAACATAATAAGCTATCAACGTTGGTGCATATAGTTGAGCCAAAAAATATCTTATACATTTGAAAAAGCCCGAAGTCATACTGAACAAATGAAATTATTTCTCCCCTATTCTTCTTGTTTTGAGTACTGCTATTCCTTCTGTTCTGTAGTGTACGCTGTAAAGTCTTAATGAAAGACTACACTATTATTTATCACAACATTATATCACATACAAATCCCTCAAAATGTGTTGAACAGGCTTAACCATGCATCATACACTAAATGATTGAAAGTACTCACTGATTGGCCTCTTTTAGGAGGGATTCAGCCACCGCATTTTCATTTTCTTTCTTCTCCACCCACTCTTCAAGCTCACGCAGCTCGGCCTTTTTCTTCTGCACAAGCTCACTCTTCTCCACAGCCTCATCCACCCACAGCTTTAGCTCGGCCAGAGAAATTCCCAGCTCCTCCTCCAGACTGGAGTCCCAGCCCTCTACCTCCATGCTCACCTCCAAACTGGCAAGTGACAGAGAAACAGAGAAGATTTAGTCCAAACGAGTAATGAATGAATGAATGAAGTCAATGTACAAGTCATGTCATGTATGAAACATTTAAGAGAATATATATCCACAGTTTGTTATTGTACAAACACATTAACATCTGCGTTAATACTGATCGTTCATTATAGTCCTATCTGTATGCGTATGTAATTTCCTTACCCTTAGCTTTACTGTGCAAAGACAGTGTAGTTTGTTGCTGACTGAATGTTTATTATTGAGGGGGACTATGTTTCTCCTGTTATGCGAAAAAAGGGAGAGTTGTTGAATGATACCACGAGGCAGGTTTGTTTACAATCATTACTTCTTTTCTTTTTTTTTTTTTTTTTACAATTCACCAAGGCTATCTGACATTTTAGTTCCTCTACTACAGATACATTAACAGATACAGCAGTCGTATTAATTCCATTACTTGTTTTTCATTCATTGAGAAAGTTTTAATGTGTTTGCTGGAAATCTATGTAAAGCAAAAATTGCGCAAAAGAAACGCTGGCAGTATGTAATATTTCAACAACACCAAAAAGATTATGTGAGTATGATACAATAATTTAACAAACAGGTTGATGATGGGACTAACGTGTTAGCATTGTTTTAGCATCATGCCTGCTTTGCAGTGTCTAACGAGCGCACACACATTCAGGATAAAACAGATTAAAGACTGATTCATTCGTCACAAGCGGCTATTTAAATGTGCAAAACCAGTCTAACTTTTAAGGGCAGAAACAGCATTTATATGTCACCTCTCACTGCCATCCATCCTACAGCCTCCTCATAGGAAAACAACGCTAGCTGCTAATGCTAGCAGCACATAGGGACGCTGGGTTTGCTACTTGGGGTAGCTGGGTTGGGCGGTGTTCTTGCGACACTCAAAAAAAACATAAGCACCGCCCGGCACGGGGTAATACAACCATTGTACTGTTATGAGTACCGGTAGTGAGAGCACATGAGTATCGGGGCCACAGCATGGATCTGTTATAATAACGGCAACAGTGGCTCAGTTGGTTGAGCATTGGGTTTGGACCATAGATAGACTGTAAAAATTTGGACCTAATGGTTGTGGGTTCGATCCCACCTTGACCCATGTCATCTGCTCCCACTGAAGTCTGCTGTTGTTGTGTCCCTGGGCAAGACACTTTGCCCGGAGCCCCTGCTGAAACACCAAGACTATAACTGCATTGAAAGAGCTCTGATTGCCAACCCTTGATCCAGAAATGGATAGAAAAGAGAGTAAAAAAATCTATATATATATATATTTTTCAAATCTATGAGTTGCATAAATTCACAATTAGGTTGATTCAGACCTTGATACCGTCCTGATGTAAAACAACTTTAATGGAAATCAATAGAAAAAAATAGAAAATATCTATGTAATTGAGGTGTCCCACGTGAGGTGTATGTACTCCAAATAGTTTATTATGTTCTCAGTATACTGTATTTTCCCCATAGGGAATTCTGTCCACTCTGTTCGAGCCATCCTTCAATGCTGGCTCGGGACCATGGATCTATTATGATAACTCTATGAGCCTACATCTCCAGATGATGATGCACAGCTTGGGTAGGACTTTGCTGGAGGATTTTATATATGATGGATATTTTGGGTGGTGGTGGAAACCAGTGTGCCCGGAAGAAACTTGTGCATACGAAAAATGTTTTCTTTATAAAAGAAATTAGGCTAGTACAGTATCTCGCAGACCTTATAATGCATAATTTTTATTGGACCATATTTTTTGGAGCATCAAAGACGCATCTCAACCTTCTTGCTGAAAGGCTGAGCCATCGTTAACTGACATTTTCTTCAAAGTATCTAATGTTATTAAACGTGTAGAAATAGAGATTTTTGTCCAGGTTAAAAAATGCAGATTTAGGGCGACTAGAAACCATATACAATATGTGGAAATATACAATTCTAATGATCTAAAGACCTACATAGCAGATGCATATTTATAGTCTATCAAATCCTTCATTCTTCACTTCTCATACTAGTTTAGTTTATTGTGTTGGGACATTACATGTCAATGAACACATCACTCCAGACTGCACACTCATTCTCTCACATATTTTTTATGATGGGGGAAACCTATGTAGACACAGGGAGAACATGTAAACTCCACTCAGAAAAGCCCTGTTCCGACTGTGGGACCCTTACATTGGGAATTTTGTGCACTGCTTTTTTTAACCCATGGCCAGGTCCACCTTCTCAGGAGGTCTTTTATCCGAGGTATCTGAGATCAACAACAGCCAAACAATCTAATCTTTTGGCTCAATTATTATTGTTTTTTTACCACATGAACTTGTTGCAGCGCAAGTGTTAAAAGTTGACAAAGTTCCTGAGGGGCAAGTGCAACAACAGAGCACACACAGAAATGAGAATGCAGACTACTAAAACAACGAGAATATAAAAAGATGTACCATCTCTAACCAGTCCAGCTCTGACCATCATTCCTCAGTTGTCTCCTCTTGGTAGGTGTTCACAGAGATGGCACTGTACGGATCCAGGACCATTTGGGCACAGCGCACAATAGTCACTATCAAGAAGAAGCAAAGGAGAGAGAAAAAGAACAAGACAAATCCAAGGTCCACGTCTATTTCAAAGCGGCTTGTTGGAGCGGTCGGTGGGTCCATGATCCAGAATAGGGGTGGAATGTTTCCTGCCAGTTTTGGCAGTATAATATTATGCCATTATATCAGCGGCGTTTGAGCACATGTTTTAAGGATTAGGTTGGTCGCGGTTTCTTTGAGTTGAGGTACTTGCTGTTGACACCTAGGACACTCCTTCAGTCATTGTGCCGAACATAAGCTGGGTGGGAGGACACGACGAGCCTCATTTGGCACCTGTGTCACAGTTTAAACTTTAATGAGGAATTTGGTGACGGTCATCCAGGCAACTCCTGAGATTAGAAAACCCTGGTCGGTCGGCATCTCTCTGATAAGGTGACAATCTCTGAAGGTATTGTAAAAGTGACAAAAGTTGGTCGTTGGATATTAAGTGACAGACTTGCCCAAACCCATTCAGTACCTTTACAACTATACTACCACTACTACTACTAGTATTATGGAACCTGACCCATATTTTGTACTACTACTGAGTATTAGAGTCGATATTAAAAAAACTATGCATTTTGGGCGCATTGTCTTTCTTTGTGGTTTTAATAAGGTGTGAAATACAAATTACCTTTCAAATATATTCACACACAAAATAAAGTAAATTGATAGCTTTATTCATTACTTGAAAGCTAAATTTTTGGTCATTTATTGTAATATTCTTTTGGTTATTTTTTTCAACATGGCTCTTGCTACAGTATATTGAAATAGTCCTACACATTTCAGAATCCCAATGTAAAGTGGGTCATTAGGTCATCAGAAATGAGTGTGTGGTTGAATGTGAAGAAATTGCGATGATTTATTCCATTGCCTAAGCAGTTGTAATTGTAAGAAATGGTAAACTGGGTGATAAGACAGAAGGGAAGCTTGGGGAGAAGAAAGAGGATATGACGCCTTTAAGTGGCAATCCACTTGAGAGGGGGAGGAAACTGATCCAGGGCAAAAACATGCAGATTGCTTGTATTCTGATGCCACCAGAAGGACCTAACAGGATAAAAGTAAAGTGACTCCTGCAATTAGCAACAAACCTTATTAAACACACAGGAAGAAGAAATGGTGTAAGGTGTCTCTGGATATTGCAGTGAGACAAAAGCTTTGCAGACTGGGATTCTCATCATGCTGAGCTAAAGTAGTTTTGCTTAATTCAAAGAAATTTGAATTAGAAGGCCACTGTTTACTGGCAAATAACATTTGTGAAGGATTATGTTTGGAGAAAACACTAAGTATATTTTTTATATGTTATATGTCCTCAAATTTAACCCAATATATTTTTGTATAGGCCTAAATCACAACAGCATGTGTCTCAAAGGACTCTACAAAGTTGTCAATTTGTCAAGAACGGATCAGAGAATCAAACTTGAATCATCTCATCACACTAATAGTTTTTCCACAAGCGGTTTATCAAATTGAACAAATCCCTTTAATGGTTGGCCTTGCACTTAGTGAGATCAACTATTGTTTGTATGCAGTGTTTGTAATGTATATACAAACATATCATACATTATATATTGCATATTTGTATGTGTCTGGTGCACACTTACTACTGTTGTGTATGTATTCCATTGTGGTGTTATACTGCAAATGGCAAATACATTCTACGAAACTTAAAGTCACATTCTCATAAATTAAGGGTGTGTTCCACACAGTCCAACTGAAGCGGACTCTGGTTCACTTATGCTTAATCAATGGAGATGTCAATTCACTTTTGTGATGGGGACTGTTGCATTTGCTTCTACAGTGATGAAGATTTGAAGAACACACACTTTCAATCTAATTTAAAGCTTCAATTGACAAGCCAAACACACATCGAGGGATTTCTCTTGGCTTGTCAGGCTATTTAATAAAATGGATTATCCTACAATAATGAACACAATAAATATGCATATACATGGTTAACCATGTAATGATTTAATACAAAAACAAACTCTTATACATTTACAGTCGGCTATATAGTACGTGTGATAGAGGATGACAAAGAAAATAAAGATATAGAGAAATAACAACGCAATTTTATACCGATCTCCAAAACAGACTGGAAAAAGTTTAAAACATATTTGCATGATTTGTCTTCACAGGTGTGCAAATGTCTTGGACAATTATACACTGAAAAATTACACTCCAACAATTGTCTATGAAACAAACTTTTAAGATTAGAAAACGCAGTCAATTATGGCAAAAAAGTTGTAAAAAAAAAAAAAAAAAAAAAGCCCACTTTTTTTAAACAATTGTACTTCTATTTTAAATTCTATTTGAATCCTGAAAACCCTGATTAAACCATTCCTTAAATACCAATTGGAAAAGGGCAACATAAATCAATATTCACTATGACACACACAACCCAGATATTAAAATAATAAAACACAAATAATGGCTATAAAAGTAGTTCCTGCTTGTTAATTATTGCTTTTTCCTCACACAAGTGGTACAGGTATACATATAAAACCAGGCAAGTGTCTCCCTCTCAACATCAAATGCATATCCTTGAACACTCATTACTCAAATAGTTTAAAAGTGCACTCTGTAATGCACCCACTTTAATGCCAAACCTTCCAGACAAAGCATCACTATCTCCTCTAATAAAAAGCAGATGCTCCTTTACGGTAAATGAAAAAAACATTGTAAAGCAAGACTGTGGTTATTACAATCAAAACCTGTGTTAGTGCTTGAACTGACGTTTTTCTTTCTCAGTACAAATAGACCCTTTTATAAATCAGATAGAAAAAGCTAGATTCCGATTTCCAAAGTCACAATAATAACAGTACAAAAGTAGTATTTTCTCTAGTTTAGCAGTATTTATGTGGTCTTTTATATGATTCAGATAAAGACAATTCTTTCTTCTAGATTCTACTAGATCACATTTTAATATAAAAAAAATGCCAAAGAGTAACATGTTTTAACAGTCAGACAAACTGTAATGGCTGGTAATGAAGAAAAACATAATTTTTTGTCGTCACATAGATACACAGTAGATCTAATAGACAGGTTGTGGGTGGGTTTCTTTATCATAATATCTGAAATTAAATCTCAAAAACGCAACACCAGTTGGAAGAACTGTTTTAAAGCATTGTATATGATATATGTATATAAAATAAAGTAGGTCCAATAAAAACAAATATATATATAAAAAGTCACCAAAACCATATTGACAAAACCATTTCCAGCACAGGTCAGTGAAGCTAAAGTGAAAACAGTTGTGGCTTGTGCTAAAGTTTTCTGAGAGCAAAAGTTAAAACTCACACACTATAATAGAGGGATATGTTATTAATTGCAAAGAAAATTCTCATTTCAACAACTGCTCTAAACAAGAATAAATGAGTAGATTTCCCTGGCCTGATCCTGCTTTTTTTACTTAGAAAGTCTGAGAGCACATGGATGAAACCAGCGCAAGTTACAGGTCAGATCTGTGGAGAACTGAGCCTGCCTACAGAAAATTATTACTATATACAGTAGTGTTAATCAATTAACCTCATTATGTATTTTGTGTATTTTAAATCTCAATATAAAGTTAAGCTGATAGCACTTCCATGTTCAGTTGTGCCTCTTTAAGTGGTGTCAGCAGAAACGTGTCATGCTGATCAGCTTTTTTCCCTGACAAATTACCCCCGGGTACAGAATCAGACAAGAACATCGGCTAACAGTGGACCAACCTTGGCGGGTGACTTTAACCTTGTCAAAAGGCAGTGAAAAGTTTATTTTTTCATGTCAGGTTTTCTTTGACCCAATAGCAAACAAGTGGAAGACATTCTATAGGGCACCTTTCTGATTGTAGAAGTCTGAAACTGACATTGCACAGCTCAAACTGAACTAACAATATCTTTTGACTAAAGGACAGCATGGATAGGAAGCCTGAGGAAAAACCTAAACAACTGGAACAGAGACAAGGCCTTTTGTGTTTCTTGGACGTAGCTGAAAAGTGTTCAAGTGTATCTGTGATTGTGCGTAAGATTGTACAATAAATTAAGTAAAAACAGCTGTGGGAGACTCTGGCAGTGCTGGTCGTATCAATCCTGTGGTTAAAAAAAGTCAGTAGCGATTGCTGGGTTGTTGTCACATTGTGACTGTAGCTGGCAGTGCAGTTCGAGCCACGCAGGAGCAGAGGACGACAAGTTCAGAGAGATTGTTGGAAGCATTAAATTAGACGTGGAACAGTGAGGCTCTAACTGATGTTAGTTCCGTCACTCGTTGAATGACGAGTACATTTGAATGTCAAAGTCTTCATTGTTGAAGTTGGCCGGCTGGTCCAGCATCGACAGCACATCCTGTTAGAAAAGAAAAGGTAGCAGTTCATAAACACAGAATTCAACCATTGATACAATTGTTTACTTCATTTTGGCCCAAAACATGATCTGAAGAATATCTAATCAGTGTATAGAAATGATAAATAGGCCTGTCACGATAACACATTTTGCTGGACAATAAATTGTCTCAGAAATTATTGCGATAAACGATAATATTGTTGTTCTGAGATCATTTTCATCTAATACATTGAAAAGGTCTCTGTTCACAAAAAATGAACAAGAATAATGGTGCATTCAGACCGCAAACGCTCAAACGCTGAAGCCCCACTCACCAGACGCGCATTCTCTATTTTTCAGACGCAGGGGTCTTCACACCAGAACGTCCTGGCAAGCGCCGGAAGTGCTGGAAGTAGCCGGCAGGCTATGATGCTAACAGAGTTTAACTAGCGGCTTCTTGTGTACAGATCTTCTCCAACATGCAGCTTTGCAGCGTGTCTTTGTGTTCACGGAGGTGCGCCATACGTTTTTTGTATTATTAAACTGTATTTCCGCATCGGTGAACACACTCGAAGCAGTTGCATAAAGTCACGGGAGCATGACAACGCATATATTCACAAGCACAGAGTCCCCCATTGTCAACCCTGGTTTGAGTTCTGGTGAAGCCTGGTGTGGGTCCCGTTTTGGCTGTTTACGAGCATTTTCAGTCTGCTCGCTCAGTCCGCTAATGTCCCCGTGACCACTTTGCGGCTCTCTGATTGGTCGCTGCACGAACGTCCCAAGGAAAGGATGAGCAGAATTCATCTCCTGTGGGCGTCCATTTTCCGCTCCTGCTCCTCCCCTTTGACTTTCCCACCGTGCGTCTCTACTGAGCGGTTCGTGCGTGTGTACCGAGAGGTCCGTGCGTTTTGACGCTCGAACGCATGTCACCATTGACTTTGCATTGAAAGCAGACGCAACGCATGATCTGGTCTGAACGCAGCATAAAACTGCTAGGACCTTTGTAAACAAAGTTATGAAACAGATGCCTCCATAGGCCAAATGCAAAAATCATTTTAGAAATAATTTACGCCATAAGTCCCGCCTCTCCACACACCATGCGAGTGACAAGAGGGTTCACTCATCGTTACTCTAACTGGGGCGTTCAGATCGCCGACGCTGGAACGCAGCTTCCACGCGCACTAGACACACATTCTTTAAATTTCAGACGCTAGGGGTGTCTAACACAGACATATCCAAGGCCCAGGGGCCAATTGCAGCCACAATCTCATTGTCTGTGACCCTCTGCTTTGCCAACACAAGATTAAAATCATAAACATACATTCCGTGTGATCCAGCCAACTTAATCTCCACCAATACAGACATATGATGCGATAGCTCATTGTGAAGCTCAGAAGCACATTCTGTCATTAGCTTTGATTCCATCCAGCCATCCATTTTCTTCCGCTTCATCCGTTGCCGGGTTGACTTTGTTTGACTACAGCAAAATGTAATGTCAAAACAATTTTACAATAAAAATAATGAAACTGGAGAGAAAGTCATAAAGCTAATGTTGGGGAAATACTTTTGTTTTAAAAGGCAGACATAAGCTCAGTCCATGATGTCAAACAGAGGTGGGGGAGATTTCTGATTCTTAGATTAATCGCGATTCGGCCAAATAAAGCAGAACTGAAATACAGTAAGTGCAGCCTTCAAAACACTATAGACAAAGGACCAAGAGCGCGCATTCACAGCACAAGCCTCCAGAAAAACAAAACAACAACAAGCATGGCTGAGCTAGGGCTGGGCAATAAATCGATTTCAATTATTAACTCAAATTTGACGTCTAGGGAGTTTACTTTTTTATGAAAATCGATCTTTTCTTTAATTTCCACAAACTACGTCCAGTCCCACCGCCGCTTTCATTTCATTTCACAGAATGATTCGGACGATGCACACTATTTTCAGGCCGTGCCTGCGTACGTGAGAGTCCCTAAATAGCATTTTAGTGGATAGTGGAGAGAGAGTGGGCAGTCCTTTTAAAAGCTCCCTATTGCTAACAGTCTCCCTTCTGTCCTGACGCTGTCACAGTTGGTGCTATTGCAATAACACTTCAGACGTTCAAGAATCAGACTTTATTTAATCGCCAGAACACACCAACACACACTTGTATCCTGTCTGTCTCTGGTTGCTCTGCTCGTACGCCACACTTTTCATTCTTTCATTCTCATTCATTCATTTCTCAGGACGCTCTTGTTCGTTACAGGGCGACAGTAGCTCAGTTGGTAGAGCACTGGCCTTCAGGCCTGAAGGTCGTGGGTTCAATTCCCACCTCTGCACCTTCTCCACCGACTCCCACTGATGACTGCTGTCGTTGTGTCCTTGGGCAAGACACTTAACCCCACTTTGCCCAAAGCCCCCACTGAAAGATCAAGGCTATGCTCACACTCAGAGAGCAGCCGTCCTCCTGTGGACTCACCACCTGCAGAGGGTCAGTGAGGGGCTGGTGCTATGAGACTTGGGTGGCATCTCTGACTGCCACCCCCCTGACCCAGAAATGGATTAAAGGGCAGAAGATGGATGGATGGATGGATCTTGTTCGTTACTCCAAAGCGCGCTCCTGTGTCCGCGGCGCGCCCGCGCACACACACACGTGTCCCACTGAAAGAAATGTGTCACACTTGTACTCATTGCTCTGGTACAAACAACGCGATCCGGGCTCGAGCTGATAGCTGCAGTAGCAGAATGTAAACAGGAAGAGAAACTCAAACAACGAGATAGTCGCTGAAGTTAGAATTAGCGCCACCCGCTGGACCGAACGTTGTACTACAGCAAAGTTGCTCTGGCATGGTTGAAAGAACAAGCATGAAAACCCAAGGAGGAGGCTTTTGTAACAGACTTTCTTTGTTAAAACAATGTATTTAGAGTAGGCCTGTCAAAAACTAATGCGTTAACGCACGTTAATTACATATTTCATTATTTGCGTAAAAAAATAAATAACACGTATAACGCATGTCCGAATGACCCGCCCATGTAACCCATAATATCACTCAGAATGCCACGGACACATGTGTGTGCGAGATGGAGACTGAGCAGGTCCCTGGCAAGACAAGTTTTAAAAGAATATGCGCGTGACCGCGAGGGACTTGCGGTTGTTTGCTGTATGAACTGAAGTCCGCATTCTCCGTGGCCACAACGTTCTGACCCGGGGCAGCTGCAGCTGCTCTGGACAGCGGCCGCAGCTGTGAGCCCCTAACAACAACATGGTGAATGGCGCCGCGTAAAAATGGTCATATCCAAGACCATACACGCACAGAACTAACCTGTGCACGCAAATACACCGCTGAAGCTGAACTATGGAGCCTCAGGAAGTGTCCGTGTCTCCTCCTGTCTTTTCCTGAAACGCAACTGAACTCGCCAAATTAAAGCTGGGGTATGTAAATTTTCTCTTTCATTAACAGCTCATGTTGGTTGTGTCCAAAAGTAAAAGGTTGTGGACAAATCAAACAGATTTAAGTACATTTGTTATGAATGACAATGTGTCATTACATTTGATAATCTCATTTAACTTCAATTGGAGTGGATTTTGAAATTAAATTTTCACTGTTTACAATGGCAGGGCCTGCCATCTCGTTTGTTTTAAGGCATGTTTTAAGGCTTATTTCGTGTTACACTTTAGAATTTAGATTTAGATTAAACTGCAAAAAGAAAATCAATTTCTTCAATTGTAGTTTGTTTTTAAATGGTAAAAAATAATTGATTAAAATCAAAAATCTGAGTTGGTGTGAAAAAATCAGATTTTTTTAGCCATATTGCCCAGCCCTAGGCTGAGCTAACCAACCCACCTCGTCATGAGATCCGACCTGCTCCGGTCGCCTCTTTTTAACTGTTTTTTGAAGGAGTTTAGTGAGTCCGAGTTTCTGAGGTGAAGGGGGAAGAGTTCCAGAGAGTGGGAGCAGAGATGTCGACTGCTCGGTCCCTCAAGGTTTGGTGCTTGGATTTGACGTGGGAGTGAGGAGATTTTAAGATAAGATGAGATAAGATGGACATTGTTGATTGACATTTGATTGAGCTGAAGTTGCCTGAATGACAAATGTTGACTTTCCTACTAGCAATAGTCCCATATCCAGTTTATATACAATCCAAATACAATTTTGAGTCACAAAATTGAACTTTACAAGGTACAACATATCTATATTGGCAGAGCTGAAATTAGTTTATGACAAAGGGAACTAAATGGCTACTTTGAGTTAGTAGTAGTTTGTAATTGCTGATAACTCACAGGAAACATGTCTTGCTGGTTGCCCTGAGCGTGTGGGTGTTGCTCAATATTCCCCTGAGGATGTTGCTGACCCTGCCACTGACTCCACACTGCCTCTGCTGCTCGAGACGGGAACTGCGGGCCGGACTGGGAGCCATCTGAAAGAACGGAGTAGCAATGTCACAATTAACTCGTGACTGACAAATACATTGCAAACAAAAATAAAAAATCAGAGTTTAGAATGATTCACAATATATACTATAGTAGAAAACTTCCACAAATGTTGTCTGTCTAGTTAATTTTCAAATTCTCAAAAGGAGGCAACTATAATACTGTACTATGATCAGTGATAGATCTCTATGAGATGAGCCAAAAACTCTTGGAACGTCTCTTTTTGAACGCAATGGTGTGAAAATACACACCCAATATGACTCTAGCGCACCACATATGGGAGGCTTCAGACCTAAACTTTTCCAATCCTCACCTAAGTCGCACAGTCAAATCTTTACATCATTATAAAAAAATCAAGATTTACAATGAATCTAAAGATCTTGGCATTCTGAAAGAGGAATTGATTAAACAGAAAAACTGGCAGAACCAAACAGCTTGTCAGACTGCGTACCATAACCGTTAGTGTTTATGGAAGCACGTGGGTTCATGGGAGGGTAGGCGACGCTGTTGTTCTGGATGGGAGCGGTTCCAGTGGGAATCTGGTTTAAAGGATTAGAAAACCCTCCGACGACCGGAGCAAACTGCGGCGGCATAGTCTTCGGCGGTTGTGGAGCCACTTTCTGCTGAGTCAAGAAAAAGTCGCACGTGAAAATGATAATATAGAAGAAGTGGGGTAGACGCATTGAATTGTGAGGCATTAGATATATTTAGCACATGCTGGTAAACCGAAGATATGATCTGGAGTCAGGAAGGATATTAGCAAAACAAAATCTCTTTGTGCTTCACAGCAAGAAGTGTCTGGGTTCCATTCCACCTCCAGATGGGGCCTGTGTGGAGTTTGCATGCTGTTGTAAGTTTCCTCCAGGTGCACCGCTTTCCCCTACCACTACAGAGAAAATGGTCCAAACTAGGGCTGGGCGGTATAAACGGTATAAGCGGTATGCGGTATAAATTTGGCCCACGGTAGAGATTTTTGTTATACCGGCATATTGCGATAGGTCATTATGTCATCAAATTGCGCAGGCTCTGACGCCAGCAGAAAGCACCAAAACAAACCGGCATTCAGCAGCATTAGCCTAGCACATTAGCCTAGCAGACACCACTGGAAACAACAGCACGGCTTTCACACCGTGTTTCTGTCTCTGTATTGGTCACAGCGGCCCCAGCGGAGGTAAATACACACACAGCAATCACAGTTTACATGTCTACCTTTCGGCCAATGAGTGTCAAAGGGGCGTAGGCTCGAAGCGCCATCGTGAGCCGAAATAGATCCATGCTTGTGCCGTGTCCGCATCATCTCAGAAGTTTTGTAAAGTTAGCGTCCGATTCAGACTTCCGCGGTCAATAGATCACAAAAGCTACTTTGTTAAACAAAATTAATTGTGCCAAAATGAGCATTTACATCAATTGTTCAAATCAAATGCGCTGTTTTAATGCAGATAAATCCATTGAATCATCCAGTTCACAGCAAGCGCTTAGGGAGCGTCAACAAATGGCAAGACTAGCTTTGTAAACGAACAATAGCTTTTACTGAAGCCATGCATACGCACTAAACTCTGACACTATAAATAATGACCATGTCTAACTGCTACAGATATTATATAATATATTTTATATTTTTATATTATTTAAAATTGCTTTCACAATTAATGGTCTTTACTGTAACATACATAAATAATGTATGTTACAGCATTTGTCTCTCACCTGATTTTCAAACTCAAAAAATATATATCAGATTCTAATGTATAGATAAGTAACAATCTTGACTATTTTATGCAAGAACCTGCTAAACCTATATTGAAATTCACACACCAAATTATACCGTGATGTATACCGTCTACCGTCTGTGACCCAAATCATACCGCGATATGAATTTTAGGCCATATCGCCCACCCCTAGTCCAAACCAAGCAGCTACTCCATCTTTTGACCTGTCCTGCTCTACCTAGAGGCTACTCCACCTCTGCTGCTGTGACCCATCTTGCTCCACCCAAAGACTACTCCATCTATGCTGCTTTGACCCATCCTGCTCCACCCATAGGCTACTCAATTTGTGATGCTGCGACCCGTCCTGATCCACCCAGTGGCTGCTCCATCTCTGCTGCTCTGACCCAACCTGCTCCACCGAGAGGCAACTCCACCTCTGCTACTCTGACCCGTCCTGCTCCACCGAGAGGCTACTCCATCTCTGCTGCTGTGACCTGAAGGGCTGTGGCTGATTATTACTATTGTTAGCTATTTTTTTAGAATGATCAATTTTCTTTTTTCTTTTTGCTACTACTGGACACCTGAATTTCTCCTCCGGGGGATCAATAAAGTATCGATCTATCTATCTACAAATGTGTGCAAAAGGTGAATTCTGAAGGAGTGTGGGTTTGTGAGTGCGACTGTGGGACTACAGATGGAAATTAGCTAAAAAAGGTAGAATCTAGTGTATTTAAGGTTACTGTTCAAAATGTAGACTTTTCGCGTAAAACCCCCCAAATATTTTGATGATGCTCTACAACAAGAGTAAAATAAAGTAGAGAGCTTTTGATGTATAATTAATAGCTTACTTGGTTATTGAACTGTGGTCTGGTGCCAGTACTGGGGGCAGGCCAGCCTCCATTGAGTCCTGCGTGCAGAGGGCTGATGGGAGCAACATTCTGAGGAGCCCCGTTCTGACGAGAAATGTGAGCGAGCATCTGCCCAGCGGAGTGTGGCTGCTGCGGCATCGGTGGGGCCATGCTCACTGGGCTACTGCAAGAGGAACAGATGCACCATTTTAGATCCACATCATATAAAATTTCCAGAGCTACTTTGAGACAGAGAACTATATCGATTATGGAGAGCTACCCCTGCCATCTACAGCCAAGATGGGGTAAAGGAAGGATGCAAATATAAATGCATGTCAAATCCTATTCATGTGGTATTTTTAAATTATATTGTGATTCACACCTGTAGGCTTCAGGACAGACTGCCGGGTAGTGGTTGGGGGGGTAGATTTGACTGGGAGGGACAGAGGAAGAAGGCAGGACTTTGTTTTGCTCAGGGCTTTGGAAGAGCGATGAGAAGAGCTCCGTCTTCTCCAGATTTTTATTGAGTTCCGGTCCTGCTGCCGTCACCGGCTGCACAGGCATCTGGAAAATATTCAGGGTTAAAAAACGTTTCTGTCAGGTCAACTTTGTATGTTCTAATCTATAATGCCCCAAAAGCACTAGACCTATCATGATGACTAATAGATAAACTTTTAGTTTCAATATCTGATGGATAGATACATTATGGGCCAATACATAATGTATCTATTTTTTTTTTTTTGTTGACATTTTCCTTGTAAAACATTTCAGTTTTAGCTTCAGAGGGTGTAATATGACTAAACATACAATAATTTGAAGCAATATATTGTCCATCTAAATGAGTTATTGTGAAAGAGGCTGGGGCTGATTGGGTGAGAACTAGGAATCGTATTAGCTTTGTAGCTAAGAATGTCTGATTTGAATCTGTACTTTATGTCTAAGTATGACCCATGGAGAAAAATTGACCCTTTTAAGTAATGGTTTGCACTTTGTGGGGTCAGCAATGTTTGTTTATGTTCTTATCAAATCCATTTAAGTTACTAATTAGTACAATAATAGAAGTACCAGTTAACCTACCTGTGATAAAGGAGCCTGTCCAGCCTCGTATAACACCTCTCTGTTTCCCCCCCCATCGAGCTCAGTCTGCTGTTGCTGCTGTAATTGCCTAATAAAGAAAACAGAAAAAAAATGATGAAACATTTCTGTCACCTTCACCTTCTGCCACAAGAAAATCCTCAACCCACCACCGGACACCATAGCAACATACAAGAGAAAGGAAACCACAACCGCACCTGGGGGAAAAGATTTATGGAGTGGGCGATTTTTTTTAACATGGATATTGAATACAAGTGACACTGATGGAGCTCGGAGCATTGCCACTGCTACTCCACATCAAGAGAAGCCATCTGAGGTGGCTTGGGCATCTATTCCGGACGCCTCCCAGAGGATAACCAACTTGGTGGAGACCCGAGGAAAATCCCAGGACATGCTGGGGGACTGGCCTTGGAACGTTTCGAGATTCCCCCGAATGAGCTGGAGAGTGTGTAGAAGTCTGGGCTTCTCCCCATAGACTGGATAATGGATATTTGTTTTGAATAAAAGCAAATATAATGTTGTTATAACATGATATAAACTACTCAATTAGATACATCAATCATTCTTGAATTATAATTATGCTTAAAATAATAGACCTTGGTTTTCCTTTTGGATGCAAAAGGACAATCTAATTAAAAGCCCCTTTAGAACTTGGGAGGCCTCGCAACCTGGCCGTTTCCATAGAAACATGCCTTCATTTAAGAGCAAAATCTAAAAGCTTTATTTAAATAGAATCACGCAGGTGACACACGCTTACAAACTTATATCATGTGAATCTATTGGAATCAATCATCGCCCACTCCTAATGACCAATGTTAAAGTAAAAAACTAACAAAGAACTAAAAAATAAACCCTTGAAGGAAAGTTGAACAGCTCCTGATACTGAGGAGCAAGAGTCCCGTCATCCCAAGCAGCGAAAGTGAAGAGTTGGGGCTGATCTCACCTGGACATGACCTGAGGCGGGCTGAGCACCGTGGACAGCCTGTTTGGGGAGGGGAGGGAGCCCCCAGGGGACGAGATGGGAGTGAGGGCTTCCTGGGATGAATTTCTATTTTGTCGCAATATGAAGTGGTGCAGAGGAAAAGACTGATCAGAGTTTAATTTTATTCAAGCGGCGTAATTGTTCAGAGTGAAAGGATTTCAAACAAGTAGTATAGTTATATCAAAACTACCCATTGCTGTGGGTAGTTATGATATACAGAGGGGCAAAAAAGTATTTAGTCAGTCACCAATTGTGCAAGTTCTTCCACTAAAAAGGATGAGGGAGGCCTGTAATTTTCATCATAGGTATACCTCGACTATGAAAGACTATAAAACTATAAAATCTAGAATATCCCATTTTTAAAGAATGTATTTGCAAATTATGGTGGAAAATAAGTATTTGGTCAATGACAAAAGTTCACCTCAATACTTTGTTATACAGTATACCCTTTGTTGGCAATGACGTTTTCTGTACGTCTTCACAAGGTTTTCACACACTGTTGCTGGTATTTTGGCCCATTCCTCCATGCAGATCTCTAGAGCAGTGACGTTTTGGGGCTGTTGCTGGGCAACACAGACTTTCAACTCCCTCCAAAGATTTTCAATGGGGTTGAGATCTGGAAACTGGCTACCTTGAAATGCTTCTTACAAACCCACTCCTTTGTTGCCCGGGCGGTGTGTTTGGGATCATTGTCATGCTGAAAGACCCAGCCATGTTTCATCTTCGATGTCCTTGCAGATGGAAGGAGGTTTTCATTCCAAATGTCACAATACATGGCCCCAAAGCATGATGTTTCCACCCCCATGATTCACAGTATGGGGTTGTTTGGATGTAACTCAGCATTCTTTATCCTCCAAACACAACGAGTTGAGTTTTTACCAAAAAGTTCTATTTTGGTTTCATCTGACCATATGACACTCTCCCTATTCTCTTATGGATCATCCAAATGCTCTATAGCAAACTTCAGACGGGCCTGGACACCTTAAGCAGGGGACACGTCTGGCACTGCAGGATTTGAGTCCCTGGCGGCGTAGTGTGTTCCTGATGGTAGTCTTTGTTTACTTCTAGGTTCTAGCTCTCTACTACGCTCTACTACTCTCTCTACTAGTTCCCCCCGTGTGATTCTTACATTTTTGCTCACCGTTCTTGTGATCATTTTGACCCCACAGTGTGAGATCTTGCGTGGAGCCTCAGATTGGTGGTCTTGTATGTCTTCCATGTCTAATAATTGCTCCCACAGTTGATTTCTTCGCACCAAGCTGCTTATCCATTGCAGATTCAGTCATCCCAGCCTGGTGTAGGTCTACAATTTTGTTTCTGGTGTCCTTTAGCAGCTCTTTGGTCTTGGCCATAGTGGAGTTTGGAGTGTGACTGTTTGAGGTTGTGGACAGGTGTCTTTCAGACTGATAATAGATGCTAATAATACAGGTAACTAGTGGAGGACAGAGGAGCCTCTTAAAGAAGGAGTTACAGGTCTGTGAGAGCCACAAATCTTGCTTGTTTGTAGGTGACCAAATTATAATTTTCCACCATAATTTGCAAATAAATGTGATTTTTTTAGATTATTTTTTTTCTCATTTGGTCTCTCATAGTTGATGGAAATTACAGGCCTCCCTCATCTTTTCAAGTGGGAGAACTTGCACAATTGGTGGCTGACTAAATACTTTTTTGCCCCACTGTAAATGTTTAGGTGCCCAGCTAGTCAATGATAGTCACCACAATATCCAAAATATATAAGCTGATCAAGCGTATTTTGTCTTAATCTTTGAAGAGAAACCAACATTTTCTGAAAGTGAAGAGGTTCTGTTCCCTTGGGGGTTAGCGTCATTGTGTAAACAAAAAAGGAAGCTGTTGTTACACGTTTCCTACGTACTTCGGACCTGTCCCTGCCGTCACTACTACGAGTGGGAGTAGATCCACATCAGTCGCCATATTTTGTGTTTATACCTTTGTGTGATGCGTTGGTTTTATATCTCCGTCTGGACATGGCCTAAGCATCTCAAGATTTTACCGCATTTGTATTGCCAATTTCCAATACTTATTTTAACCTTTTGTACATACGAACAAAGTCACTATTGTCTAAATTAGTCATAGATCTAAACATTTGAATAATGGATACAAATATATAAATGAACAGAGCAACGTGCGTCTAAATAAAAGCAACCATCAGTGAACTGTGGTCCAGTCCCTTCAAGATAACTGTTGATCTAAGCAATTGGCGCGACTTACTTTACGTTGACGTTGGTGCAAATTATGTATTCAATCTCCTCAGAAAAGGGGTTTTGAAATGTGAACGAGCTCGTCCGCATCCAGATCCACTCCCTCGACTTGGAACGAAACCTGAACATCACAGACAGCACCTGGCCTTTCAGCTTCAAAACCTGTAAAGAATACACACAAAGACGCTACATTAATAATGAAAAATGCAAATATATTTGTTCCCTCTTAAACACATATTCAATAACAAGCAGACACTACGCACTTATCATTAAGCGAACATATTCCAATTGTTTCTGCCACAAATTCCCAAAAGAATGCCCTTTTTGTCAAAGTGAAAGCTTTTAAAGATCTTGAATTTGGCTGTAATGTAATCTGCTTTAAAACCAATGGGGCTGCCCTGCCGTACCTGTTGAAAGCTTTCTCTGAGTAAACTCTGGTCCTCCGGGTGCGCCATTTCCAAAATATTCTTTCCCAGTAAATCCTGAAATGAAAAACACAATGTCTTGCATTTCGTTCTATTCATGAATACAATTAAACTCTACTTTATTATTTATTACTGCTCCAATGATAAAAATTGAATACAACAATGCAAATAAAATAAAATGCAAAAATGATATAACTATTGGTGGCTTAACGGTAATCTGTGAGAAGGTTCACCTGGGGCTGGTAGCCAATTGCGGCCATACAGCGATGGTCCACAAATGTAAAAACGCCTTGACAGTTGTGACGTGAAATGAACTCTACTGGAATACAGATGTTCCCTATATCGGCATCTCCCGGACAACATGTCACCTGGAAAAGGGAGTAGAAAACGTGTTTAAAAATAAAAAAATAGAAATTTTTTCTCCTGTCAAGAAAAGGTTGAGTCCTGACTTTATGGATGACGTTATTCCTGGGATATGGGTCACTACTTTATAAAATTTCTTGGAGCTCTGACCTATAAAAAGATGCAGCCAATTTATGGGTTTTTATTGTGGTAGAGTTGGGCTGTTGTCAGAGCAGAGATTAGAAAGCCTATTATTTTGAAGTTTTAGTAACTATAGGACGCATGTTTACTGTCAAAATGGATGAGTTTCGACATGGAAGCTAACCGTTAGGGTAAAATTGTGTGGAAAAAAATGTACTTTTTCAAATGTAGCTGGTGCGGTTTATATACAGGTGCGCTTAATCGTCTAGAAAGTACTGTAGTTTAATGAGAACCAAGCATGTAACAGAATAGAAAATAATCACCTGTAATCTTCCAATAGCAACAAGACAATAGCGACTCCCCTGATTGTTATCCGCCTCTTCATCTGTTAGCGACACTCCTAAACAAACAGAACATGCTATGAAACTGGAAACAGAATTGTACACCGGTAACTTTGTGTTGGAATTTAAAAACAATGACATTCCGGAGTTGTTTGTCCAGCGAGAATGTAATTGTGGAAATATACCATAAATAAGGACAGTTTATTGAGTGAAGTTATGGAACAACTGCTGCAATGAACTAAAACAAGCTGTATCTCTTTGTTTTTTCGCAGAAAGAAAGTAACATTGGAAGGATAAATACTTATATTAACGGCTTATTAACCGAGCGCGAGGTCTGTATGGAGAAATATCAAACCGACCTCTCAAAACAATAATGACCGCTGCTCATGACAACGCACTCTGTGCTTGTAATTCAGATGTGTAGATTACTCCGCAAGTAGTTCCAGCCACTAGCTAGCCACGCTCAATAAATGCAAATACCAATCAATCAACACATTTAAATGTTAATCGGAGAATACATTATACATATACATTCTTAATACACATGCACGGAGGTTTTCAGAAGTATCGGTTAACGTTTCATGACAAAAATACTGTTTTAAAAAAAGAGATTGCGATAAACCCGGAAGTACATTCCGGGACATTTTAGGACACATTTGAAGAAGATTATGGGTTCAGGTTAAGTTTATGGGATTATGGGTTCATTGGTACAAAGCCGTATAATAAGCGGGAAAGTGAAGCGCACTTATTTTCCAATAATGACCTGCCTACTATACATTATCCCTTACATATATTCCCCCACTCCCATTTCTGAGTGAGAGACATGTGAGATTTACTAATACTTTGAAGCAACTTTTGTTAAAGTTAAACTCATCATTCTACCAATGTGCAGAAGCCTGTACTTTTCCATTTGATGTTTTGTCTATCTGAAGGCCAAGCTACAAGCACACCGGGGCAGCTGCTGATTGGAGGACTTAATTCTCCCATGCTATATTATCACTAACAGTTTGTTACATCCTTGTTCGTGTGCTTTGTTCGTGCTGTCTCTACCATTGACAATAAAACATGTCTTCTGTCTGAATTAAAGACGCGATCCCAGACTTTGTCATCTTCTTCAGACAAAATGCCCAAAAAACAACCAATTGGCGCCATATAAATAAAAGATAACTTACTTATATGACACTAACTATGCATAATTTCCAAGGACTTTCAATGAATTATTATAATTGTAATTTGAAGAGGAGGGCAGACATAACAAAGAGCTTCTGCCTTGTCCCAGACTTGACATGGATTGGTTGTATTGGTTGTTTAAGGTTGATTTTCAAGTAGTCCGAATAACCAAAAAACTCTTATATGTTTGTCTCACCGGCAGGAGGCCAGGATTTGATATATCCTGTGCAGTGAACTACCGCATACTGAGGTTCTCCTTCTTTGGCCACACCCAAACCGTTCCTGGAAAGAGAGGAAATTGGTCAATGAAACAAGTCTTCCAAAACAAGCAAGTTGCATTTGCCTGTAATTAGTATGTACCCATTTGCAATAAGTACATCAAGGGTAACAAGTCAGTTACGTCTTCAAAAACACAATGCACTTAATTTTTTCATAATCCAAACTTACATTTGAATTATTTACCGCAATTAGCTTGTAAATGCTTTACAGTTCCTGGAATCTGTCTGCAATTTGACCAACAAGCCTTTCTGGTTTCCTTGGCATTTAAATACTAAATGTAATTCAGTAAATGATCTATTAATCACGAAAATCAAGAAATCAAAACAAAAGAAACACTTTGGACATCTGCAATGTGGGTGGGGGGAGTGTTGCTAGTCAACAAGGTCAGTTAGTAAATGTTAGCCTCAAGCTGAAGTCTAAAACCTGAAACAATACGTTACCTATTTCTGTTTCTTAAAAAGTTGAGTCTGTTCATAGACATTGGCTCCACAAGACAGTTACCACACCTGAAAGAAACAGACAGAAAGCCCAATAGATGACAACACTGATATTCATAACTAAACAAAGTGAAACGATAATGACTGGTTTTGGACCTCATTCTGCAAATGAAGGACCGCCGCGCCCCCATCGTCATTCTGGCCGAGGACTGCTGGCTTTCTTTTTTTACGGTTCCAGTTTTCAGATCCAACATCCTCCCTATAGAGGAAATAAATGTAACAATAATGCTATTCATTTTAGTGTTTTCCTTAATTTATTTGATTTTACACAACAGGCAATGATGACTTTCCCCACATTTTAAATCATTATTTTCGCTTTATTGTATTCAAGTAATCCACATATTGGAAGAAAGTTTTATAATCCAATTTGCACCTGCATTGTTTCACATATATCTTTATAACAGACAAATAACGGTACCGGTACATGTTCTGAGAAGGGGTTGGGTGGCGCAAATAATGATAAGAATTTCAGCCAATGACAAAGCTGTACGTTTGGTGACTCGCATATAGGGCTGGGCGGTATAAACGGTATAAGCGGTATGCGGTATAAATTTGGCCCACGGTAGAGATTTTTGTTATACCGGCATATTGCGATAGGTCATTATGTCATCAAATTGCGCAGGCTCTGACGCCAGCAGAGAGCACCAAAACAAACCGGCATTCAGCAGCATTAGCCTAGCACATTAGCCTAGCAGACACCACTGGAAACAACAGCACGGCTTTCACACCGTGTTTCTGTCTCTGTATTGGTCACAGCGGCCCCAGCAGAGGTAAATACACACACAGCAATCACAGTTTACATGTCTACCTTTCGGCCAATGAGTGTCAAAGGGGCGTAGGCTCGAAGCGCCATCGTGAGCCGAAATAGATCCATGCTTGTGCCGTGTCCGCAGCATCTCAGAAGTTTTGTAAAGTTAGCGTCCGATTCAGACTTCCGCGGTCAATAGATCACGAAAGCTACTTTGTTAAACAAAATTAATTGTGCCAAAATGAGCATTTACATCAATTGTTCAAATCAAATGCGCTGTTTTAATGCAGATAAATCCATTGAATCATCCAGTTCACAGCAAGCGCTTAGGGAGCGTCAACAAATGGCAAGACTAGCTTTGTAAACGAACAATAGCTTTTACTGAAGCCATGCATACGCACTAAACTCTGACACTATAAATAATGACCATGTCTAACTGCTACAGATATTATATAATATATTTTATATTTTTATATTATTTAAAATTGCTTTCACAGTTAATGGTCTTTACTGTAACATACATAAATAATGTATGTTACAGCATTTGTCTCTCACCTGATTTTCAAACTCAAAAAATATATATCAGATTCTAATGTATAGATAAGTAACAATCTTGACTATTTTATGCAAGAACCTGCTAAACCTATATTGAAATTCACACACCAAATTATACCGTGATGTATACCGTCTACCGTCTGTGACCCAAATCATACCGCGATATGAATTTTAGGCCATATCGCCCACCCCTACTCGCATATAAGGTCGCATGTAATTGGGAAAAGTAAAAACAAGCTTTTGCATGAAAGAAACACATCATTTCTAACATTAATAACTCAATGTTGTTTCACATCATTGAGATATGGATATTGCAATTGCGGTTATCACAATTGCGGATTTTTTTTTTTTATGTCGTGCAGCCCTAGGAGTAATATTGCCCTACCACTTAAGTCAAATTATCAGACATTTATTTCTTACCACTTACTTCTGTATCCATACAAAAAGGCATAGCCATCATCATTGTAAATAACAACCTTTAGTAATATCAACATCATTCCCCAAAATGTATCTTTTTTACATAGAATCGTTGTGTTGTTTAATTGCAGCACCCATCATTAACATGCAGTTCAATTAGAAAAATGGGCTGTGTAAGTCATCCAAACCGGTGTTGTTGTTCTCTGCGGTGGAAAGCTGCTCTCTCAGTTTCTCCGTGTCATCAGGGTGCAACTGGTCGTACAAGGAGGCGCCGAGCCAGTCATTCTGGGCCTGGTTCAGGACCGGTGTCAGCGAGTCCGACACATACACTAGACGACCGGTCTCACAGGACACCACAAACAGGAAGCCGTCTGCCGCCTCTAAAATCAGGTGCTTGAGTTCCTAAACAAATGAGGCCAGCAGAAGCACTTATTACGCTGCTGTCGGCAAAATAGCGATAATTAATATAGCGGTCAACATTATCCCAACATTGATATACATTTTAAACATTTGAAATCTCAATATTGAGGTAAAACTAGGCAAAAATATCGTATTCCAGCACTTCTATATCTAATCCTGGCATTTCATTTGACAATACCACTCTAAAAACAACTAGAGTAAAAGAGTAGGGAACAAATACAAGATGGATACACCTTTAAAAAATTCTCAAATATAATCACAAACCGGAGGAGTGCTCAAAGGCTTCTTTACCAGTTAGTCATTATTTATCTTGTGTGTTTATTATAAGTCAAAGCAGGTAGTTTAAAATTGAGGTGGCGGAAAATATATGCATGTTTTAAAATGTTGGCTTAATTTTCCCCCTAAAAGTAGCGGACACCACCTCCTTGAATCCTTGAACTTCCTTTACCTGATCAGTGAGAAATGAAGGCTTATAGGAGCCGTCTGCGTTGGTGCTGCCGCTGCCTCTCAGAGACTTCATGTGGGACACAGCCATCCGCAGAATGGTGAGTTTGTCCGGTTTTCTCGCCAGTGCGCTGCATGTGGGCACCATGTCCGACAACTCTGTGATGTAGGCCGTCATCTTGTTTCGCCTTCGCCTTTCAATTTCACTGTGGTTTTCCCTGGAGTGAGGAAATGGGGGCACGATTTTGAGAGGACAGGACAGATTCAGGTGGGGGACAGAGCCAGGAGGGTGTACAACATGGAGTCCAGATTAGAGTGAGTTTATGCTTCAACATAAGCAAAATTGGAGTGAGAGGAAAAATGGTTCAAAAGAATATTGTGCTGAATTTCTCCAAATGAACTGAGAAAGAAAGAGGCCCGTCTGTCAGTGTCAGACAAAGAGAGTGGGTGTAAAAAGAGAAAGAACTTGTGCTGAAGGGGGAGAAAAGGGAAAAAGGACAGTCCAAGATGGATCATCAACAAAACGAGGCTCCTAAGCAGGTGAGGAACCCCTGAAACATACTCTATGCAATGTCGAGTACTAATAGTAATGCAATACTATTAGTACTCTATCAGTAAAAATACTAGTCAGTATTGTGATTTAAAAATTAGCTCCTGTGCAATATGGTAAATATTCAAATTATTCAATAAGCTTGTGTCATTTATGGACATGGAAAAAATAACTATAATGCAATCTTATTTTTTGTTGTAGTAATGTAACATGTCACAATGTGATTACTGTTATTTGTATCATCATCTATACTCATGAGGGTCACTACAGAGCAGTTGGTGGCACAGGAATGTCATAATTTTGTTAGCGCCTCTTGGGACGACAGATGGTAATTTGGCCTAGGATAAAATGTTTACACGTTTTTTACCATATCAGTTGCTGTTCAGGTACCAAAACTGATGCACAGCAGGCTCCAATAAACATTATATAATTAAAACATTTAAATCAGGCCAGTTCATATTGATAAAAAACAAGAGCCTTTTAAAGATGTGAGATACATTGCAAGCTTTTGCTTTTATGCCAAATTCTGATCTTCCTCCAATAAACTGGAAAGGATATTAACCTGCTAAACATGAGCCCAAATATAAACCACCAAAAATAAAACTTGGGAGTTTGAAAAAAACAATGAGATAAAAGGTCGCTCTGTTTTGTTCAGTTACTCCTACACGCTGCATCCACACTACTGCTTTTCCATTCTCATACCTGGCAAAGCGCTCTTTATCATTTGAGCCTGAAGTGTCATCATCACACCTGCAGAAAGACAGAATTGTTGTGTTAAAATAAGCAAATAATAAATAATGAGCAAGACTCAAATATGTGTATGGGATATATGATATATTTAAAATTACCTCTGTCACGAGGTAACAGAGTTTGTTTTTCTGAATATTGACATTTACAACAACATAACTACAAAAAGTAACAGGATTTTTTTTTTTAACGAAATTCAGTAAATCCCGTGGGACATGGTACAAATGATTATATTCTGGAGGTGATCCGGCTAATCTGGATCCAGGATTATTATTTTTAAAGAATGAAACAGCGTTTATATAGTAAGTGATAAGTTAATATCAGCCAACATAATTTCTTTTGGGTGGATTAATAGTTGTTGACTGTTCCAACACCTTTGCTTTTCATCTTATTATTAGGTTTATACGAGTGAGTAAAGTTTCCCCATACTATCGATAATTCCTACACACTCAAAAGCACTGTGATGTACTAAACAGACATACACTGTACCTAAACAGTTTGCTTCCTTCGTCATCATCATCATCAAAGTCAGGCCTGGGAAAAAATTATAAAAAACAGCTGACAACCATCATTGACAGACACGTGTTTATATACATGTACATTCAGCTGTCATCGGGTTAAACACACGTGAAAACATCCAGCAGGCACAGTGACCACAAACACACTTACAATGCCCGCCTCTTGTTCGCTCCTTTGGGCACAACTGCTCCACTCGACTGGGTCCCACTCGCTTCCATGTCTGGTAAATCTATTAATAACAAAAAGGCACAGCGAAATGTAATGTTAGAAAACTAACAGGTGATCTCGCCATTATGTCCCAACAATGTAAAGCTTCTAGGGTATCAGCTAAAGTTGATTATCTTAGATCTTATTGTGCCATTAAATCTTTGATGAAACACTAGCGAGTCACAACTGAACAGATTTTAGACATGTCAGTGCATACATTTTAATGGATAATTCACACTAATAACATATACTTTGACTCACATTCCATTTCCAGACATAATTAAACAAAATAATCTTCTACAAATGTGTTGAATTCGCCAGGTGCAGCAAATCTCGAGTCAATTTTACTTGGCAGAAACATCATATCAGACTTGTGTGATCTTGTTAGCATGTAGCATAGCATGTAGCCTAGCATTAGCTTTGCTGCTGAGCTAACTTGCCAGGTCGCTGTCACGCAAACCTCACCAAGTGCTTAATTCCGGTTTAAATATGACACATGCGTTTGCAAACCCCAGAGAAAGCTACCAGACAATTGCTAAAACATAAAATGCCTTACCAGAGTTTGAGGAAGACATATCCGAGTGGAATAACATAAACAAAACAACTTCAGCTGCAGAAAAAAGACCTCCCCTGGCTAGCGCTTAGCTTCTGAGCTTTGCAGTTCCTCGCTGTTTTTGTCGCTGTTTTAAGGTTTACAAAGTCTTAAGTCATGATCGATTCGACTCGAAAGTGGCCGGAGACTTTAAGGAAGATGACAGATGAAGCGATATTGTCATTGGCGCATGTTTATCTTGATTTTGCCCGATTTAAATCCTCAGTTTGTAAGATGGCGTGCGAAGTCAAGAAATGACCACGGAGCTGTGTTTCCCTCGCGCTGATTGGATCAAACCAGATAGATACTCGTGACGTCATGTGTTGGGAAATCCGTCGGTACTCCTCCTCCCATGTGACAGTAGTGCCCCCTGCCTCTCACAACCATAGACTGTATACTCACAACACACCCAATGATTATGGTTCAGAAACGAATTGTAATTTCAGAATGTTGCATTAATGGCCGGAGGGTCACGTGGGCCATGTTACTAGGGGGAAATAATCTGGTTACCTGAAGACTAAAAACTTTGGACACCACAGATTCCGCATTGGGGAGAGTCTCTTTAGCTCCCTTGGCCTTGAAGAAAAATACAATAAATTATGTTTTATAACACTAGTAATAGTATTTCCTATACAAGGTCATTTCCAATAGTTGTATTCGAAGCTCGGAACAGATATGCTTTTAAAGTTTAGCAGGTATTAAACTTTGAAGATGCGTTACTATTTATCTTTTCCAGAAGAGCGGGAAAATGGCTCATTGGATAATGAAGGTCACCGACCCCTGGTCTAGGCCCCAGAGAATCTACTGAACCCTGACCTGTGACTCTGAAAACACATGAATCATCCTTTCATCTATTTCTGTGAGTCTGGAACATCAGGGTGACCACACTGCATGCCTTTTAATTAGCCTAGTGATGTTTTAAAACATTTAGAATAAGAATACAAAGAAAACAAAAGCATCTGTAAATACTTCTGAACCAAGTGCAATTATAACCCAAGAGTTTATTCTATTTTATTCTTTATCTTATTTCAATTATATAGTCTATTATCTTAAATAATAGACTATTTGATGTGTGCAATCTGAGTGCTCTTATTTCCATCTTTCTCTGCTGTAATGTGCGCAACGATGGCCCTGAAATTTCTCCATGCACTGCAAGACAAAGAAAGGTTTATCTTATCTTATCATTTGTATTAAAAAAAACATATATATTTATTAATATGTAGTTCCAATGTTTGATATCTTTATTATTAACAATACTTCTGAATCATAACAAAAGCATTAAATAAAAATAACACTCTTAAAAGGGCAATTTTGCCCTTGTGAGTGGGGTCATTGGTTGGTCTGTTAGTGACAAGAGGGCAGGTCAATAGAGAGCTTGGAAATATATGTAAAAAAAAGAAGAGTAACAGATAATGCATTGGAAGAGTTTAGTTCACAATGTAAGATAAACATAAAGAGCTAAGAGCAGTCTGCAAATTACACTTAAGGCACTTACGTCGTACAAAACAATTTAAAGCATAAACAAAGATATTTTTCTTTAAAAGATAATCGTAAACTGTGCTAAAATTATCATTATTATTAAACGCAATAAATCTGTAAAACATTTATTTCGGTCTCACATCTGAAATAATCCATTGATGCTTAACACTTATCTGTAAGGAGTAAATCTGGCACAATCAAAACTACTGTATGATTTCATGCAAAAGTCATGGAAGTGCTGATGAAGGTGTCCAAACAACATATGGCACAAGATACACATGGCAGAAAAGCAGGACCAATACAGCTGTCTTCAGAATCCTACAGCTCTGTGCAGGCACAACAATTCATATCACTCCTTAGAAGAAGAGCCAAAGTTGTACCTTTCAAAATCTCAAAATTTAAAACCATTTAATCTCTGGCATATTTTGTGTCACTTCTCTAACTTGCACCAATATTGGCAAAAACAATGATTCCAATGAGTAATTGCATAGTCATTTAGGGGAAAATTCCCCATCATAGTCTAGTCGCAATCGTTCCTTCAGAGGACACAAATCAAAGTGGCCATAAAGCATTAAAGCAAAGGAAATATTAACATGTAATATTTCAGCCACCGGTGGCAGTAAGGCACAGTTCAACATAGAAAGCTTTTATTCATATTTTGCTTCTCCATTTTCTTACCGATCTTCAAGTTGAAAATTCTCAATAAATCTTTACGGCACATATTGCGGCACTTAAAACCAAAAGTCCACGAGTGCAGTATATCAGGCCATTTGATTCACCTAAATCTACTGAAGTGTTTGTCGTGCAAGAGGAACACTGTTTATATTGGATACCCGTTGCTTTTAGGGACACAGGCCCTGGTCCGCCTCCTTTCACGCAGCTCAGGCCTCATCACTCCGCCTTACTGTGACTGTGACTGTGACTGTGGCTGTGGTTGTGGCTGTGGTTGTTGTTGTGAACTGAGTGGCCGTTCTGCACTGGCCCATTTTTCGTTGAGTCCCTTTTCACACACTTATCTTCTTCATCTTCTGATAAGTCTGTTTCATCTTTGTCACTTCGTTCATCATCAACCTTTTCCTGAATGACAGTTAAAGATAAAAAACAAATCAAAACATCAACTTTAGTAAAGGTTTGTACTGTCCTGATGCAGTAAAAATAATATGGTTTGTATGGTTGCTTACATTGTTGGTAAGGAAGCGGACCGCTATCTTTATAATGAGAACAGCCCAGAAGATATGAAGACACTGTAGCACCATTAGGAGTCCATTGAAAAAGTAATAACCAAAAAAAGGTTCATAGACCGTCACAGGGTAGATCCATGTGCAGTAAATAATCCTGAAGATGGAAACAGAAACATTGTGTAAAACAGCTTATGTCACTGAATGTATTATTGTTTTGTACCTAAATGGAAAGATCACAAGACGAGTGACGATGAAAACTACGGCAAACACTATGAAGATGTAGTTGCAGGCGTTCCTCCATCCAGCATAGTTGAACATCTTTGCAGACTGGGAACAATCACAAACGACATAAATATGTAAGTGTGAAAGTCTCTCCACAAGATGGCAGTGTAGAGTCAACATTGTACAGTGATCTCAGGTTGCTGTTCACACCATGTCAACGTTGAGACATTAATCTGGGACTAAGGTTTGAAGGAGGACCAAACCAAATCATCAGGAAGTTTAGACTAGGATCAGTCCAGGGCAAGGGTGCATACATTATATGGTTCATGGTGCTTGGTGGTAAACTCATGTTACCATAGCTACCCAGTGACGGCATAACATGCACAGATCGGATCTGGGTTCAAACCTTCAACCAATAATTGCTTATTATAGTGGATCTCAAAGTGACTACAGAGCAGGGTTCAGCAACCTTTGTATTTTTATTTTTTTTCAAAAGAGTAATTTCCCCCTTGGTCTGCCAAAGAGAAATAGAGCCGTAAAATGTGTGACACATCTTATACAAAAAAACGTTCTTTCTAGTTTGGGTCAGATTCATTGCCAAAAGTGACACTTTTTAGATGTGGGTGTACCAAACACTTGTTTCTAGTTGATCAATTGAATGGAGAGTCATATCTATGCCCAAAAAATTATTTATTTAGCCGTAAATTACTATTTTTTTTTACATTTAGTGGAAACCTATAAATCAGTGGCCACTCTTGGACCACAAAACATGCACATTGTTGTGGGGCAAGTTTCACAAGTAGTCCTCTAAGATTGCAGCATACTGAACAAGTCATACAAAAGACTTGGATATTTTATGGCCAAAAAATACCTCAAGAAAGTAGTCTGCAGAGTCGTGCACCAGCATAATGAGAGTTCCAGCTCGTATGTAGTTCACACACCAGGAGAAGCTGATGAGGAGGATGGTTGCCACATGGTGGACAATCTGCTCCTTAAAGTCCTGAATCAAAAGATGTGAGCTGTCAATCTTTTCGTTCAACATGTGTGGGTGGCTAGATCTTCATTTGTCTATCAATAATTAATTTAATATATATGTTAAATTAATTCAACAGCATTGTGTCCAGTATAGAATGATTCTGAATGACAGTCAAACCCAGGATGTAACAAGAGTCTAATGTGCAAACTCTGGGCAAAATGAGTTTCAGGCTTTAAAGTGAAGCAATAGAGCAGTAAGATTGAACTTTTTTATTTTAGATTTTCTATAGTGACTTGTTCATTTGTTTTTTTTTAAATGTTGGTTTTAACAGTGTTTACAAAATTCCTTATTAGTTACAAAAAACCCCGGTGATGTAACATCTTCCAAATGTTCTTTGAACACTTTGCATCCACGGCAGAAAGTGAACTCTAATATTTGTGTTTTATAATAGAATCTTTTGATTGTAAAAGGGCATCTTTTCATGAGCGTTACAGGAGATGGGATCCAGGCCTGTGAGTGACAAACATGACGCAAAAATGTGTAGCACAAAATGTGCAATGCAAAGTGTGGCTTCCCCCATGCCCCTGTCACTGAGCAGGAAGCGGGTGCCTTTCAAAACTTTCGGCACAACATCCATGCCCACGTGACCCACACCCATGACACGTTGCCATAGCAATAGGTTAAGGCTCCTACACAAAACTTTGGGTCAGGACATAACTTTTTACACGCAGCATAAGCTCATGTTAGTTTAGAAGAGATTTGTGAGAATGAATTAATGAGTTTATATTTGATGATGCGGGTCAAATATAAACCAATCCGGTCTGTTTGAGTGATGTGAAATGCCCTTACTTACTAAAGAATTGTTTGGGATTCAGTAACATTCGTCACTCGGAGTACCGTAATTGCCAGACAATAAACCACTTCTTTTTAAAATTTCTTTGAACCCTGGGTTCTGTATAGAGATAAGGCCAATGCATATATTTTCATTCCAGACATTGGGCTGTTGTCAGCGTAGTTTGTAGTATTATTATTTTGTCTGTTTTGACTAGCTATAGAACAATCCATTTTATTGTCAAAAATAGATATTGACATAGGAGCAGTTATTGTAAGCATGTTAACAGAGTGAAAGTTTGTCTCCTCAGGGTTCATTGTGTTATTTTCCTTTAGCCTCAAGGGTCAGTCCTAGGACCGTTGCTGTTTTCAATGTATATAAATGATCTCCCAGATTGCTGTCAGGGTGTAAACTGCCAGCTTTATGCTGACGACACAGTTATTTATGTGTCAGCAAAAACATCTGCACTGGCTGGGCAGCTGTTAACACAGGCTTCACATAACATCTCAAGATGGCTTCAACTGTCCCATTTAACTTTAAATGTAAAGAAAACATTCTCAATATGTTTCTCTATCAGCCGGAGGTCCCCTGACAGCACCTTTGAGGTTCAATTAGAACATGAACCCATTCAGGAGGTTCATGAAACAAAATACTTGGGCATTATCTTAGATAAACACCTGAAGTTCCAAAGTCAAGCAAATAACGTCTGCAGGAAAGTCAAATCAAATCTGAACTGTTTTCGTTTTATAAGAAGAGAGTTATCACATCACGCGGCTTTATTGTATATGCATGCAATGGTTTTTTCACATCTGTCATACTGCATTACAGCATGGTCACAAACATCGGCATCCACTCTGAAACCAGTCACCTCTCTGTATAAACAGGCAATTAAGATATTCGACAAGAAACCTTTGAGATGGCATCATTGTGATATCATACAAAAGCACAAGCTTTTTACTTTTGAAAACTTTGTAAATTTTAGTATAATGAAATTGACTTTTAAATGTCTGAACAACTGTGTGTCACCACTGTTCTCTGGCCTCATGGTGAGGTGTCAGGGCTCTCTCAGACCTTCCACCAGAGCCTCAGTTAGCGGGGATTGTGTGCTCCCAAAGTTTAGAAAATCTTTTGGACAGTCGAGCTTCTCCTTTAGAGGGGCTACACTGTGGAACTCTCTCCCCACTGCACTGAAACTGCAGAATAATATCAACATCTTAACCAGAGAGCTTAAACAGTGGCTCAAATCGGGCCAAACTTGTTCCCATGTTTAAAACATGTCTTATCTTGTTTAATAATGTGTTTTATTGTAACCTTGTTTCCTAATGTGTTTTATCTTTGTAACCTAAAAGCCCCCTATGGACAGGTGTTGAAAATTAGCACTTGTGCTATAACACTTTAAACAATGCATCTAGTTCGTCCAATGTTAATTGCTATGTCCATATTAAATAAATAAATAAATGAAATGAAATGAAATGAAGCTTTGTCCAGAGTGCGGCAAAACACCTTGTCTTTAAATCATGTTGCTTTACTTTCCTCAGCTGTTGCTTAATTGTTATAATACAACATGAAAACCTGCAGCTTACATTCAAGTCTAGCCTATATGTGGACGACATGTCTTCTTTTTCTTTTACAATTTTGCTGGTGCGGTTTATACAGGTGAGCTTAATAGTCCAGCAAGTACTATAAATCTAGTTTCCTATTGGATTTGCGTGAACATTTACAGAATTACTTACTTTGCGCTTGATGTCAGATGCCACGCTGAAGAGTAGCGAGCCATAGAAGCCCAGCTCGATCATGTAGTACCAATACTGAGAGGGAAGGACAGTCTGGGGAAAACATTAATACAATACTACACGTAAATATTTGTATATTCAAATGAAACAATGTGAATGAGCTCATACCAAAACTGGAAAGCCCTCCCACATCTCCTTCAGGTCGTATAACCAGGGTTTCTGCATAAAGAAACACGGTGCAGGGTTAATAGAAACAGAAACTAATATTTGATTAGCCTTGATTTTGCGCCGGTTAAATCAATATACATTTCATTGGGTTTTCATGCTGAGCTGCTCCTTGGGTAGCCTTGTTTATAGTTTTGACTCTGGTCCAGATTCGTTCTTGGAAACTGATAATTGGGCCTTCCCTTCTCTTGAAAAATGCATTGGAACGCTGCATGAACTAATAATTATTTTTTGTGAATGCGAAATCAACATGTGTTATTAAAATATTATGTTAAATTGATTTAACCACCATTGACTTTGTAAACAATCTGGCAACAGTTTGAAAATCAATGTATTATGTCTTGTGTATATTAAATTGATTTTAGCCTACAATGTTGCATTAGCTGTATTGCTTTGTATACGAGTCAAATGGAGGAAGGCTCTCAAGATGGAGAATGTAATGCCTGTAAATGTGAATAATGGAGAGGAAAGAGCACATGTTTTATTATCACTCTGCCCTCACAGAACACAGAAACTGAATGATCACAAAAAACTCACTCTACTGGTCAAAGTTTTCCCTGTGTGAAATTTCAAAGGTGATGGAGCGATTATACTGTATGCTACAAAAGATTACTTGCTTCCAGCCAGGTGATTAGAATATGCAATAAATGGTTAATAAATGGTTTGCACTGGTCTGGATTTCATTACTACCCTGGTTTTGTCCTAAATTAGGCTCGTATCATTCATTAAACTTGGTCTAGTCTGGTTTAGCACTATCTAAACCAGACTAGATGTGGTGCTCATGCCTGAAGATCAAGTCACAAAACTACATACAATTTCTCCAATAAAATGTCTTTGAACTTACATCAATGAGGGAGGCAAGGCCAGCAATGAAAGCAAGAAGGTAAAAGGTAAATCTCCAGCTGAAAGAGAGCACACATGCACACTCAGACACTCTTTATACTTTGTCAACTGGGAATTGACAGTATAATTTATGCTTTGGACAAGCTCATCTCAAAACACATGGAAGTAAACTTGTGAAGTGTAAATGATGACACGAGTAGATAGAGGATGTCGGTTTAATATCCTGTGTGGACGGAGGGGCAGATAACGGCGAGCACATGGGGAGAATGACACCGGGAATATGGAGTCAATTCAATTCAAAATGTTACAGGGAGTGCAATGGGATCACACATGCAAAAGGCAAATATGCTCTCATCAAACCACATGCATCATACGAAATGTTGTTTGTCCCAACAGTTCATTTCATAAACGATACAATGTTGTGAACAAACACCACAACATGCTGCATCTTATCAGAAAACAACGCAGACTGTCACTATTTGATGCTGAGGCCTGAAAGCTGATTGGCTGAAGGTGGTCATCTCCTTTCCACTTTTCCGTCTGAAAAAGCTGATCTAAAGACGTGATAGAACCAACCGTTATGACAACGATTTGGGTTTTTTCAGAATTGTTCTGTGGCTTCAAATTGAGCTTAGGGTTTGGGATTCCTCTTGTTAGTGTGGTTGTTATCTGTTTGTGATCAGAGAACTATGTTGTAACATGGTTAAAAACTCAAAGAGACGATTCATAATATGTGTCCTACGAATGACAGCTCTTTATGGGCTCAATAACAGAAAATCAAAAAAGAACTGCAATCACTGTTTTCTTATCTCGGTATCAAACTAAATTTCCTGTGTCCACTTTTATTAACTCTGCTCGCTCTTCTCCTATTTTTTACAAAAATAAAAATTTTATTCATTTGAACACATTAGACAAATGATACTGATACTGAAACTTTGAAACTTGCTACGCTTAATGTCAGATCTCTTTGTAACAAGTCTTTTTTAATCAATAATTTTATTTCTTCTCATAATCTTGATCTTATGTTCATGGCTGAAACTTGGCTTGACCAAAATTCAGAAAATGCAGTTTTAATAGAAGCATCACCACCAAATTTCAAATTTGAATCTGAAATACGGGAAAACAAAAAAGGAGGAGGCTTAGCTGCCATTTTTAGTGACCACTTTGTCTCCCATAGAATGTCTCTTGGGAAGTTTTCGTCATTTGAATATGTGTCTTTTAAAATACAACAAAAACAATCTCCTCCAATACTCTTCGTTGTCCTATACAAGCCACCGCAGTCATGTCACAGTTTTATTGATCATTTTACCGAGTTGCTTTCAGTTGTATGCACAGATTTTGATAGTTTGGTTATTACAGGTGATTTTAATATTCATGTGGATAATGTTGATGACAGAAATGCAAATGAGCTGAGTTCTGTACTTGAATCCTTTGATCTCACTCAGCACGTAAGTGGCCCCACCCACAGCAGAGGGCACACTCTAGATCTGTTAGTTACAAAGGGGGTGATTATTTCAAATGTAAACGTGGTCGATGTTGCTCTTTCGGATCATTTCTGTGTTTTTTTTGACATGTGTTTCACTAACAAACCACCAGTGGACTCTGCAACTGTTCGAAGAAGGCGCATAAATGAAAATACGAGTGAACTATTTATGGAAATGATAAACTTTGAGAATGCATCGTATTCTACTGTAGATGAACTGTTTAACTCTGTCACCTCTAGTGTTTTGAATGTTCTGGATACCGTTGCCCCTGTGAAGGTTAAAATAGTGAAAAATAAGCAGAAGGCGCCGTGGGCTAAAGCAGACTCGGTCAGGGCACAAAAGAGAAAGTGCCGGAGGGCCGAGCGGAAGTGGCGCAAGTCCAACCTCCAGGTAGATTACGAGATCTTCAAAGATAAGTTGTGCGAGTTTAACCGGGTGCTACGTAGTACGAGAGAAAGGTATTTTTCTGAAATGATTGAAGGCTGCAGCAACAATCTGCGTGTTCTGTTCTCAACAGTTAATAGATTAACAAACCCCCCTGTTCAAATGCCATTAGAGCTTACTTCCAAACGTAAATGCAATGAGTTTGCTAATTTTTTCAATGACAAGGTTCAAGGCATCAAAAGCGCCATTGTCTCCAATCCACAGATAACCATCCAACAGCCAGAAAGGCTCTCTGAGCTAACTCACTTTGCACCTGTAAATGATAAAACTGTCCAAGAGATAATCTCCAGTTTGAGCTCCTCCACATGCAGCCTGGATGTACTACCCACTAGATTTCTGAAGTCTGTTCTGAGCAGTCTGTTACCTTCACTCACACAGATAGTAAACATGTCCCTTCATTCTGGAATATTCCCAAAGGCCCTGAAAACTGCAGTCATCAGGCCCCTGCAAAAAAAGAGCAGCCTGGATGCTACGGTACTTAACAACTATCGTCCCATCTCAAATCTGCCATTTATGGGGAAAGTCCTTGAAAAAGTTGTCTACCTACAGCTTACTAGATTTCTTATAATCAACAACTCATTTGATATGTTTCAGTCCGGCTTTAGACCCCACCACAGCACTGAGACTGCTCTCGTTAAGGTTACAAACGATATCCGGCTGAACACTGACGCAGGCAAAGTCTCAATCTTAATCTTGTTAGATCTAAGTGCTGCCTTTGACACCGTCGACCATGAGATCCTCTTACAGAGACTAGAGGACTGGGTTGGCGTCACTGGCACCGCCCTAAGTTGGTTTAGGTCTTACCTTGAAGACAGGAAGTACTTTGTGGAGATTGGAAACTGTGTCTCAGATCATATGGCCCTGACCTGTGGAGTCCCACAGGGGTCGATCCTGGGACCTCTTCTGTTCAATCTCTACATGCTGCCGTTAGGTCAGTTAATACGCAGAAACAAAGTTTCCTATCATAACTATGCAGACGACACTCAGATCTATGTCTCACTGACTGCAGGAGAACATGGACCAGTGGACTCACTCCTTCACTGTATCCAACAGATCAGTGAGTGGATGCAAAACAACTTCCTTCAGCTAAACGCAGACAAAACTGAAATGATTGTCTTTGGTCCCCAGAAACAAAGAGAGAGCGTCATCTGTCACCTACAGTCTCTCTCCCTAAAACCTTCAAACAAGGTCAGAAATCTAGGGGTAATACTGGACTCAGACTTAAATTTTAATAGCCACATCAAATCAGTAACATCAGCAGCTTTTTACCATCTAAAAAACATTGCCAGGGATCAAAAACATAGTGTCTAAAGCAGACTTGGAGATTCTTATCCATGCATTTGTCTCCAGTAGGTTAGACTACTGCAATGGCCTGCTCACAGGTCTGTCCAAACAGGCTGTAAAACAGCTGCAGACATTCAAAATGCAGCAGCTCGAGTCCTGACAAGAACCAGGAAGTACGACCACATTAGTCCAGTCCTCAGGTCTCTGCACTGGCTTCCTGTGGCTCAGAGAATAGACTTTAAAACAGCTCTGCTTGTGTACAAATCTCTCCATAGCCTCGCACCAAAATATATTAGTGACATGTTAGTCCCATATGAACCAGCCCGGACTCTGAGGAGCACAGGGACTGGACTCCTGTTAGTGCCCAGAGTCAGAACTAAACATGGGGAGGCTGCTTTTCAGATTAATGCTGCTAAAATCTGGAACAGTCTTCCTGAAGATGTGAGACAGGCCTCCTCTCTGACAATGTTTAAAACCAGGTTAAAGACGGTTCTGTTTAACTGTGCATACAACTGAGGGATTTTATATTTTTATCTTTCTTTTTAATGTTCTGTGATAATTTATGATTTTAATGCTTTCTTGTTTTGTTCAGCACTTTGAATTGCCTTGTGTATGAATTGTGCTATATAAATAAACTTGCCTTGCCTTGCCTTGCCTTACAAAGTACAATTATTATGGTTATTTACACTTTGAACAAAGGAAACAAAATTATCATTATAATTATGAAGAAAATCTTTTTTTTTTGAATGGCTATAATATTTATACAGAGTAAATAATGGGATATTCCCCTTTTGTGAATTTTGCAGCTGGCTCTGCACCACAGTCTTTTATCCCCTGTGTGTTGATTTATCCTGTATCCAACATAAGAGCCGCTTGTGACAGGTCCAGTGCAAATGAAAGAGCAAAGAGGGTGCGGTGAAGGCATCATCGCACTCTAAATACAGCACATGGTGAATAGTTCTTTTGTCTCGCTCTCACAAGGCTATCCATGATATTTACATGTTCTCATTTCAAGCTGAAGAGACTGCCTTACCCCAAAATAAACATATTGTATTCTATTCAACATTAATCATTTTGAAGTAGTCATCAAATGTTGCCTATTTGTGTTATAAAAAGGTATTAACTACAACATAAATAAATAAAGATAAAACAACAACGATTCTTACAGTTAGATGGAGTTTCAAGAGAAGATATTAGTAATTTCAAAAACAATATTATATGTTTGTGGCTGAGTGACAGCTTGAAATACCTGATGATTTATTTGTTTTATGTGTTTCATTATTTGATACTTTTATGTGGTAAGAAAAAACATTTAATCAGGTTTGTTTGACTTAATTTGACATTATAGTGTTTCTTGTAACTACATGTGTAAATACCGGTAGTTAAAATAAATAAAAACTATTATGTTGAATTCTATCCGAGTCGAAAAAACTAAAATCTAAGTAATTTCAAACACCCGCCTCATTTTGTCTTGTGCACAAAAGTTTGGCATACCCAAATGTCTTTGCTTATTTAAAAACACATCTTACATGTCTTAACTGACATTTCATCATCATAAAAACCATATATTTTATTATCGGTACTTATAAGTTACTAATCTGTGTGATTTTTAAAAACAGTTTTTCAAAGTTAATTTTTTATGAGAGTGTCTCTCTAACTGTCGTTATGCACGCTTCTACTGACACAAACCAAGACAGTAGCCCTCTGGATAACAACAAATGCGAAGTGACCATGTGCAAAAAGCAGCCGCTTGTTTACTCACGGAGATGTTGCAGACGTAAACAAGCTCGTATCTCTTTGGGAATAGTCTCATTTTGTAGCTAATAAGTGAACAGGAGCATGGGTTTGGATGATAAACAAAGCTAAAGGTCCATCACCAGTGAAAGAGCAGCCTCTGTGCTCTCTCAGAGCATTATTTTAGCTGAAAATAAATGCACATTTTTTGATTATTTCTCCAGAATGGATTATACTTTGGGAAATACAAGTGGATATTCTTTTTCCATGGACAATTCCGGAGTGAAAGAGCTATAGGAAGATGGGAGGAGATCTGATTTATTTATGCAGCACGAGCCCAAAGGTAAAAAAAAATGATGTAGTTTACACTTGTATATAAATATAGATAGAATATAAGCTTTAAAACGATACACAGCTTTTGGGGTTTGGTGTTCAAGATACATCTACTATTGCCTGCAGAACTTTTTAAAAAGTGGATGTTAAGAGGTTGTTAGGTACTACATTTCAGCAAAACCCCTTACAGTCAAACAGAAGCAAAAATCTATTATTATTCAACCCAACACGTCCTTGTTTCTATCTTTCTAATAGGAATTTACAGTTCATTTGGTCTGTTAATGTTCTCATGCTTTGTTTTTATACTTATCACTTCCCAACAAACAGAAAAAAGCAGTAATTCACCACAACTCAAATAATTAAAAAGGCTAATCATTTACCTGGCCTCTCTAAACTTTTTCAGCAGACTCGGTCGGTCCTGGTTTCTCCGCCGCCTGAACCAGCGCTGCACCTGCCGCTCTGAATATCCAGTTTGTTTACAGAGACTCGTTATTGATGTCTGGGGATATGAAAAGGCAACAATGAGTGTGTTTTATAATGGTTATTCATCATTTACTGCAATTAAGTGAAATCCGTCTGTCACTCACATCAGGCTAATGGGGCTGTTGAGTGATTAGAAAGATTACAAATAACACTGCATTTCCAGACCCAGGCTCTGGCTGATACAAACACAAGATTCAGATTCAGATTCATTTATTTGCCATTTGCAGTAAAACCACATTGGAAAAACTGTGCAAGACTACCCCGGTGTGCACCACACACACCAGAGCTCTTGCCACGGCGTCATCTTTACGGCGCCATGCCGTAGCAAGGAAAAAGTGTATCTATGAATCTTCATAATTAGGTCTCTCACTATTTATATTTTAATTTGTAGAGGTTAATTTATAAGTTAGCATAGCATGATCTTGGTTTTTTTGTTTGATTTGAGTACAACTAAACATAAACTATGGCAAGAACAAAGCAAATATTGTGTTAAATTTCTCCATCTTTGACTTGAACGTCTATTAAGGGACCGCCACAAACAAGATCCTATCACACTACTTGCTCAGGTTATTGGAGTGCGTATGGCAGGTTTTTATGATTTTTTGACTGATCATCTCAAACTGGGATTCAGAAGTACGATTTCACTATTGCACAATCAGGGAGTCCAATTCGAAACTTGTGAAAAAGAAATCTGGGTGAGCTTATTTTTGGCCTGAGGCCCTTCTATTACTGTTGTTACACTTTAGTCTATTTAAAAAGACAAATGTGGTACAATGAATGAGGACAAGTTGGTGTATATTACAGGGTGTGTATTACAAATACTGGTCAATATTGTTTTTTTTGGCAGCTCGTTCCTGCAGAGATGCTATCGCTTCGCCTGTATTTCCAGATAACAGCATTAAAACCAAAAACAGTTGTATGTGTGCGGTTGTACCTGGGAGGGGTTCTTGGTGATAGTGCAGTAGTAGGACTCCAGTGTGGGGTTGTGAGGAGCTTTGAGTCGCACTGCCTCTTTCACCCCGAGAAGAGCAGCCAGAGGCGTAGCTACGGTCCTGCAAGGAAAATGTTTTTATTTGAATGGAAAACAAAATCATAACAGAAGGACAGCAGTTAGACATTCAAATCTAATTCCTGCTCCTTGTAAAAATCAATTAACTAAACCCACTGTTACTGATATTAATTTTAAAATTGCTATGCTTAATGTCAGATCACTGTGCAACAAATCATTTTTAATTAATAATTTTATCCGTTCTTATGATCTTGATTTTATGTTTCTGACTGAAACTTGGCTTGACCAGAGTACAGGTAATGCGGTTTTAATAGAAGCAACGCCACCAAACTTCAAATTTGAATCTGAAATCCGAGAAAATAAAAGGGGGGGAGGCATTGCTGCATTATTTAGAGATCGTATTATCTCTCATAGAATTCTCCTTGGAAATTTTCTATCATTTGAGTACATTTCTTTTAAAATAGAACAAAAACAATCTCCTTCTATTCTTATCATTGTCCTGTACAAGCCACCGCAGTCTTGTCACAATTTCTTGGATAATTTCACTGAGTTGCTTTCAGTTGTTTGCACCGATTTTGATAGTTTAGTGATTACAGGTGATTTTAATATTCATGTGGATAATGGCAATGACAAAAATGCAAAAGAGCTGAGTTCTGTACTTGAAACATTTGGTCTCACTCAGCACGTGAGTGGCCCCACCCACAGCAAAGGGCACACTCTAGACCTGCTGGTTACAAAGGGGGTTAATATTTTAAATGTAAATGTGGTTGACGTGGCTCTGTCAGATCACTTCTGTGTATTTTTTGACATGTGTTTTGATAGCAAACAACCATATATATCTGAATCTGCAATTGTCAGACACAGACACATAAATGAAAACACAACCGAACTATTCATGGGAATGATAAACTTTGAGAACACATTGTGTTCTACTGTTGACGAATTGTTTAACTCTGTCACCGCCAATGTTATAAATGTTCTGGACATCATCGCTCCTGTGAAGGTTAAAATGATTACAAATAAGCCAAAGGCCCCCTGGACTAAAATGGACTCAGTCATGGTACAGAAGAGAGAGTGCCGTAGGGCCGAGCGGAAGTGGCGAAAATCCAATCTCCAGGTTGATCATGATATCTTCAAAAATGAGTTGTGCAAGTTTAACAGGGTGCTACGTAGAACAAGAGAAATTTATTTTTCTAAAACCATTGATGGCTGCAATAATAATCTACGACTTATGTTTTCAACAGTTAACGGATTAACAAACCCCCCTGTTCAGCTGCCATTCGAATTTGCTTCAGAATCTAAATGTAATGAGTTTGCACAATTTTTCAATGACAAGGTTCAGAGCATCAAAAACGCCATCACCTCCAAGGCAGAAATAACATTACAACAGCCGGTGAGGCTGTTTGAGCTATCGCACTTTGCACCAACAGATAATGAAACTGTCCAAGATGTTGTCTCTAGCCTTAGTTCCTCCACATGTAGCCTGGATGTACTACCCACTAAATTTTTTAAGTCTGTTTTGAGCAGTCTTTTACCTTTGCTCACACAAATAGTGAACATGTCTTTCTCATCTGGAACATTTCCAATGGCCCTGAAAACGGCAGTCATCAGACCCCTCCTAAAAAAGAGGAGTCTAGATGCCACAGTTCTTAAGAATTATCGCCCCATTTCAAATCTGCCGTTTATGGGAAAAATTCTGGAAAAAGTTGCTTACCAACAACTTACAGAATTCTTAGTAACTAATAGTTCGTTTGATGCGCTCCAGTCCGGCTTTAGAGCCAATCACAGCACTGAGACTGCACTAGTGAAGGTTACAAATGACATCCGACTTAACACCGACACAGGAAAAGTCACAGTTTTAGTAATGTTGGATCTGAGTGCTGCGTTCGACACAGTCGACCACGAGATCCTCCTGCAGAGACTAGAGCACTGGGTGGGTGTCACTGGGACTGCCCTAAGTTGGTTTAGGTCTTACCTAGAAGACAGGAAATACTTGGTTCAGATAGGAAACTGTGTCTCAGATCATATGGCTCTGACCTGCGGAGTGCCACAGGGATCAATTCTGGGGCCTCTTCTGTTCAATATTTACATGCTGCCGTTAGGTCAGTTAATACGCTCCAACAATGTATCCTACCACAATTACGCTGATGACACTCAAATTTATGTCTCACTTACTGCAGGAGAACATGGACCAGTGGAATCACTCCTTCACTGTACTCAACAGATTAGTGATTGGATGCAAAATAACTTCCTTCAGCTAAACGCAGACAAAACAGAATTGATTGTCTTTGGTCCTCAGAAACAAAGAGAGAGCGTTATTCGTCACCTCCAGTCTCTCTCCCTGGAACCTGTAGGCAAGGTCAGAAACCTAGGAGTTATAATGGACTCAGACTTAAATTTTAACAGTCATATCAAATCAGTAACATCAGCAGCATTTTACCATCTGAAAAACATTGCCAAAATTAGAAACATAGTGTCTAAATCAGATCTGGAGATTCTCATCCATGCATTTGTCTCCAGTAGGTTAGACTACTGCAATGGCCTGCTCACAGGTCTCTCCAAACAGGCTGTAAAACAACTGCAGTATGTCCAAAATGCTGCAGCTCGAGTCCTGACCAGGACCAGGAAATATGACCACATTAGTCCAGTTCTCAGGTCTCTGCACTGGCTTCCTGTGGCTCAGAGAATAGACTTCAAAGCAGCACTGCTTGTGTACAAGTCTCTCCATGGCCTCGCACCAGGGTACTTAAGCGACTTGTTAGTCCCATATGAACCGACCCGGACTCTGAGGAGCACAGGAGGTAGCCTCTTACTGGTTCCAAGGGTCAGAACTAAACATGGGGAGGCAGCGTTTGAGATTTATGGAGCTAAAATCTGGAACAATCTTCCTGAAGATGTGAGGCTAGCATCTACTCTGGCAATTTTTAAATCGGGGCTAAAAACTGTTCTTTTTAGCTGTGCATACGGCTGAAGGATTCTATTGATACATACATACTCTTTTTTTTTTAATGCATTGTGGTTATTTATTATTTTAATCCCGTGTGTGCTTTTAATATTTTAAGTTTTTTTTTTTTTTTTTTTTTTTTTTTTTCCATTATTTGTGATTTTATTCTGTTTTTAATGTATTTATTGATGTCTCTGATTTGTGTGATACTATGTGGGTTGTGAGGCGCTTTGAGTGGCCTTGTGTTGGAAAGGCGCCATACAAATAAAGTTGATTGATTGAGTTGATTGAAAAAGAGTTTGGATATTATTTCTTACATATTGTATTTTTTCTATGAACAAAATAAGTTCAGCTGCTTGGATTGAAACAACACTGGACCAAAGGCCTGAAGGCTCAGCGCTGTAGACTGGGCTGAATCATGTTTAAATTCATTCATGTGTGTTTAGGGTTCAATGTTTATGATATGATGATTGATTTGTGATGATTTCTTCATAATATTAGCTTCAGAATGATGTATAACATGCCATATTAGACCAGACTCTCAGTGGGAGTCATACTGAACAGTGGAGTCCACTAGGAGGGCACAAAATTCCTTTGTTCACAATATGTTACTTCTATGAGACTCTTTCTTTCAGGAAAAACAAAATGTATTATTCATGAAAATAAAAGTTGGTGACTCAGCTTTAAGGCTAAATGCATTTAGAATACATTCGATTTTGCAAGGTCAGTAATGTTGCAATGATTGTTTTGAACTGTATTTCTGATTCTGTACATGTGAAAGACAGTTATTTTTCTGTTCATTATAGCTCATTCATTTTGTTCTACTTGCCATGTTACAATAGTGTGTTGGATATAATCATGTCATAATTATATGATTATATGTCATGATCGTTACAAAGTGTGATCTGCTGTGTCCAAAGTCTAATAAGGTTAATGTATCATTGATCCCAACATTTCATCCATGACACAGGGGTAGGGGGCAGAGGGCAGAAGCTATTTTGGGTCAACAAGGAAAAGTAGAATGCCTAAAGAAATCTATGCTAGCAGCAACATGCATGCTCTGCAAAGAAAGCCTCCCAGGAGTTGAACCCAGGACCTTGTACAGAGGTTATCCACGCAGCCAAAGTTAACTGATAACTGGAACTACATAAACGCCAATCGGGCTAAGCACAAAAATACATGTGAGAGATTTGAATTCTAATGGGAGTATTCACTTTTCACTGTTTCTACCAACCTTTCAAATATCTGTCGTATGATGAGGAAAGCCACTGCGATGGGGAGGGCCACCCACAGGTCCCGGGCTTTGGCATAAACACGTCCGTCTCTGTCCTCCAGGTCGGCCCAGCCCAAACCAACAGGGAACCAGAGCCGCTCCTGCCAGAACCACTCGCTGAGACCCCAAAACATCCTGGGAAAAAGACACATAAAGTCACACATGAAGATGAAGCACGAGCATTTTGAAGGTAGGAAGTCATATTTGCCACTGTTGGTGGGAAATTACAAAAAAAATCCATTCCAATTGATGAGAAATTGTAAAGTATCTCCACCATCTTGAACACAGCGTTTTAGTACAATATGAAGGATTGCCACTGTTATCATCTGAATATTGTTACCTCAAATATAGTGAGATAAACCAAATTAGTCTGACTGATATAATTCATTCTAGAGCTCTAGTTGCAACCCAACACTGGCATCCACGTGGTTTTAAACTGAGCTTTAAGTGCCCACTTGCAAACTAGTGTATTGATATATTTCTGCAATAACTCGGCTTAATGGGTTTCAGAATGAGTAATGGTGGATGTTTTCCATTTAAGCGTTTCACATTATTATTGTTCATTAGGCTCGTATTCATGCATCGTATTCAATTGAAGGAAAGATTGTAAACAGGACCATGATCTGATTTGATTTTTTTCTCTAGATGGTAAAAATAGAACATAATATGAGCACCATACCAAGGAAGTCACATAGCTAAGAGTCTCTGATCACGGTGAAAACATGTACAAGTAAAAAACACTTTGTTCTTTGTTGCATGAAACAGGAAACTGAAACCTATGAAGATGTTAGAATAATAATATGAATTACTGTTGGAGACATTGTCCAACTCAACAATCATCACTTTTTATTATACCTGTGGCTATGTCGATGATGTGTCTGTGTTTCCATCCACAAACAGATGCATTATGTAAATGTGAGTCTATTTGCCACACACGCATACACACAATTACTATTGCAACAACACAACATCTGAGAATGTATTAAGTACCCTTCTTCCGGATGACATCGCGACAGGGATTATAGAAAGTGGCGTCTTGGTTCAAGCCCTATCACCAGTTTCTTGATTTCGTGATCATAATCTTACATGATAATAAGCAGCATTTAAAATATAAACGACTACTTCTACAAGACAGACTGAAAATGTCTTCTGCAGTTTCTTAAGTGGAAATAATGAGGCCAGTTGGTAAAGTTTTCCAAAGACTTTGATTGTGTTTTGGCATATTAAATAGAGATGTTTGGTAACTCAGTGATGTCATTTACCAAACACTTTACTGGAACAGGATACGTTTTATCTCATGTGACATTGCTTTAGCTGCTTGTTCTAATCTAATAGCTTGCAATTTACATTACAAAATACAAGGTCCATTTTTACCGCAAAAATGCTTTCTTCACAAAGGCAATAAAAGATCTTTCAGAAATAAAAAAAATGTTCAAAACCATATTTCCAGCCAGTTTTTCCAGCACAATTCAGGTTTTTGCTGGAAATACACATGTTTAAACTTAGTTATTTCAAAAGACATGTCCGTATTTTGGCTAAAAGTTGCGTACAGTGTCTGTCTTTGCTGTGTGACCTTTTCAATAGGCAGTGGACGGCAGCTGCAGAGAGAGGGGTTTTCCTTGGAGACCTCTTGAATATTTGGACTCTATAGTTTAGGGAGTGGCTGGAAGCGTTTGGGGCTGTGGTGGAGAGAATCTGAGGGGAGTGACTCATGCACCATATGTCTCGTACAGTTCAGAGGGGGATGGAAATCACTCCCACTCATTTTCACAGAACACAAAATACACTTTATGAGTTGATTCTAGTCATATATTGTCATTATCATATTATTTTCAATGTTTTTTACTATAGTCACAGTCAAAGTGTACCTAAATTGAGATGCTTAAAGAAGACATAACATGTTGAAGGCAGCTGTGCAGTGATAATCAATAAGCACTTTCACATAGGTGCAAATCGGTGCACTATCACTTATGGAAGAGGACGGGAAAGACATCCTAAAAACAGCCATTAGCGGAAAGTCACATACAGAAATAAAACTACCCTGGACATACAGCCGCTAAAATGTCACTTTCAGTTTGATGTGTAGAGGGTCATAAGTGTTCACACGTTTAGTTGAGGAGGATAGTGGGTGATTTTTGGAGATGAACAAATTGAGAATCACTCTTGCTTTGCTAGTTTTGCTACACTCTGCAGACATGACTTAATGTTTGAGAAGTTAGACCACTGTTTACTGGATGCAAGCTGTTTCTCATTCCACTTCAGGATTCCCCTTTTCCTGCCCAGAGAAATGTGTTGCAGAATTCAGAAAAAAACTCTCCCATGTAATATTTGTTTGAGTTTCTATCAATTATGTCTGACAATATGAGTCAGGTCTGTCACAGTGATTTGTTTTCAGTGCCATAAAAACATGATATATAATGTGTCTATTTACGGTGTTGTCATGGGGATTTGAGAAGTTATACATTTTCTATATTAGGCAAAACAAATCAATAGATACAATACTTTTTTGTTGTTTCTGTTTCTGTAGAGGCAAAAGAATTATATCTCGGAGGACTTTACACAACTGTTGAATTTGCCAACACAGATCAGTGAATCAAACAGTTCAAGCACAAGAAATAAAATATGACACAATTCAAATAGTAAGGACTGTGTTACTTTGCATAGGAGATGTTTTTGCTTTTTGTGAATGTTCCACACCAGTTTTTTGGACAGCATTTTTGATTTTAGGTTTATGCCACAATTCATGATAGCTTATACAGATTACGGTTGTGATAAATGTCAATTTTTTAACTGTGTGCAGCTCATCACATTGTTTCACAGTATTTTACAAAGTGTGGATTATTATGCGTCACTGTGGAACGTTTTGCATTGCTGCCCAAAACATGGCAACCTCACTCCATGGTTACGAACATTTCCTCCACCCAGAGCTGTATAGAAGTCTTGAGACTCTTTTGACTTACTTTTTTAATTTGCTTGATGATAACTTAATGAGTGAAAAGAAATTTGTCTTGTATTTTCAAATATTTGGATTTGGTTCAAAGTGCAAAAGCAATATCTATTGGAAAAGTTATTTAAACTATCAAACTCAGGATTCAGTATTTTTTGATTATCCATTTGTTTTTGCTTTATCCATTGCGGGGGCAGCAATCTAAGTAAAGCTGTCCAGACCTCCCTCTCCATACATCCTCCAGCTCATCTGGGTTCCCCTGTGGCGTTCCCAGGCCAGCTAAGACATCGTCCCATCAGTTGTCCTGGGTCTTCCCTGGGGCCGCCTCCACAGCTGCCTGCAGTGGGTGACTTGGGAATGTCCTTAGTTCCATTCCATTGCCAAAACGGGCCTTTCTGAGTGGAGTTTGCATATTCTTGCTGTGTCTACTTAGGTTTCCTCCATGTGCTCCGGTTTATCCTTCTACTAAAATGTGTACACGTATGTGAATGTGTAAGTGTGACACATGCAAATTAGTCCAAGGCTAAAAACCAAACAGAAGTGTTCATTAATGCATTGTCCCAACAAAATAGAAAATAAAACCTCTCCCCAAGTTTTTTTAAATTTAGTTCTCTTTCAATTACTTGCGACTGTGGAAAGAACTCGTCAAACTAGTAACGTTTAATAGTCAAAATACATGAATCTGAACACTAATGTCATTTCTTAAATCATTATATTGTTTTGCAGCAGCAATTTGCAGTTGATGAAAGACTTTACAAGAGCTACATAAGTTTAGAAATGTGAAGAAGAATAAGTCGTAGTTAGTCATAGATATTGTTGTCAAGACGTATTTCAATCTTGCAACACAGTTCTATGCAACAGGGATTTTGTAATCACATTTGGATCAAAGGCAAATAAAGTGAGTAAAGAATCTTATGTTATGTGTACGCATGTATTATGTTACTTTGATAAGATAAGATTAACCTTTATTCGTCTCACAGTGGAGAAATGTCAGTGTCATTGTTGCGCACATGTGAGAATGCTTCAATGTGGCCAAACAATGTAACAACTGAATAAAACGACTTTTATGACAGAAAAACTGAAAGAGAATGTTTTGTCTGATTTGTAAGGATGATCCCTGACAGGTTCAGATCAAATGTTTTTTTCCGGATCCACAGGAGAACAAGCAGGATTTGATCTTTGTGAGTGAGAGCAAAGTCACGGCCAAATTTAGAAACAACTTTGAGGAAAAAAAAAAAAAAACCTTCTTGGGTTATTTTGAGCCGTTTGGAACACACCTCCAGCACATAACATTTTGTCCTTTTTTGTTTTTAATGATAATAAAGTTTACAAAGTCCTTTGACTATAAGGGGAAAAAAGCCTTCTCAAACTCATTATTTGTGGGTCATTTAGAGCTTTTTGGAACACACCTCCAGCACATACTTTTTATAATCTTTGGTAATCTTTTTAATTAGGTTACAGGCAAGACTAATATTGTTGTTTTAGGGCTGACCAAGGAAACCAAGGTCTATAAACACATCCCTGGTGTGGCAAAACTCTTAAAATACAGTGCTCACTCATTTTCTCATTTTAGCAGTTTTCTCATGTATCATTTAAATACATAAAAAATGGGTTGACTAATATATAATTTGGTCGACTATAATGCCATCAACTGATTAATCAACAAACACATACTAACAACCCTATGTGTAACTGACCTATTCGTTAGGTTTTCGACTTTGAAAAATGATCTGCCAATCGAACAAGATACAATTATTTCAATCAAGTAAATTATCTTGTTTAACTTGAATTAAGAAAATCACCCACTAATCTCCTGTACCCCGCCCCCAAACCCATACCAAAAAGAGATTCTGAAAACCTAGTGGGACTTTCCTAACTGAATGTTGATTAGTTTACAGTAGATGGATAGACTACAATGGATTCAGATTTTTTGTTTTCACTTCTAATATGTACCACTTGAGGATTTATCACTAAAGAGAGGGTCAGGATGAGATTTTTTTTGGGGCGTCCCTGTCAGAGAGGTATGAGGAGCACTAAATGACAGCGTGGTGAGACATGCAGAGTGGGGGGTCTGAGTCGCGGCTGACTGAACACTGCTTTTCCACATCACGTTAGTCATGGCTTCTGTTTCCTGTTACAACAGCACAACCCACAGAGCTTTTCCACTGCACACACAACTGCAACTATAGCCGGATTTTTGGGAACCTCAAGATATAACACACTGTTAGTATCAAATATGACAAAGGATTCATATATCTGGATTTTGGTGTCAATGGAGTCAATGGAGAAAAATATATGTGCTTGCCTGAAATAAAAAAATACATTGAAACTTAGGCTAAATATTTGATTCTGTTGTATTGGCTCTTTTAACTTTATATTTTTAATATCAATTTGACGTTGTTATGTTTTGTGTGAGTGACTGTGTCTTCAAGATGAGTTTGTCTGAATCTAATGTATCCCTCCTATTTCCAATCAAAGCAAACAATCTAAGACGGATCAAGAACAGTTTGAACTCCAGACACACATATCAAATATTGTGTGTAAAAAAAAAAAAGGTTAATAGGGGATTTTATATGCAGCCTATTCCAGCTGCACCTTCTTGGCTTCACAGGTCCCTGAATCTAATTTTCCTTGCCATTTTCCCCAGCTGTAAAAGGGAAATGGTCAAAACCCAAGATCGAGTTCATTCTATCAGACCCTTATCCCCAGACACCAGCTGTACCCTCCTTTACATTTACCACTTGATCTCTCTCAGCACAGAGATTGTTCCCACTTGTAATCAGAACAAATGAGTCATCAGAAGCTTCAAAGGCCAAAACGACAGCGTCTTAAAGAACACTCCAAGCAGAATCAATTTGAATTCTTTTATCCATCTTTTGTTTTTTGAGAAGCAAGAAATGTAAAATGAACTTTATGAACAAGGAAATATGGCATCAGTAAACCTTTTCATTCAGTGACATAAAGTTCACTCAGTAGTCTTACCAACTAACGTACTTTTCTATGCATTCAACATAACAACAATTGGGGTTAAAACTATGATTTATAACTCTGAGGAGATAACTGTAGCTGAAATCATGGAATGAACATTGAAGCAGCATTTTTTTCCCTGTCTACTCTTTCTATTGGTCGGTGGGATCATATGACCAAACTCTGACCATTTCAAAGCTCCAATAAAAGTCCTGGACGGCTCTCGGTGAGGGGAGGGGCTGGAAGTGCCTCATGTGTCTGGACGTAATGCAGTCCTGATTGTAAACAGCCCTCCAGTTGAGTCTGGCATCGCACCCCTCCAGCTGTTTTTCATATCCACAAGTTGCAAAACTGGGAAGATCCTTCAGAGCAGAGAGGATGCTGGTACAGAGCCCGGGAATGTTTGGGGAATGTAAACACAGCTACACTACTGACATCTGCCCTGTTCATCTTTGATATTAACAGCACAAATTCAGAAGTGCTGTTTCAGTGCTGGTGAAGAATCATGTTTGCTCTTTTGGAGGCTATTTGATTATAATGTCTCTCTCCAAAAACACACATGTAAGAGAGAGGGAAGTGCACTGGTCACTTTCTCTCTCGTAAATCCGCTTACATCTAATTATCCATCGCAAGCACTTAAAGGATATGGTATTGTCTGTACATACAAGCCCACCCTGTTTCACTTCCCTGCCAGAAACACACACAATGCTACACTCTCGAGGCAGGGTCTATCTATTAATCAGGGACACACAACCTCTTCCTCTAATCACATCTCAATTATTACAAAAAACAGTAATGACCTGGGACCTTTGAGGATATTTTTGGACACTATTTTTGTTATTTTTGCAATTTGATGTTCGAACTGTTTGATTCTCTGACCTATGTTGGAAAAAACTGTGTAAAGTCCTCCGAGATGACTGCTGTTGTTATTTAGGGCTATACAAAAATACATTTAAATGAATAGAACCATATACCTTTATCATACATTGCCAGAAAAGCAGTAAGATCTCCATGACAACAAAGACATCAATCTACAAAAAATATTATAATGTGCAGAAGTGTTTGTGACTTTTGCTGTGAGTCTTTCTACCCTCTGCTACTGTTTATTAACTTGTATCCTGTATCAGGCTCTATTGACAGACTTGAAACTATAGGGTCCATGTTTGTGTATTTAGGACAGCTGTTAGGATACGGCCTTGTCAACACTTAGGCTAATTACCACTTACCCTGATAGTTATCTGCAAACAAACTCTGGAGCAATCGTTTACGGCTAACGTGATAAAATGTGATCCATTATCAATAACTTATCAGAGTCTGCATACCGTTATAATCAAGTTTAACTCTCTTTATGTATATATACATTTTTAGGGGTATTATTTGTATAGCCTTGATTATGGACACACGACTACAGAATTCTATGGTTAGAATTTGATCAACAATATTACCCATTTATTAATTTTGAAACACAGTATTTGTGTTTTGAATGCAGCAGGCTATTTTTAAAGCTGGGGTAACAAACTTTTCCCATAAATAATGCATGTTGTTTGTTCCAACAGACAGAGACTCGAAAAGTAAAATCTTGGGAACAAATCAGACCACCGCATGCTGTCTTACTCTTCGTAATTGTTTGCAGGCCATTATTTGATGCTTTGTGCAGTGAGCTGATTGGCTGAATAAGAATAGTCCTCTCTTCTGTTTCACTTCTGTCTGAAAAAGCAGATCTTAAGATATGACAAAGGCCAAAAACCAACCTGTTTAGAGAGTGAGGTACGAGTTGGATTAGTTTTTTTTATAATATCATAAAATTATTATTATTGTTTGATAACCCAGCGTTTATCTCACGAATACATTGATTTACTTCGGTTGATCTTTTGATGCAATAATGCAAAGAAAAATCCATCAACCAAAATAGGATTGGGCTCTATGTCAAGGTAAGCCAATCTATCTACTTTTTTACACATATTTTTAGTATTATTGTACACATTTCCTATTAGAAGGATCCCTGAATATCACATGTTGTGGCGTTAATAAATGTCGCTATAGATCGATAGTCAACAGACCTGAGAGGCACCAGCTTGTCGCCTTGATGACCCTAATCCTAAAGCATTGACAAATTTGTGTATGGTGCTTATTTACTCTCCACCAGAAATACTTAGTTCATAGTTCACTAAATTATTCTCTCATATTAAACAAACATGATGCAATATACTTTAAGTTGATACTTGCTGAACAACTCGCTTTTGCGCTAGTTTTAGGACAAAATACTGCATATTTGAATAATGTTATCAAGCTGTTTATTTTTGTCAATATCGCCCACACACCCTCCATTATTTGGGTTGTAGGGCCTTGTGCACAGTGGCATACTATCTCCACACTCATTAGTCATAACTCAGGTCACACCATGGACGTTTAGAGCATCCCAGTGGTGACTCATTCAAATCCCTTACATTTTAGACATTCCTGGACCTCGTGCTCCCACAGCTACGGGCTATCTTTACCCATCAAACACACAGACCTAGTCCTGAGCTACACACGGCACCTCCTCAGATGCATTATCCAAAAACCTCTCAGCCTCCATGAATTATTGATGTGAACTTTCAATCAGTGATCAGTGGTTTGACGAGGCTGGTGTAGCAGGAGGTTGTCATGTCTCTTCAGTAATGATTAAATGCCCCATTTTGAGAGAGTGGTTTCCTTCCATGGGGCAATTACACTGGCTCCAGGGAGTCCCCCTTCTTCCTTCTATTGAGACAGATGGACACAGATATAGGACCAAGGCTATTACTCAACAACTGCTGGCATCGAGTTTGAAATCTCCCTTATACTTCTATGCATATTCTTCCATTGCTTATGCAGTTCAGATTTCAGATTTTAAGTTTATACTCCATTTTTTTAAACAAAAAATAGAAGGTTGAGCCTGCCTTCTCTCTGTGTTTCACAATAAAAAACATAACAAATTAATAATAAAATTGCAGTGTCAGCACATTTGTTATTACTCACTTCTCTTCCTGGTATTGAGACTCTCCATTTGATTTTCAACCCAGAAAGAACATGTTGTGGAATTCGAGTCCATCAACTTCCCAGCGTCATGGACAATAGTAACCCCAACATAAACTCATTGTATCAGCACCATATCTTTATCGATAATTCATTCTCATTATCAAATGGGTCAAGTCGACTCGTGGAGGTTGTAAAATGACGCTACCGTGGCCTATCAAACACAAGTTATAGAGCTGTTAACAAATTATCATATAACGTGTTCACAGTGTTGATTAGTGATAGCTTTGGGATCCTGGTGCGACTTTGCTTACCCTACATACGCTTGATAGGATGATGAATCTACTTTGTAACTTTTGCGCTGCAATAGCCTCATATAACCCGGGTTTCTTTTTAGTTTGTGAAGTTTAAAACGCCAGAGCGCCTCGCCATTCTTTCATTAGGCATTTCCCGTGTGCGTGCTGACGTATGCGCTCAGACAGGATGCAGTGTGCGCCCTACACACACAGAGACGTTCTTTTTTTATCAATATGAAAGTTAAATTGTACTTACTTCAATTTGTATCCTCTGCCTCACGATATTTGATACAGGCCTATTTGTGGCACTTTCCCCCCCGAATCCGTTACAGTCTCTTCTTGGCCAAAACTAGCGGTCCGCCTACATGTGCGCACAAGGGCGAAGTCTACCCAAGTTTAGACTACCCACGCTGCTTTTTACATCTCCCCATTTTGAGTGCGACGTTATTCTCTTTATAAGGTGGCGGGAAAAACACGAATACACAAAAACAAAAACAAAAACACGCTTTGAAGTCGTTCCGATAATGGCAAATAGACTGGCGGAGCTCGCTTCGCCGCTGTCCCGAGCAGATGTGGTCCTTTCTCAGGGGTCTGTGGGGTTATGGCCCCGCGTCGCGTTCCAGGGAGTCAGCGGGGAGCGTCTGCGTGTGCGTGTGGGTTTGCGTGTGTGAGTGTGTGTGTGTGTGTGTGTGTGTGGCCCGGGACAGAGGCAGAGGGGTCGAGCGGACAACAGCAGCAGGCACAGCGCGGAGAGAGGGAGGAGTGAAGGAATAACGGAGAGGGAGGGATTCGGAGTGACGCACGACCACATGAGGAGGCATTTTGGCACACACGCGCATGTACAGTACACATTCGCTTCAAGCTATGGGGTGCCCCACTTGTAAACCACAAAACATGGAACTAAATGTAAATGTGGTACGTCTGACTATACTCATGGCTTAATAACTGGTCTGTTCTATGGTCCTTCTAGTTTTCACATGTGCTTTTTGGATCAGCTTTTTCCAGAAAAGAGGACCACTCTCACTGGATAATGTGTGGAATAGCGACTTACAGGTCTCTTTCTTACAAGTTTGCCAAAAAATAAAATAGAAATAAACATGTTTCCCAATAAGAGGAAGACAGCATTTTGTGGTCTGGTTTGTTCACAACATTTTACTTTTACTAGTCTCTTTCTGTTGAAATACATAACATATATTGGGCCTATGAACAGTTACTTGTGGTAATTTTGTAACCAACCAAAAAGCTCATCGCATTTTTATCCAGCCCACAAGACAATTTCCAGTGGCCCATAACATTATTTTCAATTATTATCATTAACTTGCAACATTGATGATTATGAGCCACCAAGGCATGTTATACATCATCTATTTTATCTGGAAACAACTACATTTAATTTTTTTCTAAAACTTTAACCCAACACATCAATAGAAGTTAAATAGTTAAATTTAAAACAATGTGTTTGACTTTATCTATTTGGTCCAGTTTTGGTTAAATTAAAACAATAAACACATTTTGGTTTCAGAAAAATCAACCAGCTGACACATTCATTAATAATGTAAAAAACAATTATAACATAAGGACATTTTAGCCCCCGACCAGTTCCTATTATTTTATTTAGCCCCTGACCAAAATGTTTGACACCCCTGTGCTAAAGTATACAGGCTTTAACTTTTACATGTACACTTTTTGTATCACTTTGTTTCTTTACTGGGCCAGAGATGTATTTATCTATTCATGTTGTTTGTGTTATACTCAATTCAATCTGAAGAGACCAAGACAGAAACGGGGTCAAGCACTGGTGGTGGCTAGAAGCATGGTGTGAATGAGGCGCAGGTGGAGCAGGAGCCAGAGCAGGAGCCGGAGCCAGGGCAGGAACCAGAGCGGAAACCCGAGTATAGGAACCAGGAGCTGAGGAGGCGCTGGGTGTTAAGAGCTTCAGGAAGGGCTTTTTATCGGGGAGTGGCAACTGCCCGCTTTGCTGTCAGTGTTGTCAAGGGGCTGGCAGCGCTGTTCGATTGGCAGGCCCTGGACAGGTGAGAGCCGTGGCCGGTCTTTCAGTCTGAATTTGCACTTTCAGCTTCATTATTCATTATCTTGTGTCGTGCGCTCCACGTTCCTGCCGTTCCGAAACTTGTGATGCAACACTGAAATTTCCCTGCTGTGCGACAAATAAAGGATCTCTTAATCTACTTAAAGCTGGGATACGTCGACCCAATTTTCCAACTACAAATATTGAAATTATGTAACAAAATCCTTCTAACTGGATCTCTAAAACGTTTTCACAAGCTTTCAGATTCTTGTTTTTGCCTCTGTCACATCTTGAGATCTGCTTTTTCAGATGTAAAAGTGAGAAGTACAGGACCACCCTCTCTCAGCCAATCAGCTCTAAGCCCTAAGCGTGGGTCTTCTGCAAAAGCCAAACATGTTTTCTAATAAGATGCATCTGTTAACAACAGCTTTAAGCTTGAGCACGTTTTTGTTTTACCTGGAATGTTCCACAGTATGGCATTACACTTTTGCATCTGTAACACTTAAAGCTGGGGTATCTAACTTTTGTCATATCATGTCAGACCTATGGAATTCAAGTTTCTGAGCAGTAAACACATCTGCAGATACTTATTAAAATAATACATACATTGTAATTCCTCAATGACAAGAGTCAGACAGAAAGAGGTTCTCAAAAATAATATTATGTAAAATTCTAAAATCAAAATATTGCAGCCAGTTAATTAACGCAGTGATCGTTTAAAATACATTTTAATGGACCAAATGACGTCTCCAAAGCAGCAGGTAAAGCGGACGCCATGAGAACATCTTTAAAGCAAATTAGTTCACAAGCAGAGATTTCTCGTTTACTTGTGTCTTTGTTTTTCCATCCACATGTTTACAGCCATCAGTCTTGCATGATTGCCCCACGGGGAAACGCGCCGTGACCTTAGACCGCGTGAAAAAGCACGCGAGGCCATATAAAGATCTAACAAAGTATACTGCAGCGTGATAAGTAGTGTTGGCCTTTTAACTTAGCAGACATGCCCACACAAGTAAATAATTCAAATAAACGATAAATTATTAAAGAGCCATAAGGCAGAGCTGCGGGCGCGTCGAAAGCTCTGCGGTGTCACAAACTCTTATTGACCACAATTAGAGGTAAGACAGAATATATGTTTTAAAATAACGGAAATTACCTATGTAAAGTTGTTCAAGAGTAAGGGTGAGTTATAACAAATATGTTTCCAGAGAAAAAACAAATAAAACATATCTAATGTAGCCTACTCCCAATGTGCAGATAAGACGGCTGACGCCATCTCCTGGACATTAAAAGCATTGCATAGCTGCTGGACATCAATCAGGAGAACAACGTTTAGCATGATACTTTTTATTTTAACTTAAAAACAGAGTGGATCAAAAACAGGATTCAATAAATTAGAAATAAATATAATTGTTGTAATAATTAATACATACATTATAATTCCTCAATGGCAAGAGTTTGACAGAAACAGGCTCTCAAAATGTTATTACTATAAAATTCTAAAATCAAAATATTGCAGCCTGTTCAAAATCCCTCCTTCCAATGAACAAATAATTCATAAATTAGAAAATAAATAAAAAATAGTTCAAATATTAAAAGCTCCCGAATAAAAGTGCTGCCCCCCACCCCCACATTTTACCTAAAATCTAAGTAGAAATTTAAAATAGGTTAGTGATTTATCACTTTACAATTCGGAATGTAAATATCCTTTTATGAGGATGATGGCGATTTGTCTTGACTTGTAGTAGTAGCAGTCGTAGTATCAATAATAATAATAATAAATAATAATGATAATAATGAAGTGTCTGTTCAGTGTTTATCTAAACTCGTATTATTTTTGCTTTTCTAGTGTTGATTTTAAATGCTGCTCTTTGTAAACTAAATTATTTACAGATCTCCTTTCCCAAGTCTTTCTAACCTACACTTGTAGTTGCATTTTTTGTTTTTATTTTTTTTTGCTATTTTTTATTTTAACTATGAAACATCGGTCCCTCTATATTTGTCCTGTAATAGACATAGTATAGACAAGTGTTTTTTTTTTTTTTGAGCGATACATCAGCAGTTTTCATCCGTACCTCTTTTTTTTCTTTTTACAAACCATATTGTAACTTGGCAAATTGCACTCTTATGGTGAAAGCTCATACTGGGCAGTTGGTATAAGTTTTTGAAGAGTATGTATCTCGCGTCTATGTCGGCAAGTGGTGTTTTGTGCACGTTATATGTACATTTGTTTCTATTGGTCCGTTCACCGATGGCTTGAGCATGGGGCGTGCCGTTAGCTTCTCCTATGCTCTAAAGAAGCAGGCAGTCGGAAAGCACAATGAACCCTGGATTCCTCCTCCTTTCTTCTCCGAAACGTCTCCGAAATGTGTCCGTAAAGTCCCCAAAATGTCCCCTGTGAATGAGACGGGACAGAGGGAGGAGCGTAAACAGGGGAAAGGACAAGAGAAAGGACACATTAGAATATGCACTGCAAAAAGGGAATAAGGCATGCGTTGAAATAACTTGAATTCAGAAACTTTGATTTGTTTTGAAATAATTTTGACCATAAACTTACATTTATTCATCAATGGGATCATTATCACATTAGTTAAGTTCATTGTATTTCAATCTGAATGACTCTACTTTGTTACTGCAAAAACAAGTTAAAATGCGCTTGGAGAAAGCTGGTATCTTGAGTTGGGTATATGATGAAAAATTTCCAATAGAACAAGCATGGAATGTCTTATTTTACACACGTCTAAAAAAAAAAAAAATTCTTACTTGGAATGAGATTTATACAAATAACAATATATATATAAAATATTTTATATTTTATACAAAATAACAAAAAAAAGACCAACACTTCTTGTTCCATCGGCAAATCAGTCAAAATGTACTCAAATACAGATATATTTTCCCTCATTCAATAATTCAAATAATGAGCATTTTTTAGCAGTGTAGAGCAATAAGTCATGCTCCCATTCTGTTGTCAAATATATTTTTTCAAAGGCGATTGGTGAAACGGATCTCTGTCCTCTTTCTTCGACCCACATTTCAGTGCTGCTGGTGCAACCTGGTGCAACCGCTGCATGACGTCTGGGGACCTTGTGAGTGAGGAGCACTTCGTCCTGGGATTGGATTTTTGTTGTTGCATATTTGAGGCTAGCGTATTTAAAACCACCTCAGGCAGAGAGAGAACATGCAAATTCCACTTAGAGGCACAAAGAACTGTACAGCGGGTCTTATTGTTGTGAGGTGAGGTGCTTTGTCTATGAAATGATAATAATAGCAAAACACATTAAGAACAAGTGTAAAACTAGGGTATTTCAAAACAAATGATGTCCTAATTTGAGGTCATTTTAACTCATGGAGACAATTCTTTTTGCATGTTTATTTACATTATGTATATTTATCCAGTCATGCCCCCACATTGAATGCCCTGAAACACCGTCACCATTTTAGAAGCACCTCTCAAACATTACTTTTATTGAATTTGAATTTGAATCTAAGTATTATTATTGAAAAAACAGGTTGCTGGACCAAAGTACGAGTGTGGACCCCTGGACCATGCACCGCTCCTGTGACAGTAGTCTGTAACTGGAGTGCTGACAGCAGAGATAGCGTTTTGAGCTCCTAGATTAGCATTTATAGCTGTGTTCCTCGTAAAACTGCAAGCAGACACCACCACAACATGCATTTCTTCTCACATTTGCAGTATAGAAATTCTGGGTGACTCTTTTAACATTCAAGAAATACAAGCGTAATAATAATAAGTGAATGTTTTGAAATTGGGAATGGTTTACAATAAAAAACATGGCACAAGAAGTATAAGGTTCTTTCAAGGCCAAGACGCATATTTAATTATTGTTACATGTTTAAAAATGTCGTCTCTTTCTCCCAGAATTCCTATTGTTGAAGGCTGTTCCCTAATAAGCAAGAAGCACGAGTTGTTTTCCACCATGACATACCCTTTACCTTTAAATCACAGAGAGGTTAGACAGAGGAGGGCACAATGGCGAAAGGCAATTAATTTATCTGGGATAAGTGGAACAACATAAGGGCAGCAGCAGACTGAAGCATGGGACTATAGGAAGGAAGTCTATAGTGCAGAAGGCATTTTCACAAAGCAGTGACACGAAGATGAAGAAATAGCAGTAAAAATAGAACAAGCGACCCATCTGCTTGTCAATGTCCAGCTCATTATATCCAGGTAACTGCAACATGTATAAAAGACCGGAGGAATCCACATTTGTGCGAATTTAACACTGTTTTATTGTCATGACAAAGTCGTGTTTATCTTGGCTCGCACATTTCTGCTTCCCGCTTTCACTCCTTCCCCTCACAGCTCTACTCCTTTGCTGCTTTACCCCGAAACCTTGTCATTCTTTTATAATCTTTGAGAAAGACTCTCCCTGAGTTAATATATATCTTGCACAGTTTTTTTTATTTTTACTAAGCAGTAGTAGATAATGTTAGTTTGCATTTTGAGTAGGGATGCACAGATCCTGCTTTTTCACGTTCAAAACCAATCCATACTTCGGCTTTCAATGTAATTTGATATGAAAATAGCTATTAAATCACAGTTAATTTATTACAAAATCAGTCCATGTGTAATTTATCTTGACATCTTCGTAACAGTAAGCTTCTACGATATTGGCATTGAACCTTAGAACCGATACCTGGTGCAACACATTTTCCAATATATGCAGCAATATCTGATACCAGTAGCCTAATATATCAGTGCATCCCTACATTACAGCGAGGGATTTGACCTGCACATTATTCTACATATCTGATTGTAATTGATACAACAGGAAAGGCCAAGACTAATGTCCAAAATATATTTAATGAAGACATAAATTATTACTGATTTTATCCAATTGACTTTTACTGCTTTGGTTTATTGCATTACGTTGTGTTCAACTTGAGGATATTACATTATTTTATGTGTACTCTGTGTTTTCTTTGACTCTACGGTCCTGTTTCTCATTAGACTCTCTTCATCCACGCAGACATCAGAACAACAGGGACACAGCAGCGCTTGTATTACACACTACAGTGTAACAGACACACACACAGATGTCCACTACTTTACCCAAAAACAGTCGTTTCAAATCATAATGACACCAAACAGAACACTACAACGACTGATCAAAAACAAAACTCCAGAAAAACTCTGCAGATTACTTCAAAATTGATCATTTACTGTGCATGAGTTAAGAGAATTAAGGATTTAAAGATCATTTGAATCAGATAAAAGTCCCGACTGTAGACAGTTATTGATCAGTGTGTGCACGGGTCGATACAAAAGAAAGTCACAATGCACCAAACACAGTTGTGGTCACTACGGCAACAGGACATGCAGGTCAACATGGCGGGTTGCTGAGGTGACCAAGAGCAACCAACACAGGCAATCAATCGTCACGGCAACCCAAAAAACACAGGCCAACCAATCAACTTACAACACCGTGAGAGGAAGGGTCAGAGCTTATCATAGCCAGCGTCCTCAAGAAATATGATTGGACGGGAGGGTCTTGGGTGTCAGAAAAAAAGATGAAAACAGGAGGAAAGAAAATAAATAAGTTTGATAGATTCAGCTTCAAATGAAAAGAGCTCATTCCTGGGACTATAGAGCTCGGGATGGGACCCTTACCATGGAGTGAACAGCACTGGTACACTGCCTGGTCACTTCTGGTAAATGCATGTATAACTGCTCTATTGTGAATGAACGCGCAGTAAAAATACGTTCTAAAAAAAGGCCAAATCTGAAAGAAGCATGACATCACAATCCCAAGCTCTATAGCTGCTAAGATTCTTCTGAACTGTAAAAAAAAATTGATAAATGAATGTGAAGGAATTTTCTATATTTCTTGAATTTAATTTGTTCAAATCGCGGCAATAATGTATACACCTTATCACAACTCAGGCACAACACTGTAATAATGTGTAATGTAGCTCGTAAAATAAAGTGCAAATTTCTTACATAAAATATGTCAGCTTGAAATCAGGAGCTCAAACCAGACAGAAAACCTGACACAAGTTAATGTATCTATTGTATATCCATGTATGTAGTCATTTTTGCAGTGTATGCTAATGTCTCGATCATAACTGGAACATTCCTCTGCTGTGGTGTGTCCTTTTTTCTCACTCATTGCTTTTTTCCCTCATAATACATGTCTTTCTCCATCATAAAATCCGCCCCATATTCACGTTTAATGCTCATACCTCAAATCATCTCCTCAAATCATCTCCAGTGGGGTTGACTCAGTAGGGGCGGTTGGCGTCTTTGGGCCTTTTCAACTGAACTTTAAGTCTCTTCATCCCGATCTGGAAGCCGTTCATGGCCTGGATCGCAGCCTGAGCACTGGCGGGGTTGTCAAAACTTACAAATCCTGGAAAACACAATGGAGGATTGTGGTTAGGTGAAAGTCACAATGAGTGAAAGCGAATACATCCCTGAAAAATACGTAAATTAAGAATATTGAGGTGAGATGAAATACAGAGCTTGTATTGATATCTGTGTAGGTATAATTAGGAGAATTAGATAAATCAATTAAACATGAGACAAAAAATATACATGATAAACGTTTTATATCATCATTATTATTAGTCAAATTCTTAGATCACAAGCAGACCACGACATGCTGTTTTTTTCTAATTAGAAAACATTTCATATTTTGCAGACTTGTGAGCCAATATTTGATCATTTGGGCTGAGTGATAGAAATCCTTAAATATTTACTTTTCCGTCAACTTTTTTGAGAGTGAAGAAATATAATTAGACAAATTGTGAATAAATAGTTACTTGATTTGTGGTGTGAAAGATAGGTACTCCAGTTTTAATGCTAGTTTCGAAAATTTAGGCGAGGTATGACATTAAAAGGATATTAATTATAATAACCGCATGTGTCTATATAAACTTGAAACATATTGTTAGGTATTGAAAGGAACAAATCTTATAATAATTTGGTTACATATTAAGAAAACCACCTATCAAAAAAGATTGTTAATTGTATTTACTGCATCGTAATTTTCAGATTTTAAATATATGTGAATTATCCATCCGTCCAATGTCAAACCCAGTGCTGTGTTGAAGTCGTGTTGACACTAATGAAGATCACGTTTTACAGTGTGGGCTACAACAATCAATCTCTGCAGCGTGACCCTCCCTGGATACGAATCATTAAACCAGAGCAACAAAAACAAGGGCTGTCTGTCGGAGTCTGTCGGAGTATGCAAATAAAGGTGGCAGTGTTTTTTGTCCTTTAAACGCCCCTTCCCTCCCACTCTTCCCCTACATTTGTCCTCATCTCCATCTGACACACCTGTCCTACCCGCCCCCCCCACTCCTTCTCACTGCAAAAAAATAAATATATATAAAAGAGCCTTGAAGCTGTTTTGATCTTCATTTTTGAGTATAATGTAAACAAACATCTCAAAACAAGAAATACCAAAGGAACAAGAATATACTGTAAATGTCTTGTTTTGCTCACTAAACAAATGGGATGACAAATATATTTTGAATAGATTTCCGTTGATATCTATACTTTTTCTCACACTGTACATGGGCGTTCTTCAGCTCTATTGGCAGCCACATCATCATTATCCATCCTCTAAATGTAAAAAATGAACTGCATAACTTTTCAGATGGGGTCTGTCACCTGCTTGATGCCAATGAGAGGTTATGGCTGAAGCTTGTGCAATGTTAAATTACATGTGTCTTTTGCTATAAAACTGAATTTTAACACTGAACGTACTCACCACTCCAAAGATATAACTTGGTGATGACTATAGATGGACCAGTTTAATGTGATATTGACGAATATTCGAACGCCTTGAGCAAGTTTTCAATGAAGAGAAAAAGATCCAAAAGCAATTATCCAATCTGGTTGAATTTACTCTATTGTAAAATTACAATGGAAACGTGGTCCTGTAGCACTACTGTTGTAACTTAGGGTGCATTCACATCCAATTGAAGTGACCTCACATCCACTTGGGAGTAAGGACTTGAGACTTAGTGCGGTTCACTTTAACTGCATCAATTTTGGTTAAAGCTAAAAATCTTTATTATCAAGAGAATTATATGTCCTAGATCTGCTATAGGTTTACATATTTTGAAACAGAAGCATTTTTCCCACAAGAGAACCAGACTTGGTCCAGTTAAAGTGAACCAGACTAACACATGTGAACGCACCCTAATTCTGGGTTAATTCTCCATCATTTGTGAAGTTATGAATGCACCAAACCATTTATATGGACAATAACAAGTGGTGGATGGGCCCACAAAGATAACCATACGTTTTTAACATGTTTTCCACATGATAGTATTATCAATTGGTGAAAATACTGTGCTAAAATAGTAATATAGCTGCTTCTTCAAGACAGTGGGAACACATTGAAATCAAAACGAACATTGCTAAAAAAACAAAATCAAGAAAATATAATCCTTTTCTCAATGCGCTCTGGCAATCGTGTCTCACCGAAGCATTTGCTCTGATTTGTGGCGCGGTCCACAAAGACTTTGGCGGAGATGACATTGCCGAAGGGGAGGAACATTTGCAGCATCTCAGAGTCGCTGAACTCCTGGGGCAGGTGGTAGATGAAGATGTTACAACCCTCTGGACCTAGAACACACACAGGAGCACATGCATCACCAAACAGCCCACACACTGTGAGGGAGGAGGGGTGAAAACATGGTACTGTGGGAGAGGAGGTGTAGATGGGATTATTCCTCATTCCTTTGTGATTATTTATGATTTTAATACCTTGTGTGACTGTGTCTATCTCGTTTTGTTCAGCACTTTTGAGTTGCATGTGTGAATTCTGAAAACAAGTCGATGGCCAGAACAAAATACTGTATATATAAGATAGGAGAGGCTTTATTTGCTCCGCAGTAGGGAAGGTTCAGTGTTACAGCTCAAAGGTAAGATGTGTGTGTGTGTGTAAGCGTGTGTGTGTGTATAGGTGAGGTTGATTACATGGACTTTATTAATCTCAAAGGAAATTAAAAGTCAACTATTAAGTATTCAAAAAGAAATGTTGTGCTTCAGTCTGCTTTACTATGGTACAGCTATTCCCTCTGTTAATAATTGTAGGGGGTCATGTAATCACCAGGGTGTGCTTGTTTGTCATTTTGTTAGTTTTGCAATCTAACTCAAAACGTTTTAAGTTATGTTTACAAAATTTCTGGATCCAGGAATTTGTTGAAAGAACTGAACTTCAAAATCTTAATACTGAAATTATGTAATAAAAAGAGATCCGTGTCCAGTCCTGCTGAACCCCATTAAACCCGTGATCATATCAAAGCCCCCACAGGCACCAATCGCATCGCAGAAAAACTACTGTCAAATCATCCGTGTGTTAAAGATAAGGAAAAGGAAATTCCTCAACAAACTCAGTAAAAGCAGTGGGCGTGTCACGATGGCCAGAGCCTCCAGGGAATACAAATTGTGTTTTAGCTTCAGAAGAAAAATGCATGATTCATTCTAAAAAAACAGCTTTGAGAAAGCATGTCATTTTTGGATGATAGTAGGTCACCTTTAAGTTTATGGCTAATGACAGAATGCATTTGATCATTCTCTCAAACGCAGTAGTTTATATTGTGATACGAATGCTGGCCTGTATCCCCTCGCTCGACTCCAAACATTGCTGATCTGATTTGAGCCTGGATCTCCACTCTTGTTGATATTCTTTTTAGAGTGCAGGGTGGGGGTGTGTCCCGAAGTCTCCTCACCTTCTCGCTGCTGCTGTTGCTGGGGCTGCTGGTGTTGCTGGGTAACCAATGTGGGCTGCTGGGGGAACGGCTGCCCGACCAATCCGTACGCAGCCGGATACGCCGCTATTGGGGGAGACAAGACAGTAACGTCATCCCATTGGCCCAAAACAACAGGTGGCAACATGGCACTGACCAATGGGAGCCCGCGCATTTCAACCAAAACCCGTCTGAAGGTGAAAACAATTAAACGTAAGAGGCGGAGCGGTGGAGCAAGTCAAACAATAACAGTGCAAGACTCTGTCTCAGACTGGGACCCAGACGTTTGGGTATTAATAAAAAAAAACATGGATTAATGGTGAGTGCAGATGGAGGTATTGAATCAGTGCGAGTCAGTAAAGAAAAGTCACATTTGATATAAATCCAGGCAAATGGCCACATCTGTGTTGTACAGGACACTTGTAATGTTGCTTTTATGTCTAGACGCTCTCTCCCTGTGTCTCTTTTAAGCCGATAGCACTTACAATGAGGGCGTTTAAAGCTGCTCTATTTAACTTCCATGATGGACGGTCTGCGGTTATTGCTTTTTCATGGACATTTTCACAGTAAGGCATCACATGTTTCCCAAGATCACACCATCATACTGTTGACCTAGTTAAATCTAGGCTGAAAAATATCCAGACTGGATCTTAATACAAAGTGATGTAGTAGAGATTTTTATGTATGTTTTCTTAAATGGCTTTGACAGCATTGGAAAGCACTCTGTTAGTGTCAGTGTCACTGTCAGTATTGTAAATGACTCTATAACCTATCTATCAATCTATTTGACTGATTGATTGATTGATTGAGCAAACTCTATCTCTGAAAAGCGTGGAACAAATAATATGAGCCTAATCCAGACTAGGGCTGGGCTAGGAAAAACCAAAACCAAGTCTAAACCAGGATCAAACCAGCGTGAGAGCAGCTGTGGCACAACATGCTGCCCTTTTTGGGTATTTTTCATAGATATAAAGCCGTTTTGAACACATCTAATGCCAAAGCCAAAACTCCCATTTAGGAAATATAAATGTGCAATTAATAGCTTTTTCATTTGGAGTTTAATTTTTGTGAGCAGTCAACATGCAGGCATGACTGGAAAAGACCAATTAAGAAAAGCATAATAATAATGTCCATAATAATCAGTTTTGGGTTAAAATAGTTCATTTTCACAATTCCTTCAGTCCACACATGGTAATGGAACACAAAAGCTTTTTTTCATGACTATAATCTTTTATCAAGCACCCACCTGTGTAATGTTGCATCCCTGCATAAGCCTGTTGTAGAGGATCCAAGGCAGCCGGGCTTTGAGCTGTAGACACAAATGCAGGAAAAAAACAAAATATTGAAAAATGACTCTACATATGATTTCCATTTTTTGAAGTATAAAGTGAAGTGCATTTTCTGTTAAATTGTCCTTTTTATGACAAATGTAGAAGTCCTCCCATGACCCTGATCTATTCTGTTCTGGTGCAATGACGACATCAAGAGGAAATGCTTGTAAAGTGCTAACGTTTTTGTCATTTTTTGTGCACAGCCTGGGACAAAAGGCAGAATAATTGTGTTTTGTTTTGTATATGTTTATGTGCCAGACGTTGGCCTGTGTCTTTGTGTTTCTGTGGGTTGGCTATTTATCTATTTATCAATCTAATGTATCTAACTATCTTTCTCTCCTCCAGTTTAATAAATCTGTTGTTGTGTACCTTGATAGGAATGGACCCCGTTGGTGTACAGTGCTTCGGTAGCTTGTTGCCCATTGGTCGGGGCGGGAACACTGCTGTATCCGTTCATGGGAGCCAGTGCGGACACCGGTGTGGCTGCGATTGTGGGTGGAGTGTTTGTGCCTGGACATGAAACACATTTTTTAAACACCTTCCACTTTTAAAAACGTTTAAATATCCCAGAGCGCACCACCTGCCCCGGATAAAATGATGCCATGAAGGAGCAATATGGAGCAACATTGATGTCCCAGTGTCGTTGTCACACTACTACAGTAGGGTTCTATAGAGCAGTGGTTCCCAAAGTGGGGGGCTGGATTTCCAGAATAATTTTTACAATTTCTACTTTATATTCAACCAATCTCTTCAAATGCCATAACAACTCAAATAAACCACATTAAAATAAGCATGTTTTTACGCTTTATTATTATTAATTTTGTACGAGGGGTTACAGTATGTTTCCACACATTTAACACACTAGCCACTTGAACTCATGACTGCTGAAGTGCGATTGTTGAGATATGAAACCTTTTGCTTGTAGGTCTGAGCGCTGCTACAGCTTTCAAAATCGGTGCATACACAGTAAAATTCAGCTGCAGAGGACACCGCACTGAGGGGCAGAAGCAGGACTGAGGGCTGCGGGAAGACCACGGTAGTCCTCTGAACTAGTCCCCAAGGTATACCACAAGACACACAAGTTTTCCTCTGAGATTGAATAAAGATAACTGTCATGCGATACCAGTGGTGTAATTTTGGGGGCCTGAAAAGTTTGGGAATCCCAGCTATAGAGTTTCTAATATTGATATAGAAGATTTTTTCCATGTTGGTATTTCATTTTTTGTTAATTCATGCACATACAGGGAATGAATGACAGACCAGATGGCATTAGTCACAAAACTCCAGTTGCAGGTGCAAAGATCCTTCCAGGCACAGTTGACACTTTTTTATTCTTTAGATTTTTGGAAGGCACTTTGAAATTGTCTTTCCATCTGTTAACCAATGCCTCTTTGAATATTTTGTTTTTAATCTGATAGTGTAAAGTCAGATATGTTCTGAACTGCGTTGGTTTTTATGGGCTGCATAAAAATACATGTGTTTTATTTGTTCTCCGATTCCCAGGCACAAGTACAAGGCAAACATACTTTAATATACACCCAAAGAAGCACCGCCTGTAGACAACAGCTGCTGGACCCTCCGCTTTATCAGAGCATTCAGAGATTTAGAAATGGGAGAATTATACATTAGTTTCAACATAGTAAGACATTAGGACCTTGGCCATAATGATGCACAATTAAAACAAGACAAGATGTATTCATTATTTTTGAATGCATGGGAATGTTTGCAAATAAGTGGTAGTTAAAACCTCTGAATTGAAAGAGTATAGCATGTTGAGCTATTGAAACAAAGGATGCAGGTATAAACAAAGCTCAGCCTGCACTGTATTTATACCACATTACTAAAGTTGAAATAGTAAAAGAAAAAGTTTGTGTCAAGTTTGTTTATTGCTCATTTTTAGCCTTTTTTTATTATGGAGGTTTTGAGCTAATAATGAATTTATTGAATTTATTTATGGTTTTTTTGATTTTGCTTGGATTAAAGCAAAAGGCTGAGTATTAGACTGAATTACAGATGAATGTTTTTGGCAAATTATCACTGCATAGACATGTGAAATGGGCCAAATATAGCCCCCGGCCCACGGTTTGCTCAGCTCAGACAAAAGAATCATAAACGGAATCTGAATCTCAATGTTTTGTGAGTACAAATACATTCCATTACCACTTATGAATGGTTAAAACATTTAAAAAGTGGCATAACACGGTCGCTGGCGTGTGGTAAAGAGTGATTTGCGGTGAGCTTGTTGCTGGCACTTGTGTGAGTGGAACAGGCCTCACCCGACGACGGCGTGAGGGGAGTGATGGGCGCCGTGATGATTCCGTTAGCGTTGAGAGCGGCCATCTGCTGCATCTGCACCGCCGCAACTGTTGCCACCGGAGACAAGTACGCTGACTGGGCAACGAGGGCCTGCTGTTGGACAAGCTGCAGACACAAGAGCCGGAGGAAAAGGTTAGCGCAAATGATGCTCTAAGTGATTTTGCAACGACAAAAACAAGCTCTGCAAAACGATGATGACACACACTGCAAAAACAGGAGCGGAGACTAAAATGTACCAGGCAGACTGTTGTTTTCAATGGGTTTGTACAGAAATACTGATTTTAAAGAAGGCCATATCTGTGATTTAATTTAGACAGGCATGTATATCAAATTTATATATAATTAATGAAAAAAAATTCACACTGTTTTGATCATTTCATTCACTAATATTAATTTCCCCTTTGTCTAATAATTTACGTGTAGTAGACATGAATGAATGAATTAATCTATTGAGTGTGTGTATGTCAGTGTAGTACTTGTAGTTTTTAGTATACATGCGTATATTGAGAGAACAATGTAATATTAAAAATAAATGAAAACTTTCAGGAATACTCTTTTATCCAACCCACTATTTTTTGACTCATTACTTTTGTCTGACTTCACAGTTAAAAAGATAACAAGCTCATATCAAACTGATTTTAACAACAATTGGGAAACATTCGACACGTATTTGAGCGTCATCATTTAGAAATAGTTTATGTTTGTTATTGGAATGATCCAATCAGAAAGCACTGTAGTTCGATTTACTATAACTAGTTTTGAATGAAGAGTATTAATACTAAATCTCAGGTGCCCTCAAAAGGAGAGATAAATACATGACCTGACTGCGTTGCCAGATAGTAACCATTGGTAGGTCTGGCACATGTTAGAAGATTTAAAAAACGTATACTCGTCTGATAGTGTGGATTACAGAACGATAGGAAATCAAGGAACACTCAAAACAAGCATTTACGCAAACATTTATGAAGAAAATTGCAAGTAATTTTTCTGATCTATCCTAAACTAAAATATACCCCTTATTAGCAACTAGCAGATTTATTTTAATATGAAACATTATTTGCCATAGTTGAACTTAGGGTGAATTGTTCCACTTTATAAACTTAGCTACTACAACAAATGAACTTTCCTCGCCACTTTTGAGCAGGCAGGTAAATACATAATTCCTCATACTGTATACAGACCAGCATCCAAATTCTGATTCGGAATAATGTTGTGGGGTTATTTCTGCAGTGAAAGACAAAAGCGGTGGTGGAGTAAACAGAGATGGTAGAGAAGGGGACTAGCAGAGGGGATGATGGAGGACCAGATGAATAGAGATCTAATTACAGGCCCATTATGTCCCTCGTCAGTGGGTTAAAGTCTGTGTGTAGCGGGAAAGCTAATGCCAGATGACGTATGTTCTGTTGTCTGCGTAATAACATTAGCCACAATTAGAGCACTGATAGCCTCTTCAAACTTATTACATCCTTTCACAGGCGCAGCGACCGCCCACCAGCTCCCGTTGATGTTTTGTGCTGTTTTGTTTATCCGTAAAGTGGCTCACACTGAGAGAAATTAGAATTTAGAGCTTCAAATCGTGATTCCTTTTCAAAGTGCATGTTTTAAACATAGGTCGTATATTAGCAGTGTGTTAGTATTAGGTGAACTAAATAAGGGCTGACATTACCCCAGGGTGGAAGAAGCCGATTAGAACATAAGCTAGCTGGAACCCAATTCCTTATATGGGCATTTGTTTCGGAAGGGGGGAGGGGCAGATGTATAGCTAAGTGTTGGCTAAAGCAAGCTGGAGTTTCCCCCGCGAATATAGGTATCTGGTCAATCCTTGAAATGTTCCAATGTGGATTACAACAAAATAAAAATATAAACACCAGGATCATAGATTGTCCAAAACCACAGATTAAGCCCAAAATGGAGAGTGTGAGGAGTTTACTTTTCAATTTAAGCCAGTACAAGTTGTAGTAAAACTTTGTTCATGAGCACTTTCCTAATGGGCTTAACTGGGCTTGGGGGTTAGCATTTTCCATCTACATACAGTCTATGATTTCAAACTTGTCGATGCTGGAAAATTTAAATGCATTTTTTTTTTATGTTTTTTTTTCCACAGGGTGATTACAGGGTGATTACATTCAAAAACTAAAATTGTAAAAAATGTATGAATGCAAAGAAAAGTTAACAATATGAAGATAGAGTAATTACTATTATTACATATAACAAGTTGGACTTTTCACTAAAATAAAGAAGAATCCTCCCAAGTTTTACCTATTTGACAATTATGGGAAAGATTCAAATTTGACTTCCTGGTTGGTTGGACATGACAAAGGAAGTTTGTCGGCAAAGACCAAAACAGTATTTTACACATAAGAGATGAAGGAACTATATAGAGCATGACTCGCCTGTGCGTTCACGGCCTGTGTGTATGCGTTGTAGGCGGGGAAGTTGAGGGTCATGGGGCTGAAGATGCCGAGCTGTGAGGCCACCTGCTGCATCCTCCGGAGGCCGCGCTCCTTCTCTGTGTCTGCAAACTTCACCACCAGGCTCGACGACGCCCCCTGTGTACACATATGTGAACATCAGGTCAGAGATGTTCGCACTGACTTTACTTGTGACCAAAGTTTAATCTGAAACATAAAAGGTATTGTGAGGCTGTTTTTGCTGGCTCCACTTATTTAAATAAAACTTGAGCTATGACTGTTTACTAGTGGGCCCTTCACAAGTATACACACACACACACACACACACACACACACACACACACACACACACACACACACTAACATGGGTAGATTGTAGAACTATAGAGGTATATCGTAATTGCATTTTTGGTGAAAGGGTTAAAATAATGAAATTTCTTTGGATGCCCAACCGTATATTATTAGTGGACTGGCCACGTGTTTGCCAATTGCGGAAGAAGCCGACTTGAACACAAGTTAGCAAGAGCCAATTTAACTGAACAAGAGTAGTTTACTTTCCAACCTACGTCAATAGGAGCCGGAGCAAGTTGGAGCAAAAATGTGTACACGTGCACTTCCCTCTTGAGCTTGTGGGTGATTGTTCATCTAAATAAGCTCACCATCTGAGCACGTCATTCTAGGCAGAGAGATATAGTTTCTATTTTTGAATTCAAATGTGTGTTTAAGAGTCACGAATATTGCGTAATGTTTAACTTGAGGGTTAGAATCAGATTCACATTAGTTTTATTTGCCATTTGCAGTAAAACCACATTGGAATACCATTGCAAGAGTCCCCAGTGTGCACCAGACAAGCACGTAAATAAAACAAAATCAGTTTCAATAAAATGCAAGATCATAAGATAAGCTCGGGACATTGTTCTGCGGGACGAAATATCAGACTTTTGAATCCTATAGGGCTACACATTCCAGACACAAACACTGGGGTAAAAACATGGAGCATGGAGGTGATGCATAAGCTGCGAACCCCTCCTCTGAGCGGCCGTGAGCTGGAGAGGAGCAGAGGTTCAAAGTCCCATTACTGCCGATGATGTGTGCCATCTCTGTGCGTTAACGGGACCAGCGCTGCCTGTTTATTAATTCATTACTTTTCTCTGTCCATTTAATCCTTTTATGGGACACAGGGGAGACGGGACGAGCCGAGTGTGGGTCTGTTACATTATTACTTACACATCCTATAGGACCCTCTGTGCCCTGAGCAGATCTACAAATCCTTCACATTATTGTCACGTGTGGGGGACTCACCGGCATCGTGCGACTGCCGTGGAGGCTGTTGATGGCGGCCTGGGCCTCGGCGTGGGACTGGAACTTTACGAACGCACATCCTGCAGAAGACATGAGTATACACAATTGAATATTGTCGATACCACCAACTGCGAGTCTCCATGGGTTTGGGCGCCTGTGTCATGCAGCATTCTGAGGACTTTTTCCCATAAAAAAAAAAAAAAACATATCATTTTCATTTTATTCACTATATTTGCATGAGTATGAAAACGTTGACGTATGTAGCGCAAAATAAATGACAGAAAATTGATATATGAATAACAAAAACAACAATCTTTTTGCATGTCTCTTTAAGAAAATTATTTCTAAATGGATATTCAGCCTTCGTACTGATCTATTCTATTGAATTGTCGAACAATGGCAACATTACTCATTTTCTTCATTCTAAAAGCCATAGATACTGTATCATAATATTTGCTAGATCTCTGTGATTCCATGTTTGTCCATCCAATCTAATGGTCAAATATCCATGTTTCCTTTACAGAGTGCTTCATGGATCATCTGGCTCCCATATATGATTTTATTTTATTTTCATCTCAGAAAAGACTTAGTGGGGTCAGAACCAGAGGCCTATCCCCTGGTTTAACTCAGTGATGCCACGATTCCATCACTTTGAATCTGCAAATGGTTATTCTTGACAATATATTATGCAACAATCCGCTTAAAGGTTAGAGAAGGGAAACAGTTCATTCGGTGAGGGTTAAGGCTTTGTGAATGGGGAGGAGCCCTGCAGGAGAACAACCTCTGGACTCCTGTGCAAGCTGAAACCCATGGAAGGGACAAGATACAGTAGTAAAAATGCATGCAAAAACATAATTTGCATTGATTTTGCATTGATTCCACTTTTGTGTTCTTAAGTGTGTACGTTTTTGATAGATGTGTTTTGCTTTCTACAAATGGACAAATATTGGAAACAGCCAAACATGAGAGAGTGTATTATCGGTACATGTGTTTACCTTTGCTGGTGCCGTCTGGGCCTCTCAGCACCGTGCACTCATCTATGCTGCCGAACGGTTCGAACAGCCGTCTGACATCTTCGTCGCTCTGCTGCTTCCCCAACATCCCCACGAACAGTTTTCTGTCCTCTGAGAGAGACGGAGCACAAAAGGAGGACAGAAAATTCAATTACCTCCGGATGCAGAGCCGTACAAACAATTTATGATACACTGAGGTCCCGTATAGTTGTGCTTTAGTGTCTTCAGCCCTGGTTTTGTCCTGGTTTAAGTGCGCAGGACAGGTTTGATGATGCTTTTAACTAAACACTTTTAACATCAATACATTTAACTTTTTTAATCCCATCTTAAAGCTCACCTGTTCAGACTAGCCTTTTCCCCTTGAACTCACAATTACATTTTTTATCTGTAATGCTGTTTTTATAGAATATATATATTAGTGTCTATGAGAAATTAAATGAATTCTTATTATTACATTTAGATTTTCAGGTGTATAACTTTATGACGTGTTTGTTATTGATGACAAAGCAACTACTGTATGTAACAGACTGGACCAAAAGACTGGGCCTTCTCTAAAGTAAACACAAATTATTAGTTCTTAAATTACATCAGAATGATATTTAGTTGACTGAATGAGGGCTACAAGGAGACATTTCAGAGGTCGCAATTGTCAAATCACAAAGATGAGTATATGGAAAGGACATTAATTTATATAGCATTTATACAGTATTTCATACAAAACTCAATGTGCTTAACAAAGACAACAAAACAAAAAGCCATTGAACAAATAAAGACACAAACTAAGGAAATAAAACGAATGAGTCGCAAGAAGGTCAGGCATATACAGTATAACGGTGCAGGACTGTGAATCCCTCTAAACAAGGATGAGGATTTTAAAGTCAATATACGCCTGAACTGGAGCCAATGAGGATCTTTTAATAGACATAATGTGAGATCTGTTTCTCGTGCATGTCGGATCGATTTTAGGGGAAGACTTGAGAAAAGGGTTACTAGGGGTAATCTAATGGTCAAAAATGGGAGTACACAAGTATTTTAGGACGGAAACTGCGGAATCTACGAATCCACACATTTTAAAGATGTTGTTAAAGTGAAAAAAGAACAATTTAAACGGGTCCTTGGTCATTGCAAATAGGTTGAAATCAAACCAGCACCCACAGAGGAACATATGCGTTTCCTTGGCCTCTCTCTCTCTTTCTTTAAATTGTTGGTATCTGTCACTGTGATGCTGTTTGTCTATTGTCTCATAATCTAATATGTTGTCAAGCTTTGTGTGTGTTTGTTTGTTTTTCTTGCTGCCTTGGGACAACAAATGTAATTTAGCTAATATGCTTATTCCAGCATATTCATGACCGGACCAGTCAGACCTACACGATAACAATACTTTCTTCTGGGTATGGCCGGTCAGGCTAGCATGTTTATATAAAAGCTATTTCCTGGCACATTGATCAATATGCACAGTCCTAATTCAAATACATAAATCATCTTTACTAAACTGTTTTAATATGTTTCTTAAGATAGAGCTCTGTCTATGATGACACTATATGACTGATACAGCTTCCTGATGGCAGCAATTCATTTCTGTACAAGTTCTGGACAAAATAAACCTGGAAAAAAAGGCTTTGTTGCTGGTGTGTAGGTCTAGTTTATTTATGATAAATCTGCCAGAGCTCCCGCAGTTCTCCAGCAGGGAGCAGTGTTCACTACAGGCTGGTGCCATTAAGGGGCGTGTGGGCTGGCAAGGGCTCCTCTAGGGTTATGGAGTAGATGTGTTCATTTTAGCCTCTAAATATGTTTTTGATGAGTGAACAATATTGTAACTTGGATAAAAACAAAAACAAATCCAGTGTCATGAGCATAGACTGTATATCATGAGTCTTAAAAATGATATTGTAGATTTGACATTTTATCATAATTAAAATGTTGTAAATGGAATTACAACATTAAAAGCTGTATCTTTTGCTTGGTAATTTTTAATACAATGGAAATCTTTACAAACACTCACCTCCTCTGCCCTCGCTGTCCGCTGGCTTCACCTGGATCGGCCGGTTCATCTGTGGAGCACAAACAACAGGTGGTCAACTTAAGGAGTCTGGACAAGGTTTTAGAAGTGAATATTGAAAGTAATGCTTGGAAGAAAGCCAAAATGAAGTGTAATTTTCTATTTCAGGCAAAGCCACACACAGCCAATAGCACTCCTGCCTTCCAGTGTCAATATGACATTGTCTTTGCTCAGAAAATACATATCATCAAATAGAAAAGTAAAAATGTTGTAACAAAGGCTGTTGATGCCTGTGTCTGTTTTGTAAATGCAATAAAAGCCTTTTGTTCCCTCAGATTAGAAAATGTTCACCATACTGACAAGTCTGATTGAAATAGCGGATTACACAAACACATGTTAAAGGCAGTAGTTTGGATGGGGCTCCAGATTTATTGGTTGAAATGGTGGGTCACATAATTTGGAAACATTTGTTAAAAGGTTTATCAGGATTACAAGATGAATCGACAGAAATAATAAAAACAAGTGATATTTATCGATGAAATACAGACAAAAATCAGCTAATTTTGATCTTCACATGCCAAATTAATACTGCAGCAGTTTGTTTGACTGTTTGTCTGTAAGCAACATGCAAATAAACGAGAGGATTTGGACATAATTCTCAGGAAACATGCGCAATGGCCAAGTGAATAAGTGATTCCATGTAGGATTTTAAAAACAGGAATGTAACTGCGCTTGTCGGCAGAGGTCTGTGCTCTACGAGTCCATTTCTCTCATATTTATTTTATTGTATTTTTGAATCGCCCTCAATCACAGCAGCAGTCGCCTCGGAAAACTTTACAAAGTTGTTCGAACACAGAAAAGGCATTAATAACAAACACAAAAGAGCCATTGGTCCATAGGGAGCAGTTTTACCAATACCCATAATGTCTAGGCTTCCCTTTTAAGATATCATTTCCTGTCGGGAGATCATTTTGGTTATGGTTTCAGTCGTATGTACCGACAGATTTTTGGTCATTTTTGAAAAAGTTGTCTTTTCAATGCAGTGGATTTGAGTTAGCGTTTAACTGTATTCCTTATTCTGAACAAAACAAATATAACTCTATACCAGCCACACTAATCAGGCAACAGCCAGTCAAAACAACTTCTAAATAAGAAACAGGAAGTGCATTTGAGGAGCTGCAGTTTATTTGAGTTTAATAGGTGTTAGCGTGTGGCAGGTGCACTCCACTTGTCGCGCGCTAAGTCCGGCTGTGATCTCCGGCACATGAGGCAGCTTGGGGCGTCTGATGTCACACAAATACACACATCGCAGGACGAGGGGATTGAGAAGTGACGGGATTAAGAATACGGGCCAACTGATCGGGATTACACAAGGAGCAGGGATTAGACGAGCGACAGGAGCAGAGATGGAGACAAGAGCAAATGTTATGTGGTGAATAAGGTTACGCCAAATACATCAAGGAATGAATAGCTTTAGATTGTGTTTTATCTGTGCGCAATAATGAGACAATGTTTAAAGTCTTACCATGTTTTTAATAAATATATATGTAAATATATAACATCGGTTTGTTATGGCTGATATATCTCAAAAAGAAACATTTGAGAAAGAATATGCATGTCATTGCAAGAAACTTAAATCTGGGGAACCTTACTAACAATTAGTAACATTCTGTCTTTAGCCGAATGTTATTATTTGCATACTTTCTAGAAAGTGCCTTGTGAGTCACAATTTGAAGCTTTGGGAGGCTATTGGCTGAGTGAGGCAGGTCCAATATTTTTCACTTTTTTGTATGAAAAAGGCTGATCTAAAGATGTGATATATGCCAAAAACACAAAAAAACAACAAAGAACCAAAGAAGAATCAGTTATACCCTCGTTCCAGCTTTCTGCTGTTGGCAACAGCTCAGTTTTTGTGTGCGCGGCTGCATGTGAGGAACAGGTCCAGGGGGAGGGAAATAAAAGTTTGTGAGCTAAAAGGGAAAATGCTGAAACTTTAGGAAGAACTAATGCTGCCCCCTACTTTCTGACTAAGAACATGCACAGTTGTGGTCGTGACATGTTTGATCTGAAAACGTCACGACTTACAAAAGCAAAAACTGCAACGTGTTTTTGGAAAAGTGACATGGAGCTACTTCAAAGTGAGATTCTGAGAGTAGCTTTTCCAATTCTCCATTCATCCTTTCCAAAAATCAATGAGATTCAACACCTTGACTTTAGCTTATAAGGACTCTGTATTTTTTGAATATTGTTCATTCACTCACATGTACTGTACAAGGAGCTTTACTCTGGGGACAAGGCTGCTAAGAAAATGAGATTATAAATGTCATTGGAACATTTCTGGTTAAATAAAGGTCAAATTATACATTCAATTATTATAATGGGCTTAGCCATAATTGCCCCGAACAACCTAGCGCACTAAAAATTCTATGAAAAATTAGTATGCCAGGTGAACAAAGCAGAAATAAAATCAGGGCAGAACACAGGCCTTTGTTGAGTGGCTTTTTATGAGCCCGACAGTCGGACTACATGCATTACCCTCACAGTAAAAACACAAGTCAAACTCGGACACTTTGATCAAACGCGTTTACATTATGATTCAAAGTGTTTTGAAAAACGGCAAATTGAGTATATTGAATGAAAAAGCAAAGTGATAAAGTGAAGAAAAATTGTGGCTGGAGAGGAGAACGAAGGGCGGGTGGTGGAGCAGGAGCAGAGAGAAGAATGGAAATAGGTCCCAGTGGGGTGTTAAGGCAATGTAATGAAGCTGGTAATTGAGGAGAGGGCAGAGAGAGAGAGACAGATCCATACGTTTGATTAATCAGCTCTTAGCTGTCACCACAACGCTATTGATCCAAGGCAAGGCCATCTCAGCCGGCACATACAGTAGAAAACACTGAGCCACACGGAGCCTCACTCCAAACGCTGTTCATTCTCATTATGTGTCACTGTTTGGAGTTCTGACAAGTAATAGCAGCGCACTTTGGATAATTAGACTGGTTTGGAAAAAAATCAATATCAATTTCTTATTTTAGAGTTGTAGAGAAGTCCATTTAACGTGGCAAAAATACTCCAAAAGACACACATTCAGTTTAATGTAGACATAGATATATAAGAAATGAGTGAAAGGAAAAAAAAAGAAAAAAACTTTTATTTGTAATATCTAGCGCTCAAACAAGAAAATGTACTCAATGTAAGTCTATAACCCAGTGCATTCCAAACATGCACTGTCCCAAAAAAATAAATAATGCGGCCATATCTCCATGGAGATAGGTAAGCTATGACAGAGCGTGAAACATTCTGCAAATAAATATTAACTAGGACACAAGCAGGTGTTGAAAACTTTATCTTATGACAAGAAAGCATATAACATATATTTGGTTTAGAGGCATTTTTAGTCAGTAAATTGAAATTATTTATCTTTTGCTTATTTTGAACGACTAGGTTCTGTAGTTTGTGTACAAACTTGTGTGTTTGAAATTCATTTAAAGGTTTTACCTGACACAAAATCTGTTATTTACTGTCAGGTAAAACCTTTAAATGACAGCTTAGATCTCTGTACTTTGGCAAATGTATGGTCTCATTTCAAGCCAAAGATTCCTGCGACTTGTCAGAAATCACTTACAGCCGGTGAAACATATGACGAGCAAAAAAACTCAAAGTAAATCTATAGTAATCCATAGTAATAACCAGCTCAACCAAGGGATTTTCAACAGGCTAGAAATTCAATGTTTGCTCTATGTACAACCAAATCAAAAGTGATTCACACCATTTTAACCCTTACATCCCTCCCCCATCTGGACCAGTGCCTTTAACCCTTGCAATCGACTGCACTTGCACCATAAACATTAGTCATTAGCACACATGCACACACTCTTCACCCGGCCTGACTCCCCGGCGTGACCTTGCATTTACGACGCTGGGACCTGTCTATGTATCCATCATATCGCCGTCCCGCTGTTATTGCTGTCCATCCCCACCTCCATCCATCTTACACTATCAACCCATCGATCAGTGCAGCCTTGTCCATTGATTTTGGGGCCGTGTTGTGAAGCTGGCTGATTGTAGCGAGATTTGTGTCCACTAACCCTTTCTCTACCCGGCCGCTACATCCATCACTTTTTCCATCTCTCCCTTCATTAGGCCCATTGGAGCTCGTCGCCGTGACAGTAAAAGGCAGGCGAACACAATCACTAATGACCGGGAAATGCACATCCGTCAAGGCCGCACGTCAAGCGTTGAGTTTGTGCAGCCAGCGCCCCAAGATCGGCTCATAATAGTTATTGAGCAAACGTAGAAGAAGGACGATGATGACGGGAGAGGCGGGAATGGGGGAGCGTTTGGTCCTAGGGAAAACTATGCCTCACAATGCAAGTGAAAAAAGGTATACATCAGGCATTTATAGCAACAAAACATGACATTTGTGGTTTGAATTGTGAAAATCAAGGTCACATTATAATTGTACGAACTAAAACATTATATCAACAACCACATTTTCAATTGAATCTATTGTTCTTAAAGTTGTTTATTATCAGATTAGCTAAACAGTATGTATAGTCTACTTAGAGTGAAATGGCTTTTTTCTTGTTTGTTCCAGTTGTTAGACCAAAAAACATGGTGTTTTTGTCTCACAATAGCAATACTCTAAATTTCAAATTAGTAACCTCCCTAGGCTTAAATGCATTTTTTTTTTTCATTTGGTACTACTTTATATGCCAAATGCTGTTTTAAGCATTAAATTATAGCAGTGATCCACCAGGTCTTGTTTAAGAATGTTCTGTTTATTACTTTTACTTTAGACTTGATGTTCTTTGATGATGCATTTTAAACCCTTTACAAGCTCGAAAACCGCCAGAATCAATATGAGATAGAGCTTCATTTGCAAACTCCGGTACAAGTAAGATTCTTAAATATAGTACGTTGACTGAATTGCAGCTTTTCTACCTCATAACGGAATAAAAGACACATCTGTTGGTGAGCGATGACAGAGACAGAGCTGCGTCTCTGAAGATGTCACAAAATGCAATTGGAAAACTGGCATGGCAACAAGCCAGT